TGACAAATACTTGATATGCAATTTTATCGCGCCCTAAAGCGCATTGTTATTGTTTTGACTGATTCCGTTCAAACATTTACACAAATTTCAACACAAAACAGATGTAATGTATATATTTAGCAATAATTCCTTATTTTCTTGAATATAATTATTGGCATGGCATTTCTCACTGACCTGCGCAAATAAAGGGGCATTGTATTTAATTATAAATAAGCCAAGCCTTAATTGAAATAAGCAGACACATTTCAATTAAACATTAAAATAACTCGTTTAACTTTTATTAATAGGTCCCAAATAATATATAACCCCTTTATAATAGAAATTAACTTTTTAATGAAGAGGAAAACTCTAACACATTTTTACGTATCATACTTGAAACCTACTTTCTATCAAATATTTATTAAAAATATTCGGAACTAATCATTGCAATTCGAATTTGTCAATTTAAACTTCAATTTTTAATATTTCCCTCTCACTTTTATTGTTTCGTGAATACGATGCTCAGTCGTAGTGCAGTGACACATTTGGGCAATTAGCAAAAATGTCAATCACATTTGTTCTCTACAATATTACTCATACGCAGCGTGAAATCTCGCACGCAAACTCAATTTTCTGCCACAATAATGCTTCAAAGTTCAATATAAACACTAATTCTGTCGGCAACTACACAGATTGCAGTAATTTTGTAATCAAACAATTCTTTCCGTTTATTATTTACAAACAACAACAAAATTGAATGAAAAACGAATTGATTGATTTTGAGCGAGCTACGATTATTATTATCATTTAATATGTTATGAGTGCATACAATTCTAAAGCTATTCATCACTGTAATTCAAACGATTTTCTTGTAATACTCGTAGACTCATAGAAAAAGGATATACATATTTGCTATATATATATTTGATTTTGCACTTAATTTCTGCCATGAAGAAAATATTTTATAGTCTGAAAACGTTATGCTTATATAATTGCAGTAAAAACAAAATGAATTAAATAGAGAATATTTAAACATATCAAAGAATATTTTTAAAAACCAGCTCAATGTATGATAATTGTTTAATTTAAAGCAGAAAAGCCACCTGTCTTCCTGGTTTGCTTCCAATCTATTATTTATACAACTTGCTGCCAAATCTTGCCGGTTATGCAAAAATACTATAGCAAACGACATTAGAACCATATGTACAGGTGTATGCAGGGATATATGTATATACTATAAGTATGAATGTATTACTTTTCTTTTTAGTACATATATTTTGTGATATGATCAACAATTGCAGTTCAAACGTCACTTACTGTAACCACATCGAGCTTCGCCTTCATAACAGTGAAGAGCTTTTTGCTGTTTGTTGTGTTTTCAATAGCCGAACTCTTATCACTAATTTTTTCTCATCCGTGAGTGTATGTGTGTGTATTCAAACAACGTTTTATCGCGCAGGTTTCGCTCAACAACAACAAGAATTATACCTATAAAAATAATACTATACTGTGTGTGGCTGGCTGGCTACACACGCACGAGCTCGCTGCATCCAAATTCAATGTTAGCTAATAAACCTTTGATTAAACTGCATTATTATAACAACATGCACATGACAATAATACAACACCGCATGGGTGTGTGCGTCTTGGCAAAAACTTAGTCACTATCGTGAATTCTATTTAATGCGCATACGCCGCGTAGTACAAACGAGTGAACGAGAGAAGGTATGTAAGTCACATGCGACTGTGTCTGCGATAAAAACAAAAGCAACAACTGAAAAAGAAACTGAAACTTATCGCCTTTTTGCTTGCTTGCACTCAATACGCAACAGCTGAGTGTGGAGTGTAGGGAGAGTGGAACGCAGCAAGAGCTAAAACATCGAAGAAAACATTGACGTTGACAGCGACGGCGGCGGCGGCGGCGGCGACGACGACGACGACTCCGCTGTCAGCTGACGTCGACGTCAACAGTTGCTGAGTATTGGCGCTCTAATGTGGCGGCGTGCTTACAACAATTGCAATCAAATCGACTGATTAACAGCAATTTTTATTATGATTACTCGCCTTTGAGACGATGGCTGCGCAGTTTTTGGCCGAAGCGGGTGGCCAAGTGGCCAACTGGCCTGGTCTGGACTGCCCCACTAAATGCGCTTTGTACATACAGTGCGCACATTCAAAACGCGAACATACGCGACAATTTAGATACATATGTACATATGTACATATATGTATGTACAGACATATGTAAGTACGGAAGTTACTATTCTATAATAATTATAGTACAAGTATAATCAAAAGGGGTATTCCTGTAACGGATGTAAATGAACGTACATTTTTAAAGCTAAATACGCTGGAATCGACTGTTGTTGTTAAATTATATTAAATTAATCAAAGCATCAAATTAGGGAAACCACAACAAGAGAGCTTTTTTGTCATTGTATAGAATATCTATGAATAGCTGACCGAAAATTTTAGATGCAGATAAAGGAAGACAAATTGTAATCCCAATATTCTTATTTTGCCACCTACGTGGTAGTTATTGTTTAACATGATCGTATTATACGCATATATTCATAAATTATAGCGAATTGTCCAACCAGCGAAAAAGGAATCGAAACAAGAAATCTTTAAAAGATGTACTATTAGAAGTCAGAGACAAAAAAAATTAGGTGTTTAACATGACGCGTAATAATTATTGTGTAATCGCAGAGACAAAAAATAAATAACAAAAAAAAAATCCAAAAAAAAACGCCAAGATTTGAATAAATTTTGTAAAATGGTGCAATGAGCGCTTGGATCATTAGCCAGCGGCGGCAGCTACGGCAACCCCAACAGAGACTCCATCTCTGATGATTGGTTAACCGAAAGCATATGTATGTGTGTATGTATAGGTTTTTTTACCTCCTCATGGTTTTGTTCGAATTTGCAGTTAACTTGGCGTTGAATGAATATGAAAATCACTTGATTTCTACACCACAACAACAACAGCAACAACAGCAATGGCAGCAATGGCAGCAACAAGAGAGCACAACGTAGAGGAGGCGATGATGAGTAAAATTAAAAGACAACATCACAAACCGAATGCGGACAACAAAACAAAACAAGAAACCGAAGAGCCAGCAACAAGTTGCTGTTGCTGTTATTGTAGTTGTTGTGCTACTGTTGCTGTTGCAATCGTATGGCTGATGCTGCAGACGGCAGCGCTGTAAGCGCTAGGCTCGAGTGACCATGAAATCAAATCATTTCACCTGAACTGAACACAAAATGCAAGCCAAACTAAATGTGAGTGCGAGTGTGTGTGTGTGTGTGTGTATGTGTGTGTGTGTATGTGTTGTGTGATGGACCGGCTCTGCTTAAAGGAAGAGGCAAAGGCTACGCTACCACCAGCGCCGCCGCCACCAGAGCAAAGTTATCCAGCTGAAATTCAAGGTCAAGAGTGCAGTGCATTTCCGTGTGAAATGTTGTCAAGTGAGGCACACAGCCTGCGCTTGGGCTTGGGTTAGGCAGCGTTCACTTGACCAACAGCAGCAACAGAGGCAGCGCAGGTGAAGCCATCGACTGCGACGGCGACAGCGACAGCAACAGCAACAGCAGAAGAACGATAACTTCGATACAACGGCGTAATGGATAAAATACACACGTACATACATATGTATGTGTGTAGCGAGTTTTGTTCGCAGACGCAACAAATCGGTCGGCAAACAAAATGTGCGGGCCTTGCATTTTCGCAAATTTTATTGCACTCTTGTGAAATTCAAGTGCGGATGCCTTTAGCAAAACAGAAAACTTTCTTGAGCCAGCCAGCGGGCCAGAGCGGTGAACAAGCTAACTAGCGACCAAGCCATTATTAAAGTCACGTAGAAAAGCATAATGAGAATTATTCGTCGCTGCAAATATCAAAAGGCATTGAAGATTTTGAAAATTTGTACTTGAAACAAGTGCACGATTATTATATTTTTTCTTATTTTTTCTTATTTTTTCGTTATAAATGCGCTTTAGCAAGAAATTGAATTTGGCGATTTCAAAGCCCCGCTAATTATGACACTGACGAAACACGATTCGCAACACATTCAATTGTCCATTCGTCACTTGATGGCAGAATCAAACACGAGATATTGCCAATTTTCTCAATTCGTATTATTATTTATACGCGTATGTAACACTAAGTATCAACTAGCTGCTTTAATGCCCGTCCATAGATACGACTTTTGTGATTTTTTCAAACGGAATTATAATATTGCAGAATTCAAATTGCTAGTTACAGGGCACGATCTATCGAAATGGACGCAACTATGTAATAATTTAAAGTGTGCTCGTGCGGGTTTTAAGCTAACTATGTGGGAACTTTTGCATTTTACGTAGAGAGTGTCCACTGCAGTGGCTCCACGTGCAATTAAAACATACATATATATACAGTTTTTCCCCACTGCGACCAGAGTAGACGTGAACTTGAACTTTAAGCCAATGTAGATATACTACATTGAACTCTTCCAGAATTATGATGCAGCTCAAAAGACTTTTACGAAAAGACATTTTTTGGCTTACACAAGTGAAACCGTTTTTGTCAACCATTGCATGAACTGCAAGAACAATGGGATATAGAAACAAATGTGAATTATGTTTAGGAGTTGATTTTTATCGTGACATCAATTCTCGAACTAGTATACTAATACGTTTAAATATGATCTGTTAAAAGTTATCCGTAATCCGTTTTAGGCGATTACTATGTTATCGTAAATAAAGAATCACGTTTTGGTGAATTTACATTAAAATTTTTGTTGTATTTATCACATTTCAAAATATTGGATATTCGCTCGTCGTCTTTTATATACATAATCATTTATATAAATTGTAATATGTTTACGAGCTTGCAGAAATGGCCATATTGTAATTTTTCATTAAAGTTGTTTCTGTTTGCATACAAATATACATACACATATGCATAGGTACATACACATATTTATATAGTATTTGTCTTTTGCTTCTTCGCATGCATTTGCAAATTTGTTTTGTGCACTTACCATTTTTGTAAATTGTATTATTATTAACTTAAGGCACTTGGGAAATGATTTGTATATTTTGGAATTAATACCCGCAACGCGTATTAAATTACAATTTTCCACTTATAAATTTTCAGCACTTTTCGTTGTTTTTTTTTTTATTATTTTTATTATTATTTTTTCGTCAATTTGTGTATTGGACGCACTTATCGAATAAAATATTATCCTTTTCACGAAATTCAATATTATTTAATTCTTTTGAACACGCGCGCTAGTCGTGAATAATGCATAATTATTTATATATTTTGTATAACTCTTTGGATGTGAAGATGTCGTATCGTAATTTTATTTCAATTTCAACAAAGTCACTGCCACCACATTAAGCAAACGTTGGCTGGACCAATAAGCTCCCACTGGCCGCGCAACTGACTGACTGAATGGCTGACTGACTGACTAACTGACTGGCTGACCAACTGCCTGTGGACTGAGCCGAGCGCACGTTTTTACATTCAAATCAAAAACACTGAAATAAGTTTGATTTCACGCTGTCGCTTTACTTTTATACGAGGCGCACACGGCAACGGCGACAGCGGCGTTGGCGTCGGCGACTGCGCTGACCGCGACGCCAACTGCGACAGCGAATGCTCGTCAGCTTCATACATTGGCTGGCTTTGGCTTGCTGACCGTTTGTGGCTTTGGAGAGCGCGGCCAAGAGCTTTCAATAATATTCTGAGTGAGCGACGGAGCAGCAGCAGCAACAGGTTGTCGTCAGCTCATGTGTGTGTGTGTGTGTATAAAAAGATGTGTACATGTGCACGCTCTGCTCTCATTGCGTTTGCGCAAGGATGCTGAGCCAGTTAGTCAGTGTAGTTGGTGGGCTCTTTGCCTTTGCACCCCACACAAAGGGCACCAACGACAATTATCGACCAGCTATTAATTACAAATTATATGAAGGCGTTTGGCATAGTAAATACTTACTAATAACTAATAAAAAATATACACACACACATGCTTGCATACATACTACATGTATGTAACATGGTCGTAGGTGGGCAGATGTTGTATTACAATTGTAAGTGCATTGTGCAAAGTTCTGCAGGTAATGGGGGCGTATAGGAAGACGTTAATTAACCCGTTGACACGTGCTAAGGTCCGTGTTTAATTTGATTTTTAGTGATGGCAATGCAATCAAAAGGAAATAATTGCATTCAAATGTAAAATACTTTTGTGCAATAGTACGAAGCAATACCGTCACGGAAAATATGTGCAAAATCGAAAAGGTTGCCCCATACACTAAACAATATTATACGACATCAATACAAAATTTTGTTCAAGTATTTCGAAAAAGAAAAAAAATATGGTCAGAAACCAGTTTGGTTGTTTTATTTATAATATTTATGATAAAGAGCAACAGCAGCATCAGCAGCCAAAACTCCGAGTCGCTATGCCACTCATTTCTTTTGTTTGTTTTTTGGCCAAAATTGGCAGACGGAAACGCACCCAGAGCTTGAACTTGTGAAAACACAATTCGCGCATAGTTAAAACAATGGTTCTCACTTATTGTCAGACATACATACATATATATACATATACGCACATACATACACGACATAATGCATGTTTGTATGAGTTTATGTGACAGAATCAGTGCCACAGCCAACCTCCGGCGCATGCCGCCTGCTTCCTCAATTATAAAAATGGCCAAACCCAAAGCATCGAAGCATCTATAATAGTCGTATCATTCAAAATCTTATTTAAAACTCATTTAAATGCTTGCGATTTAGAGATTTTGTTGGCTTAGTCGCTGGCTGGCATTGTGAATATAATTAAATTAATTTTCGCATTGTGTGTGTGTGGCATTTCGAGAGGCTCAACTAAATATTCTGCAAATTAATGACTCGTCAAATACAAGTTTCTTTATAATTGTTTCACAAAATAATCAGCATCGGATTTACCTAAAGACGCAGTAATTGACAAACTTTGTCACGTTTTATACGTTGTACTAAAGATTAAATGTAGTTTTCATGTTTTTCCATTTTTTTAGTGTTTCAGATTTTCCAAATATATACTAACTTAAACCCTTCAACCATATAGACAAACTATTTACTTGTAAGCAATATTTCAGAATTGTGAATGTCTACTCCTACAAATAAATTATTATAATCTTTTTTATCAGGTATCTAAAAAATAAATAAAAACGTACAATCCCCAACAAAATGATAGCTTTCATTAAGAATTGATTTATTAAACAAATCAAGAAGTGTCTATCGCCATCACCCGATTTTGGCCAAAAGAGTACGGAAATGTGTGTTTTGTGGATCAAAAAAGAGTCTTGCTTAAATTAAGATCTGGGAGATTATTTTTAAAAACCAAAATAATGTCATAAATATACTATACTTTTTATACTCTGTACTTGCATCAAAACCTATTGGATACCATGACACTTTTACACTGTATGCAGGGCGTCTAGAAATTCATGAGCTTCTTCCAACCTCATGCACTTATCCAGCTGCAAAATGCAACTACCGGCATAAAAGTCACAATGTCCAGACATCCGGAACTACCAATGTAATCAACTTATCACAGTAATGGTAGGGGTGTGCCTTGATTTGTGTCAAGCTTTGAGATGTCTGGAAGATGACAGATTTAGCATGGCCGGTTTATGAATGCCTCCTTGAAAAACACACACTTGGATACAATTTAATGAAAAATTGTTGTAGTCGAACAGTCATATTTCGAGATGATGTTAATGAAATGCATATATGCAATGAACTCTTGAATGAGCTTTGGAGACGTGAGCTACAGCGCATGAAAGGGCGCGTCAGCCCGATCAATTGGACAAGCTTGACCACGATTCTAATGCTACTATTTGCTTAGCTTAATCGTCAGCAAAATAACTGCGTGTGTCTAGCAAGCGAATCGCTGACGTTAGATAAGAGTTTAGGGTATGAGGGAAACCACGGTAATATTTTCAAGTTTACTTGTTAAAATTCACACATGAAAATTCTACATTTCCACTCCACTAGTCGTCTTGCAAACTAATGGTTGTGAAATTATATTTCCTGAACTTTTAAGTAGATGCGGGGAAAATACCTGATCAAAGTACAAGCATACACACTTTCATGCGCGATAATAAATATACATATATTATAAGACGATGGGACTGTCATTCCATTTATTTAATTTGAGTCTTATTGTGTGGCGATATACGTTACTTACTCTTGTCTGCCCAAACAAAGCTAATGTCCTGCATCTGCTTACATCAACTTATTTCTGGTAGTCATCGATTCATTGACTTATTAGCAACATTTTACATTTGTCAAATCACCCCCACTTACCCAAGCATTTTCGCTGCATTGTTAATTCAGTTGAAGGAACTTACTGACCCCTAAGGGGGGCGTCAATTATCAGCCGAGTCCGCGCATTCTCGTAATTCCCCAATTATTCATATTCACAATGCAATGACTTGAACGTGAAAAGGTATTGAAAAGAGTGAGAGAGCTGCGTCTAAAAACAAAGTACCCACTAGAAAGCCCGACAACAAGGGAAACGTGAAAATTTGAAAAAAAGCTTAGAAGACATGTTCTTCTGTGCCGATGTCCAAAACGCTATTCCCCCATGGTTGTGGGGCACAAAATTTATACCCTTCTGAGTCCATACCGCCCAATTTTTTTTTTAGAAATTATTTTGCATTGGTCACCCTTTGCCACCTTTTGCAAACAAAAATGCAACACGATCAAATTTATCATATTTCATATCATTATTATGACAGCTGCCTATTGAATGAAGAAGCCTCGATGCAAGGCTTCAACGCTATAGCTCCAATACTATGGGATAAGCAACGTTTAAAACAAACGTATAGTACATTGCGATTTGGTCTCGTTTTGTCATGCTGATTATATGTATGTCTACGGTAGGTGGTATTATGGCGCTGACAAACTTAAAAACACTAAAAAATAATATAGGTGTAGGTATCTACACCATAAGAAAATGGAGCTGACGCATTTTTTTTTTTTTCTTAAAAACAATATTTAGTTAAGAGCTTAGAAGGCTGTCAATCTCTGAAAACGTCTGAAGGGAATTTGAAAATAATTAACCAGAAACGGCTGTAGATACACCTGATGAGCAAATTCTACAAAAAAACGCGAAACTGCTGCACATTCGGTCAACTAATGTTTTTATTTGAAACTTAAATACCTAATTGTACAACCTTCGAATTGATCGAGATGCGCATTTCGGATGAGGTTGCTAGCCAAGTTTGGTTACGTTTTTGTGGGTGTCCACATTAGGCCAAGTTGAAGTGATTTTGTCGCTGACTGGGTTTTTTTCTTTGGCATTTGCTTTACGACTTGGGCCCATTGTAAACATGTTATTACTTTTGACCTTATTTAAACTATTCAAATGTAAACTAGCGATGTCGAGTTCAAGGCCTGCCTCATTTTGCGCGTTTGTAAAATGACCAAAAATATCCCAACACGCGCACAACTCGGACACGGGTGAAGCAAAAAATTCTACACACAATTACAAAGCAACTAATGACCAAGAAAAAACATTATTTCATATACATACATATGTATGTACTTACATACATATGTACATGTGTGTAGATGCAGTAACTGTGCTTGCTGTTTTTCTTACAATATTGTGCAATTCTCAGTGATTGATGCGTCGGTTTGACGGTTTCAAAGCCTCAATGGCTCTCAAAACGTGGCTCTACAAAGCAAAGCCGCCGGCGGAGGCGAATTGCAGCAGCAAACGCAGCATGCACGGCAGTTGCTATTACTGTTATGATTATTAAATAGCGGTTAAGCCAAACGCCATTTTCTGATTCTGCAAATCATTCTTGCACATGCATGGAACAACAACGGTGTTTGGAATTTTTGGCGCATTGCAATTACGGGTTAATAGCAGGGCAGATTTGAAAAATGTATGCATTAAATAACGGAGAATGAATGTTGGTGTCGATTAGCACAATAACTGGACTTTCCACCAAGCAGAAAATACTTGTACATCATATACATACATACATGCATACATATGTATGTAAGTGCCAAAAACGTGCTACGCGCCCATCTCAAACATTTGTCAACCGCACAAACAAGTTGAAAACAAATTGTACAGCATCGACCAGCCACATCTCGGCATTTTACGGAGATGCTGATGGTCATTATAATCACGATGATCATGATAGTGATCAAGTTTGCTGTCCGATAGTCGGTTTAGTACGTAAAATCAACACCAAAAGCATTAGAAATTACGCAAGTTACCATCGCAGCCAAAGTGCCAATGGTGAAAATTATATCAAGGTCACGAGCTGACATAAAATCAATGAATCAACAACCCAATATTAATTGGTAATTGTACCTAAAGGTTTCAAGGTGCACAATTCCATTAATTAGCACGCACTGCGATCGAATCTGTAACGCCTGCTGTTGTACTGTACAGTGCAGAAAACAAGCGCGGATATCTGCATATGAATGCGAACACCATGCAAAGAAATAAAATTAACAACACAAATAAATGCATGCAAGTTATTTAATTTCAGTTCCGTTTTTTTTTCATTCATATGCTAATGCAATTTTGTTTAATATTAAGGCCACTATAAAATGGCGCTAGACTTGAGAAAAACTTATTCAATGCACAGATTTCATGCAACGTTTTTAGGAATTTTCCTATACTACGAATGCTTTAATAAATTAAAATGTATTAATTTATCATTAAATAAGTATTCAAATAAAGTTCAAAATTTCTCTTGCATTTCTCAAGTATATGTACATATGTACATATATGCACTACAACTGAATGATACCGGTTTTTTTTTTGCTTACATAAATTATTTTATACACTTTAATCTGTCAAAAAATATATCATAGATTCATGGAAAAGAAAGCATTGTATTGTATTTTATTAAAACTATGACACCACAGTCCATTCCTTTAAATGTTCTGTAATAATAATTTGCTCTAAACAAAATTAAAAAACTATATAACTAAGCTATAAAAACTTGATATTATAATGACCATAAAATAGTCGTTGTTTTTTATGCCCAAAATAGGCTTGATAACAAAAGGAATATATAGTATTTAAATCATTTAAATAACCTCCAATAATATTTAAGTGTTTGATAAAAATCAATTAACTCTAATATATGTACATATGCTTATAAAAGTGACCAAAAACGGTCATATGTATGTATAATAATAAATTTGTTTACACTACAGCATACGATTTTACAAAATGTGTTTTGCAGATCCACTTAACGTGCCGGGTGCGTATAAATTGTGTACAAAGTTTAAATAATTTTAGTATACAGTACGGAAATCAGTTTTCCCATTTATATACTGATAGGCAGCACGATAAAAAAATGTTGCAGCTGAACCGTTGAATTCGCCATTTGATGTTGCCCCATGGTATCGATATCAATACCACTACTCCCAAGTACAATATATTTGCTTTTGGTATTTTACAGCACTGCCTCAATGAATGGTAAATAAAGCTGAAAAGAAAGAAGAAGATCAAGAAGAGCTCATTTGTATAGTTTGTTTAATGGAAAATTTGTGCATGTACTGAACCATGTTGCGTCAAAATCTCTTAGATCAGCTTCATCATTTTATAACCACAGTAACCACCACACCCAGCAATGCTCAGGTTCTCACACAGCCATCGCTTATCAAAGTGGCGTAAGTTTGCGATTGCCAATACTTTAATTTTAATTGAATTACATTCTCAATCCACTCACACAGATTAAACTTTCTCGATGAGTTGCCGGCGACGCGTGAAATTGTGTTTGACTATTTCGGTATTCTGGCCGAGATTGGGGTGCAACTTTACGTGTCGCCTGAGATGGTGGATGGCAAGACTGGCCTGCCGGTATCACAGGTTAAGCAAGGCGGCAACCGCCAGCAACAGCTGCGGGCGCAGGAATACGAAGCCTTCAATATGGTTAAAACTTCGCTCCAAAACCTGATTTGGAAAGGTCCGGCGGCCTGGTCGCCATTGATAGCCAACTGGAGCTTGGAGTTGGTGGCTAAATTATCTGACAAGTATACGCAGAGACGGATGACCATCACCGCTTCGTGCAATTATTGGCTCGAATGCAGTGCAATGCATGGTCTTTTGACTCTAATAAATAGCTGCTTTCGCAAGCTGAGCAACACGGAGGCGGAAACTTGCGTAGAAACCATGTTGAATGCCTTCCGCCGCTATCCCATGACGTTTGATTGGATAGTAGCACGTTTGGGTGGCTGTTTTCCATACAAAATCATCATGCAAATCTTGCAATGTGGTATCAAACGTTTTGTTGATGATTTCCGCTGTCATCTTGATTCAGAGGCGGGTATATTAGACTACATGACCTCGTGCCACGAACAGCAGTTGCGTGCAGCATTTCGTGAAATGCTGAAAGATGGTTTATCACCAAAAAAACCGTTGGATACGGCAGTCGTGCCATTTTTGATGATCACCACAAACTATTCAGATGCAATTTTGCAGAGTTTAGTCAATGTTTTTGTGGAATTATGTGAGTATATGGCGTCAAATATCCAAGAAAGTTATCAACAATTTTCTCTCTCATACAATGCATAGACACTGACGACCTGTGCGATGTTATTGTACAAAGATCGCCACTTTGGCTTAACAATAAAATGTTTGCAGACATGCAACCCACGCTAAACAACGCCGTTCTCCGACTCAACCAACATGGCGCAACGCTGCTTATTACAGTAGCCAAGATAGCCGAGAAGTATGTGTGGTGTCAGGACTTTCTAGATAACTCCATGCAGGAGCTGGAACAGTGGGTGATCAAGTCGCGGAACACTCCGCTGCTTGCTGATTTGGCTTATGAGCAAACAAAGTACATGTTGTGGAAAAGTTGCCTGAGCACCAATATAATGGAACAGCAGACTGCTGTACGATTGTTACTCTTCGTCTGTGAGTTAATTGATTGGGTTGCTTAGTCGATTGTCAAATGCAATTGATAAAGTCTGAACCCTTTGCAGATGTATTTAAGCCTATACTAACTCATCAATTCCACAGCCTCCCAGCATCCGCATATTTATTATCAAACGATATCACAATTGCTCAGAAAATCGTATGCTGAAAATCCTAATGGAATCGGTGCCCTTATGCGTATGCTGAGTGGCCAAGGTGGCGTAGTAAACTTTCCAAGCATAACGCAAGGCTTTAAAATGGTGCTGGAGGATATAACGCTACAAGAGCAAGTGGAAAATCGCTTGCCTATTCCACCGGGTGCTACATCAGACGCCTACAACACATTCTATAACTTAAAAATGTTAGCAAGGTAGGTAGAAAAAACCGCAAAAAATTGTTTATTTATTAATTTTTTAAATATGTATATACAATTCCTCTCACCACTAGCATACAAAACAAGAATAACTTCCCACACATAAAACCGCAACATCTATCACAGGCTCTAAATGAATGCTTACCAAAGATCATTCAAATCTTTGATTGCACGGTTAACAAGTTGGTGCTGCTTATGGACAGAGATGCAGCAATGCGCACCGCTGCGAAATTTAAAGAGCAACAGGCTAACAACAACAATCTGGAGACCATGCCCGATATGTACAATGGTAATGGCGACAGCAAGCGCCCCAAGGTCGAGCCTAGTGACGAAGAAACAATGAGCGAGAGTAACAGCAACGGCAGCACTGAGGATTGCGATGCAGCACGCATGAATCTGGCCCATCTCATTGTCGATGTGCTCAACACTATTGAGGCAGGAGCCCGCAAAAATATTATGCACACGCCTTTGGTACTCAAGTTAGCTGTGCTTAGTGTGAAGTATTTTTTTGTTGGCCTCAACGAAAAGAGTAAGTTAGCAGTGAATGTTTATCATTTACTATCTTTTATTATTTTTCCTTTATGTAATGCAGATGCCATACAAAGAGCTGCAGCCGCACATCGTGCCAATACGTTGCTGCAGCGTCAGTGCTCGGCTCGGAAAATAGCTCGCACTGCCTGCCTGCGGGAACTACTCGAAGGTGCGCTGTTCTATCATGGTCACCTGCTGGGACAGCTGGAGGAATACGAACTCGATGAGCTGCAAATTCCGGAACATGAGTTGCTCATTCTACAAAATTTACACACTAGTTCCGGGGCCAACTCAAACCGCTCAGTACTACATTCAGGCGTAATCGGACGGGGTCTAAGGCCAGTACTGTTGAACAGGCCTCAAAGTTGCGATGCGGAAAAGCAGAGTTTGTATCTTAAAGCCTTGCATGCATGCTGCGCTGATTTGGTAATACACGAGAATTGACGAATTCTTGGTGAATACGATTAACTTTTTAATACATTTTTTATCATTATTAGGAAAAGCCAAACAATGTGGATGGCTACACAACAGTTTCGTTAATGTTGGTCGAGCTGGTCTCTACGGATGTAATGTACAACGGGCTGCCGTTTCCCGATGAAGACTTCACGAAGGTCACCATGGAACGGGACATGCAAATACGTCGTGCCTTCATTACATCACCCGTGCTGTGGGCTGTTCTAGGTCTTATTTCCACACATCGGCCAACCTTGTGTTACTGCTCAGTGCTGTTGCGAGCGCTATGTGCAACATGTTTGCATCATTGGCGTGGCAAAAACGGTAAGTAAACTACAACAAAACAACAATCTTATTATATCGCTCTCCTTTGTACGACAGTAAATAAGTTTCAACCCACTGACCCCAACGACGAACTTATGTTATGCACCAAAAAGCTGTTGCAATTGTTAGCCATGGGTCAACTGATCCCGCCGCCGTTGACAAGTCTGCATATGATCATCGAGCATTTTGAATCACAAGAAGTAAGTAGATGCATTGTTTCTTCATTCCTTAATTTTTAAAAAACGATCGTGTATATGTAGGAGAATAATATATCTTTAAAAAGTAAATTTTCAATCTTATCTAAAAAAAAACATATTCATGGACCGTATAAATCCTTAGATATGAAAAATTCTTCATACATTTTCGTACATTTTTCGATAAAAATTTTTACAATTTCAAATTGAGAATTTTAAGGCATAGCGCGATTACAGCAATCGTGACTTGACTTCTATCTTCTACATATGCAAAAATCAATTAAGGCTGGCAGTCTTTGCAAAGGGATCTGTAGGATTTTCGCTGAAATTAGACGGCCTGATTCCAGATTAGGCAGATCATCACAAAAAAAAAACGTATTATTCGAACTTTCTTTTCCAGATTGCGTTGCTGTTGCGGGAATGCATTTGGAACTATTTGAAAGATCATGTCCCCTCGCCTGCCCTTTTCCACGTGGACAGCAATGGTTTGCATTGGCGCAATTTGAACCAGTCAAGAGCACCGCCGCAGTATGTGGACACCCTACGTAACTTAATGCAAAAGAAACTCTCCAAGCTGGGCCAACATTACTACCAAATGTTCATAATGAGCGAACTACATGCCAGCTCTGTAACCACAACAGCGATATCACCCACAGCTGCAGAAACAGCAGCAGGGGCAGCGGGAGCAGTGGCAGCTGTAGGATCAACAGAAGTTGCTACCACAGCTGTGGAGGAGCCAGCAGCAGCCACAACGACGAAGGTGGAGACAACAACATCTCCAATCGTCGTCATGGAAATAGATTAGACAATTGATAGCACTGTTAGTTAAGTAGAGTCAAGCTCACACGGACAAATAAGTTTAAAGTAAAATGGTTTCTGTTCTTCCCAAAGTGCTTAAACAAAAATCCCCCGATAAAGCGTGAATAGAGAAGCTTCTCACTTTCTGGCTGCAAAATACTGGCACAGTCTTAGTTGTCTTAGTCGAATTTATAGCAGTTATATAAATTTATATACAATTGAAACTGTTTACTTTTATGCTTCAAGAGTCCAGGCAGGATAACTTGAGTTCATAGTACAAATGTAGTTAAAGATTTTAAATACATCGACTTACATATACACACCTTAAACGTATGTTCAGTATTGATGAGAAGCTTATTTGTCTGTGTAATCTTGATAGGATAAAATATGATTTGAGAAGTTTTATAGGCGTTTTGAGAATGTAAATATGTATAAGCGAACTAAATGAATGTTGTATTTATTTTTAAATATTTTTTATTTGGTCCTAATTAATTTTCGTTTGCATTTTTTTTTTTCTGTTCATATATATTAATTTCTTCTGTTGTGGATACTGTCCAGCAGTTCAAGTCTTCTCATGGATCCATGATGTTTTGGCGCCTGAAAATTGTGATGATTAAAGCCAGTACCATCAATAAGTTTCCCCGCATTTTCAACATTATGGTTCTCCTTTCAATAATTCATTCATAACATACGATACATAAGCATAAACAACTAATTTACTCTCATATGTTTAACATAATACACAGTATTGTCACTTGGATATAGCCTGCGTTCTGCATGCACCCCCGGCCCCTCTAACAACATTCACATCGCGTGAGTTTGGCTAACTTAAAGTCTCTTTATGAGTTTACCTCTCTTTATAAATATATACTTGGCGAAAATCAAAGAGAACTTAGGACAACAAAAAACGAGAATGAAAAAAAAAAAACAAAACCAAAAAGTTTCTCACAATTTGTTAACAAAGTTTTTTGCTTTTTACTAGTAACTAGACGCTAATAGACGGCGAACGACCGTCGTCTACGACGTCCGACAATGGCTTAGTTTGCGAACGGAGATGCATGATGTAAGTTTTTTGGCGCGTCGCTTAAGCGAACTGCCCTTCTTTTTGCTGGCTGTTTCCTCCCGGTTACCATTAGCCAAGGCAGCGGCCGCTGCACTTGTCGAGGGCTCAAGCGCAGAAGCGGCGGCAGCGGCTTGTTGTGCTCGAATTTCTGCAGCTGCGGCTGCAGCGCGCTGCGCCAACTGTTCTGTAAAACGAACATGTGGTTAGTATCGTGCAAAACACCAACTACAAAAATTACTATCAGACTTGCTACCGTGGAATCCAAATTGGTAAATTATCTCATAGTTATATGATAACTAAGGAATTATTCAGTTTAAAATGTGGTCAGTAAATTACTTTATCCAACATTTTAAGACCGAATAGGGTTATCGTTTTCAAGTATAGGTGTCGGCCATAAAAATCAGACTTACGATTTACATCGTGCTCGGTAAAGTAGACATCTTCCTGCTCCTGTTCGTTGCCATAGTGATAAGCTTCTAGGTAAGGCAGTACTGTGGAACGTCGTATTTCATCGCCTTTGAGTGGAGGAATAGGTATCGGTGGGCCGGTCACCTCTGGTGCAGATATGAACCAACTGAGAAAGAGTAGATACAATTAAGCGGATAAAACTCGCACTATAGCCGCCATACGTACTGATCTTTGCGTATCTGTTGCAAAGAGAGCCGCTTGTTGGGATCTGCCTGCAGCATGCCCAGTACAAGGTTGGCAAAATTGGCGTCCAGTTCGAAGAGCCAATCTGGTGCCACCCATTGGCTGCGTCCAATGTTCTCAAGCAACCGAAAGATGTTGTCACCCTCGAATGGATATAGACCTGTAACCAGGTTGTAACTGAACGGATCGAAAAATGATGAGCAAACGAAAATTAATTTGAATGCCGGCATCTTACAGCGTGACACCGGTACTCCAGATGTCCACTTTGTAGCCCGAAAACGTCTCGTGACCATTGGCAATCTCTGGCGGCTGAAATGCAGGCGATCCCTGGCCAGTCGTGCACGTATCATCCGGCGCAAACAGATCCAGCTGCTCAGCGACACCAAAATCCGATATCTTGAGCGTCTGATCAAGCGTTAATAGTAGATTGCCGGGTTTAATGTCTTTGTGGATGACGCGACAGCCATGCAAGTACTCCAATCCATCGACTAGCTGCTTAAAGTAGCCATGCGCCTGAAAGAGTGGCATCTTCTTATTAGGCGCATAGTCCAGCATCTCTTGCAAGCCTCCAACGCAGTACTCCATAACCAAGTACATCTTCTGTTTCTCATTGTTGTACAGCACATCGATTAGCGAGACAACGTTTTGATGCTTCAGCTGTTTCAGCAAATGAATCTCACGGGTGACGTTTTGCTCACCATTAGGGATGCGGCGCAGTTTACGCTTTGTGAGTATCTTCACAGCCAGTCGGCAAAGGTTCTCCGAGTCCATGGCCTCTTTCACCTTACCGTAGGAGCCCTCACCCAGGACATCACCCATTACGTATTTGCCTACCATCTTAAGGTTCTTCTTTTTTTGTTGATAGATAATATCCTGGCTGTCGACACGATTAAACATGTTGCCAATGTCGAGTGTCGCCAAATCAAGGGTATCGATCTCGTAGTCATTCAGCCAGGTTACTGGATTGTGTTGTTGATCTGTGTGGTTATCAGGTTCTTCTGCTGACGCCGCCATGGCCTCCTCTGCACTTATTCCATTTAGCTCAACGAAGGCTTCATCCAGTTCCGACGCGGTGTCAAAGTGAAAGTTCTTATTTGCTAATAAAACTGTCGTCTCATCATCCGCTGCATCCGCGATTTCCTTGCCCGCCACTTCGAGCGATTTGTTTGAGCCAAGGTGTTGGCCGCCTCCACCGCCACCCCCCGCCCGCTGTGCTATTTTGAATTGTGCCTCTGCCTCCATTGCATGTGTACTGTTTACCGTCATTTGGTTTGAGTGGTGCCCGATGCTCCCAACTCTCCTCTTGTATCAATGTAAGCAACCACGCCGCTCTCGCTCTCCTTGCTCTGGTCGTGGTCTCGTGGGCCGCACTAGAACATTGCATAAACAACCGCACTGCCCACTGGCCCTCAGCTTACATTGTTGTTGCTGTATTCAATGCAGGTACCTCAAGCGTCTGCTAGCGCCGTTAATCTGGGCAACACTATTATAATAATTAAATCGCTGCCCCTGTCGTATAATCTACTAGATCTACTACTATGCTTTCCTGTGCCTTTTTCAAGTCGAACAATTTGCACAATAAGTATATTGATGTATAGGTTCAGGCGCCGCTGTTTTTCTGTACTCGGGGAGGCCTGACTAGGGAACTTGTTGAAAGTATGTGAAATTTTACACTCTAAAAATTTGTTTCATTTTTGAAATTGTTGATTTAATTTAATGTTTTACTAAGACTGTTTTCTATGCGGTCACGACTCTGAAATGTTGCCATTAGGGATGGGACAGCTGTTGAATAACCGATGCCATTACTAGCGCGCAAAAGCAAATCCTTTGATAAACACCCTCCTTTTTATAAGTATCGATGCTGGAAGGACCACAATTTACTTATGAGTGATATGGCTTAAAAGTATTTGAAAAGAGAGTAGAGTGAGTGTCGTAAAAAGGCAATTAAAGGAAATATCGATGATTATATGTATATACTGCAGCCCTCTGTTATCGCTGCCAGGGCAGCGAAACAACTTTACTATTTTTGGTCATTTTACAAAACAAAACAAAAACAAGAAAATAAACGAAAATTACAAATTACCGACTGATTACTATAAGGAATAGGTACAAAAAACCCAACGTCATGGCATCTGGACCAACCACAAAAGAGCGACTTGAACGCCTAATGGCAGCAAAGGGACAGCTGGAAGCACAAATCAGCAAAAGTGGACAAATCCTAGCTCAAGTAGATATCTATAAAAAAAAGGATTTAATGTGCATTAATTAATTATTATTCCACCTTCACATAGAACGACAACGTGGGCATGAATGGGTCATTAGTAGATGCTGAGGGCTATCCACGTAATGACATTGACATTTACCAGGTGCGGCAGGCGCGTCAAACAATAATTTGTCTGCAGAACGATCACAAGGAGCTTATGAATCAAATACAAGAGTTGCTTAATCAGTATCATGCTGAAATAGCCTCTACTGATCCAGAGCTTGTTAACCGCGCATCTGCCTTAGAGCTAGATCGACCCACAGGTGGGGCTGTCAATCAGTTGGAAGTGCAGGATTCGCGTACCATAGTTGTTGTCAATCTTGTCAGTCCCAACTCGCCGGCTGAGGAGGCGGTTAGTATCTGCCCTTAAATACACTCATATATATATTTAATCTGTTTCCACTTACAGGGCATACGAGTTGGCGATCAAATTTTGCACTTTGGCTCCGTTAATGGCGGTAACTTTAAAAATAATTTGACACAAATTGGCGATGTTGTTCGCAATATGCAAAATCAAAATGTGCAACTGAAAGTGAAGCGTGGCGACAAGCTCCTTGATTTGCTGCTCGTGCCAAAAACTTGGAGCGGTCGCGGTCTGCTTGGTTGTAACATAGTCCTACCGCCCGAGCCAATGGAACATTAGTTAAGAGTACCATATACATACCTCGGTCTAAGGAGTTAGCAATAAAATTGCTTTTAAATAATTCGCTCAAGGCGAACTGTCGAAAAAATAATAGTTTTGTACTAAATGGATGACATCGAATTTTCCGCAAACTAATTCGACTTTGAAATAAATTAAAACTAAAACATTGACCTGATAGTTTCGTCACGGTGTGTGCGTAGCTTTGGTAACCTACATCAATACTTAGGGTAGGTCAGTCAATGATGGACAAGTCATATATAATACATATGGACATGCATTTGCGTCACTTCAATTTTTGTGACACAGATGGGCTTCCATATTATACACGCTATTATCCAGAAACTTTCACCGTGTTTTTTACTCAGCATGTACACCTACCAATAGGTATAATAAAGATATCAGATTTGTTTTTAATTAAGTGGTTCGTTTATTTTTATTTTACATAAACAATATTAAAATAAGTAATATTTAAAGTCCCTTGAATATAGCCAATGAAACAGAAACAAAAAATGCATATTGCAAGATCAACTAAAACAGATTGAGTGATGGATAAAATAGCATTAATCTGATTAATTTTGCTGCTTAGCCTAGAACTGGTTAGCAAGAGAATTAAAGGCATAATCAAGCTATTTGAATTAAAACTTTGGTATGCTCGAAAATATATCAACTCAATTATCGTCAACAATCCAGGTACGAGAAATATACTACTTGATGTATATATGGATACTGCGTACCCTATTAGAGCCGATACAAAAATATGGCCTCTACTTTTAATAAATTTATTAGTTGTTACGGGCTCGGTTTCAGTAAACAAGTTTTTGGGAAGGCCTCCTTGAAATGGTGTATGGATTGGAGAATCAGGTTCCACCTCTGGATCCGAATACTGCAGAACCTCTGTCGGGTTGTCAACAATTCTTGCTTGAACGTCGCATGCTCTACCATTCAATTTTTCGAGGCGATTCTTAGCACTTTCCAATATTTTCTTTCGCCTCAAATTCCTCCTCACCTCCGCTGCTGACTGTTCGGGATTAACGGCAAGTTCGGGATTCATTTTACTTATCAAAGTATAAATTAAAGTGTTTATTTGTTATCAATGTGAAGTAATTTGGGTTGCTGCGACGAAGCAAAGTTTTTCACAACATTGCTGTTGCTATTATATCGATATATGAAACAATCGATATTTTAAATGTTTAATAACTGAAAGTCTGCGTTTAATACACTGAGCACAAACTGTTCAAATTTATATCGCTATACAGCCGTTTTGAACAATTTCCTTGCGGTAAAATATAAATTGATCGATTTTCCAGGTCAATTGAAATAATAGTTATAAATAACTCAAGTTTTGGTTAAAAAAAAAGCTTGGTAAAAAAGTTAAGCTTGAGTTTTCAATGAAATGATTTTTTAATTTGTATGCCCTGTAACCGTAGGATTGAAGGGCATACTAAAAAGTCTAAACGCCAATGCACCTATGTATGTACATACTCGTAAAAGGCAGAAGGATGAGTGGCAGATCCCATGTAATAGTTAGATGTATGATAATAGATAGTTCGTCCATCTGTCTGTCCATCCGTACAAGCATAGAGAACTTTGTATACCTAACTGCTAGGACCCAAAAACTTGAATGTAGAGTTGTCGTTTCTATACGCAGGGAATGTTTATTACCAATCGACGTAAAAACACATATCTTGACAAAATGTGCAATTTACGCGCTTGAATATTAATATTCTAACGTGTGTTACCGAAATCGGACAACTATATATGTACATACATTCAAGTCCATGCCCTTAAGCTCTTATTATAGCTTATTTTCTTTTTAAAGCGATTTTTGGCGACTATGAATAGTTTGCATCATACATATGTATCTGTGAAAACAATTTATTTTACTAGTACTTCGGACGAGTTTATTATTTATTTTATTGCGCTATAGACAAAGTTTTCTACTATATTGGATGACCCGTCCCTCCAAATTTGTATACTCTGAACATGAAATGTACAAGAGTATACTAGGTTTGCGCGAGCTGAAATATGTAAGTGGCAGAAAGAGGCGTGACAGACCCCAGAAAGTATATACATATATTCTTGATCAGCGTGACAAGACGAGTCGATCTAGCCCTGTCTGTATGTCCGACTGTATGAACACCTAGATCTCAGAGACTATAAGATCCAGAAACACCAAATTTTGCACAAAGATGGCTTATGTGTGTACGCTGTGAAAGTTTGTTTTATTTTTTGATTCCCCTCCACTTCCTCCCTATGGGGGTTTTCCCCATTTTCCATTCGTATAATCGCCTATATCTCGGAGACTATAAGACCTAGGAACACAAAATTTTGGCAATGCTCGGCAAAAGGCTTTAAATGTATATAAATACATTCAGTTTCGATAAAAAATTTGAGGCTCCTGACATCAGCACCATTTGACTCAAGCTAGTTTTTGAATTTGGTCAAATTGCGAGGTATCTAACGTGAACATTATTTTGTACAGCCAAAAGTTGATTAAAATTAAATTGATTAGTTTCATGTCAAGCCCTAAGTAAGACGAATGAATCACACGATATGTGACAGACAAGTCGATCTGCTTCAAGGCACAGAGTCGATGCTGTCCCTGACATCTTTGATCAACCTGGCATACGTATTATAAAATGTTGCTTGGATGGTATTTTAGGATGCTTTTCATTCATTGTTGCCGAGCTAAATTTTAAATCGTACAAAATCATCCATCGAAAACTTGAACGAGAAATGTTGAGCACAGTTGATTATAAATTTGGTTTGTTAATTAGTAATTGAAACTACCCGTTTCCAGAAACTTTAACAGCATCTCTCGTATAAATACCAATTGCTAATTCTAGTTCTTACTATATCGACACGTCTTGTTATATTGATCAAGAATATATGTATATATTTTTGGGGGCTGTCACGCCTCCTAAAGTACTGAACTACTTAGTAGTAAAGGGGAAAACTAAAGCACAGGTACTTTTATGTAAATGGTGACAATATCTTCAAACGAGTTGTATGTAGTAAACAGTCATTTAATCAAACAATACATTCTAAAGCCGTGGCGTGAAGATACACTGCACCACCGCTTATGTAATATTTAACATTCACCTTACAGTTCACCTTGCGCTACATTTTGAAGGAATTGAATATTGACGGAAGTGTTCGCACTCTTAAAGCTGATGCTGTATTTGTAATTGTAACCTAATAAATAGACATAATTAGTTATAGAGAATTACAACTTATAGTAGATTTTGGGGAAGGGGACCAACATGGCGTATGCGCAACATTAATATAAATTAAGTTTATGCGGCGTGTCCGAATAAATACTTTATATTTGAAAGAGACCCCGGAACCTGTTTAGATACGCGCCATCTGTCAAAAGCGGAAACAAGCTTAAAGCTTTGTTGAGTTGGCAGGACTGGCAAAGAGAATGGTTAAGAGCAACTTTCGAAGAGCGTTAACGCTTTTGGTACTCAACATCGTCTTTGCCTACTCCACATCCTTGTATAAGGATCCAGCAGCCAACTGTCATTTTGTGCGCCGTAGCAGTTCTGAAATACAATTGAATGCGCGTGCATTGCGGACGAAAATACGTGCCAAAGAAGAAAAAGAAATTCAAAGCAAGAAATTGTATGGTGAAAAATTAGACGAGCAAAAAATTGTCTTATTATGCGCGACAGATATTGACGTGGAAAAGTGTACGCGAGCCAATTATGTGAAATTCGAAAATAAGGCCGAGAACCGCAGTTTGCAGCGAGATTTTTGTGTACGGCATCAGGTTTTTGTGTCTTTCGTTTTACATAATGAATATACATTTTTGTGGGGTTCTGGTGCTGTTGGTTGTGCGTCTGTGTGTCTCAACGTCATAGGCCCATGGACTGAGCGACGAACAAGCGAAGGCCAAAGAGGCGTGCTGAGCAGACAGCCAGATAGACAGTCGGGAAGGGTATGGGTTGGAGGGATTTATGATAGTGTCACTGTCATTGCCAGTGCACGATAAAGGCAGAGCAAATAAAAAAAAAAGAAAAGAAAAACTCGGAAAAAATATATATTAGCTGAGTAAGTAGGAGATGAGAAACGAGGGAGGCTGTCCGTTTCGGATTGTAGGAGGGGTGGGTGCAAAATAGCGCAACAAACGAACACACGCCATGTGGAAAAATGCGCAAATGGCAAAAGGAAACTAGCAAAAAAGTTAACTAAGGGCAAGCAAGCAGCCTCCAGTGGTTGTGTGGCTGTGCCTGTGGTTGTGGATGTAACTGTAACTGTGGCTGCACAAACACAACTTGTTAGGCATTTGCGAACCACCCCAAAACATACGCACACACACACACAGACGAAGAGATACGCATACACGCACAATCCAAATTTTGGTTACGTTGGCTCAATAAATTAGAAAAAAAAGCGTGTGCCTCTTTGTTGCTTCTCAGTCCGTGTGCGTGTGTGTATGTGTGTGTGTGTGTGCGTGCTTGCGTCAGTATTTGTGTGTATGCGCGTTGAAGCGAGCAGCGCACAATCACACACTGACAAACAAAGAGGACATAGCTCAACACACACTCTCGTGTACACTTAAATATGAATTATTCAGAGGTTCTGCAATGCTGCTGTTGTGCACAAATTGAAAAAAGTGTGAAGAGGAAGCGTACTATTTTTCGCACCAAACACACTCCGTTCAATTCAGTCCGCACACTCGGTCGCCCCTCTCACTCCTCCGCAGAACAGCCAGCACATTGAGGAAATACGTACACCCTACTTCCCGAGCTTCCTCTGCTCTCACTTTTCCTCGTTATCTTGCTGTTTGTGCCTGCCTGCCTGGCTTAGCTTTTTTAATAATTCAAGAACTACCGTAATGCCGCGAAATCTCAAATTTCCGCTCCTGCATTCGGTTTGCGACAAGCGCGTAAAATGAATTTTTAATTTGGTAGTCAGTTAATATACACATACAACAAATTACAAGCTAGTTTTATGCGCTCCAATCAGTGTGTGTATGTGTGTATGTGCGAGTCCGAACAGGTGTAAAGTGTGCCACGTGTGTGTTAAGTTTAGGGGAGTGGGCCATTGTATGGTTTGTTGGATTGCGAATAACTCGTTGGTGTCTTGGTGTGTGCGTGTATGCTCAGCAGACGTTAGTTATTGATGATGACGGATTAGTGGTGCATTACCTAATCAAACATAAAGGACACTAGCATCAAGCTACAAAATGAAGTTAGGCGAGCATCCATTTTTTAAGGACAACTATAGAGCAAACAAATATAATATATAACTTATTTATTTTTAACTCAAATGTCCTGGTCTCAGTTTAAGAACAAATCTATGCGCTTTTTGCAACTTTAATGCTCAATGTCCAACGATGGCATTTATCTTGAATAGAAATCGAATTTTGTGGGAGTAGCTCTAAATCTCTAAGAAGATTAATGCTTCAATAAATATACAAGTAGATCAAAATGATTCGGTTAGTATTCTTATAACACTATACTGCTGCACTATTTTTTTATAGTCACTGAGTAGGAATTACAAAAAATACATACAGTATGTACATACTGTACGTATGTATGTATGTATGTATGTGTGTACATATTTGTATGATGCTCAATATTAACCAACAAATGGGGCTCTACCTTTAAGACCTTCCCATCTGCACCAGCTATTGTTAGAGGCTATTTTTAGAATAACCTACACATGCACATGCATACAAATATGTCTGTAAAGCAACAACTAATTTATGACATTTGAAATCACTGTACCACCATTAACCACCCACCACCCGCCAACCATCACCCACCAGCTTAGCCGCAGGATATGCGAATGAACCAAACACACCAGTGCCGCCCCACAATGCAACGTAACTGAAGCCGAAGGACATAGCGTCGACGACGACGTCGAAATGCCGCCGCCGTCGTCGCCGCTGCCGTGTGTGCGTAACAACGAAGCGATTGCCGTCAGCAGGAACGACACCAACAACATCAGCGTCATCAGCAGCTACAACAAGCCGTCGACAATGTTGAAGCAGTTGCAATTGCAGCATGGAATGCAGCCTCAGCAGCTGCTTTGGTATAAATAACACAAGGACATGGGCGGCGCAAGCACCACAACGACGATGACGACGACGCCAACGACAAAGGCAACATCAGCAACAGCAACAGAAACAACAACACCACCAACGTCAGCAACAGCACAAGATGAGAACGGGACTGTGTAATAAAAATAAATGCGACTCAGTCGCTGCAAAAGCTACGTAGCTAACTAAATTACAAGTGCTACTAAAATTAAAATAGTTGAGTGATATTATTTTTAATGAAATTAAGTGCTAAAAATGGAAAAAGGACGAGACAGCTGCACCAGCTACAGCCAAGTGAAAAGTGAATTTTCTCGAGCAATGCAAAAATAATTGCTAGTGCCAAAAATCACACTGAACAACAAAACTAATAGTGAACTAGGAAAGGCACACACACACACGCAGAGACCTATCTGTACCCAGAGACTTTGATTAGACCTCGTGTGTGCAGAGGTGCGTCGAAGCTGCTGCCAGTCCGAGTGCCTGACGCTCACGTACATGCATGTACGAGCATGTATGTATTGGTCTGAGAAGTGAATGAGTGAGTGAGTGAGTGAATGAGTAGTAGTTGTTGTTGTTGTTGTGCTTAACCTGATTTAAAAAGTTTGTCCTTTAAACGAACAACAACACGAGCAACGAGCCGCAGAGTGCAGCACATATGGAAGGAAGCAGCAAGATTTGTTGCAGCCAACATAGCCAACACAACACCAACAACAGCAGTATCATCAAGAAGCAGCAGCAGTTGTACCGCCGACGACGTCGACGTCAGCAGCAACAACAGCAGCAGGAGTGGAAGCAGCAGCTTGCAAAAAAGTTGCACGTATACGAAACGAATCTAATCAAATGCATGTTTATTAACAATAACCTCGCCTAAATGAAGAATGAAGAAACAAAATGTGCGCACGATATCCTTGATCGTGTGTACATTTACATATTTGTTAGTGGGAGCCGCTGTCTTTGATGCTCTCGAATCGGAAACGGAAAAGCGTCGTTGGGAGGCGCTGCAAGGTGAGTCTGCATGGGTCACCAACCCTCCACCCACAATCAATAACATTCACAATCCATTCGATTCGCTTTTCCTGCTTACAGCCGTAGAGGACATGATTATACGCAAATACAATATATCACAGGAGGATTTCAAAGTCATGGAGACGGTGGTGCTCAAGTCAGAGCCACACAAAGCCGGCCAGCAATGGAAGTTCACCGGCGCATTCTATTATGCCACCACAGTGCTGACCACCATCGGCTATGGCCACTCAACTCCCAGCACCATTGGCGGCAAACTATTTACCATGTGCTATGCCATTGTGGGCATACCGCTGGGCCTCGTTATGTTTCAAAGTATCGGAGAAAGAGTGAATAGACTGAGCAGGTGCGTCTATTCAATGTTCTTATACCGTTCACCGAATACTGTAAGAATGTATTCTTGAACTCTGTCCTATACATGAAGTGTAGAAGAGTATATTAGGTTTGCGGAAGGTGAAAATGTAACAGGCAGATGGAGGCATGACAGACCCCACAAAGTATATATTTACATTTAATTTCTTGAGCAGCATAACAAGACGAGTCAATCTAGTCCTATCTATCTGTCCGACCGTATGAACTTCTGCATCTCAGGGACTATAACAGATAAAGAAATTAATTGAGTCCGAATACCCAAGGAGGTATAATCGACCAACAATGTTTTTGTAATACAAGCACATTACAATTTCGTTAATTTTTTTTTCAATTTTTTTAATTACTTATAATTCTACAAAATGTACAGAGTATCTGAAAATCGGAATACCCGACAATAGATTCTCCACTTGTTGGAGAACACACAAAAACGACTAACCTAATCAGTGTCAACAACAAACTACTGATCAGAATTGGCTGATAATACCAACATAGTATAAACATATATGTACCAACATACTAAAAAAAAAGAAAAAATTTATAGACCGATTGTACGTTGCCGAAAATTGAAAAGTCACCTAACTGTTTGTACACCCCAGGTAGAACATAGCAGAGGGAAGAATTCATTTTTTGTAAGACACAGTAAAGTGTACTTACTTAATTTCGATGTCTTTCTTCGCCCTTTTAAGCCCTGGAAATAGGCATCTGTTAAAAAAATAACGCCCTCGATGGAATCTTCCAAAAGAACCATTTTTCCATGTGTCAAATGTCTCTGCAGGCTAAATAATGTGAATACGGGGAATGCAGTAACAATTGAAAGCATTTATCTCATTCCAGGTGCTTTGTATGCTACCGTGCATTGTCTTCAAAAAAAAGGTGTCATCTCTCTTAATTATATTACAAGACACCATTTGTTTATGGATTAACCTTTTTCCCAAATATTCATGTTAATAATTCGGCGTGTATTCTTTAAATTCTGGCCATCACCTAACCGGCCGACTGCACTGTTGCAGAATCAAATTTCTCTTGTAACACGCTATTTTCGATGTTCCATGATCTCCAGTGGAGGTAATAGAAATTGTGACAGAATAAAGAGCGGATTGCGTTTATTTTACCAATATAACATATTCCAGATTTCTATTAATTCGAGCCTATATGTAAATAGCTCAGAAATGAGACTTAATAGTCAGGGCAGCTAACCTAAATATATATATTCATCATATGTTGCATATATCATCAATAATTGCATAAATATTTGGCTATAGATTTTAGGTAGACATTTCTGTTATCCGTTAGACAAATGTATCTCATATTTAATCCCTGTACTTAAAGGGTTATAGGTATTTGTAAAAACAAAGTCGTTGATTTGTAATATTTTTCATTATGGATAAATAAGCTTAAATTTGATTATTTGCTTTTAATAATATTTGATTTTATCTTTTGTCCTTGCTTAACTAATTACAGTTATGTTATCAAGGCTGTGCGCTCATCGCTGCGCTGCAAACGAACCGTTGCCTCGGAGGTGGTAAGAACTGAAATTTAAATTCGAACTATATGAAACACAGTCTGACTTATATTTGTGTTCATATACAGGACCTCATATGCGTTGTTACGACGCTCAGCTCACTGACGATAGCTGGCGGTGCTGCAGCCTTTTCAAGATTTGAGGGTTGGAGCTACTTTGATTCAGTATATTACTGTTTTATTACTTTAACCACGATAGGTATGGATTGGCACTCGAAATGGCTGTCATATAAAAAGATCAAATGTAACTCTCTGCTTACAGGCTTCGGCGACATGGTAGCTTTACAGAAGGATAATGCACTCAATAGAAAGCCCGAATATGTTATGTTTGCACTGATATTTATACTATTCGGCCTGGCAATTGTTGCCGCCTCACTGAACTTGTTAGTACTTAGGTTTGTTACAATGAATACTGAGGACGAGCGACGCGACGAGGCACAGGCCATGCAGGTGAGTCCAATAAGTGTATTCCACAATCAATAATTTTGCCAAGCCTTTTTCACTGTAGACTTGCGGACTGTTTCAAAATTATATATATTCCTTTAGTAACATGCTAATTACTTAAACAAATCATAAAAACAAATTGAGCCCAACTTCTCAATGTCCAATTTACTTTTTTCGAAACGATAAGAGAAGCTAATTATCCCATTACAACAATATTAACCAAACGAAACCTAACATACAGAAACATCGCATTATTATTATATACATACGTATAACGAAGTGACGGTATTCTAAATCATATCCACACGAATACTTATCAGTCAAACAGAACATAAACACCAACTAAAACCCGATAATTCTTTCGGGTGGTTCGAAAGAGTTGAATCAGACATTGAGAGAAAAGGCCTAACTGCAATGAGTAGACAATTTTCTGGTAGTTATCCCAACTACATAATAAACATATTTAGCTAAAATAAAACATGCACGACAACATTTTATAAATATTCCTAAAAATAAGATATTTCAATTGAATCGCTCGTCGGTTGACAGACCGACAGACAGAAATGCGAAATAAGAAATTCCAGTTGGTTTTTTCACAAGTAATACGTTGGTTCTTTTGTATGATGTTAAAAAAAAGCAAAATCATTTGCAGATGCATACCATTTGTTCAAAGGCAAAAAAAAAAGTAAATTAAAACAATTATATAACTTATACATATAAATATCCCATTAGATTGCTTCGTACATCATCATGGAGTTTATTTTAAAAGTTTTTTTTTTTTATTTTAGTCTTGAAATATATAGTGACCACTTATATTTATAAAAAGATATCATTTTATTATTTAAAAAAAAAAACAACATTATTACCAAAATCGTTTTTAGAGGTTAGCTGAAGCATTATAGTTTCGGATTTTACACATGACCCCACGTCCTTCTTTCACATATACTTTTACAAGTACCCCAATATTGTCAATTTTTCAAGACCTCCCCCCGATGTCTACCATAAGAATTCCTTATTTAGAAACTTTTTTAACAATAAATACATATGCCAATAAAATATATTTGCCACCTTTTTTAAAGTAAATTAGTAAATTAATTTTTCGCAATAACCAACAACAACAATCGTTTTTTGTAATATCAATAATTCAAATATTTTTTGTACAACTACTTGCTTGCCACTTTATTTATATCTCAAAGCTCAGCACACATTTTTGAAACTCCCTAACGCACCATATTTTTTAATATTACTCCTAAATTAGTTTTTTAGCTACGAAAAAAACTTAAAAATGAGAAAAATGTTTTAATGTGAAACCAATATATTTGTTTCTTTTTTGGCATATTTTTGTTGCTTTTGAATTAACGAAATGAAACGACAAAATCGACAATCGGGCATACGCGCGCGTAGTTTATAACCAAGTCCAGTTTTTGGACCAACGAGGTGATTCCGGCTTTTGAGCTTTAAACATTTGACTACCTTTAACTAACTACTCCCAATCACTTGCTTACTACCACTGTCAAACAACTCGAACTACTTACCTCAAAAACTTCAACCTATTTTAAACTTCAACATCAATACATACACTACAAGAACAACCACAAAACACTCATTTTACTGTGTATCTCGATTCTAATGCTAACATATTAACCAAAAACGATATCCTTACAGGCACTACAAGTGGCTGTGAAGCTCGAAGGCGATGTGATAACATCTAACGGATCCATTCTGAGCGGCTACGAAGGACACGACGCCCAGTCGCTCAGCGGTACCAACACCTCCTCAATGTGTTCGTGTCATTGTGTATGTTTTAGTGCCAACCGACACAAAAAGTATGTAATGCAGCTTTTTTTACCACTAGTAGTACTACTTCGCGTCCTAAAATATCCGTGTGAAAAGACTTTGCATAGACTACTGACCCCCACTTGCTTTCTAACTACTACATACTTGTATGTATGTATGTTGATACAGGAACAACCTCACCAACCTTCTGACCAACCTCAGTGAGCCCCGAAACAACTTCAAGTTTAAACAAGTGGAGAACCTAAAGTCGGGAGTCCCGACTTTGAAATACTCTGTACCTGTATGTGTGTATTTCTCGTGTGCCTGTGCAAAACAGTAACAACAACAACAGCTGCGAGCACTGCTTAGCCATATATGTATGTATATGGCTATAACTTCCTCTTAAATCGGCATATCATTATGAAACGGCAGACGGACTTATAATCACTAAATGGAGGTATTTTCCGAATTTCAATGAAAAATTCCAAGAAATGCAGGAGCTATGGACAATCACTGATTGTGGTGGTGAGGGAGTACACATTTCTGCGTATTCACATAAGGCATATGGGACTGGTGTGCCTAGCTCCTAAAGCCTCTGAGATATAGGCTATTATACGAATGGAGAATCGGGGAACCCCCATAGGGTGGAAAGCGGGGGGGGGGGGGGGGGGGGGGGGGGGGGGTCAAAAAATAAAACAAACTAGCGTACACACAAAAGGCATCTTCGTGTAAAATTTTGTGTCTCTACCTCTTATAGTCTCTGAGATCCAGGGGTTCATACGGACGGACAGATAGACAGACAGGGCTGGATCGACTTGTCTTGTCATGCTGATGAAGAATATATATACTTTGTGGGGTCTGCCACCCCTCCTTCTGCCTGTTACACCAGCTTAAAATGTTCAAAATATCAACAATTCATTAAATTAAAAAGTTGTATACCAATACATAACTTTTTAAGAAATTCGAGAACGAACATCGTTTTTCCTTTTGTTTAAACGAATGAAAGTCGGGGCACCACAATTCTCTCGAACTTAATTTGTAATTTCAATCCTATTCTAAACAACTATTTAAACAATTCGAACTTTGGTCCTTGAACTCCATACATATGTACATAAGTCAGACATGGTGTATGCTTTTGCCTTTAATCTACTTATATTATGTGTGTATTTGTGCAGTTGAGTGTTCGTGTGCTTTCAATTATTGATTGTTATTTTGTATATTTTTTCTTCAACGCTTTGCATTTTCCGTTGATGGCTGTCTTACTCGTGTGCCAATGTTTTCTACCCGAAAATATTCTGACTTTGCCCAGAAATAACAACTATAGCAGTGCCGATGTTACAGAGTAAGCCGCCATTCCTTGCTCTTTTCTACACGAGCTAACCAACTGAGAGTGGGATATAGAAATTATAATTATAAATTAATCGAACATTCCAACATTCCAAAAGAAAGTCGGTTTTAGCTCTGCAAACAAACTTCCAAGAAATAACTTTCCACATTGAAATGGGAGTTCTTGACAATCAGCATTCTATGAGTGAGAACAAGAAATTTCGGGCGACAAGTGAACAACAATTCTGTGAGGGGAATATCACGATATTATAGTTTGATGATTGGGTGTCATTAAAAACCAATTAACAATTGATTAAACAAATGGATGTTTTGTATAAAATTGTACAAAAAGATACTTATCTTTTGTAATACTAGTTTCTTAGAATAATATAATCGTGATCGGTCCAGAATATAAAATATGAGATTAAACATTAACGAGCTAGGAAAAGCACCTTCTTAGGTAGCATATAAATTAAAATGATATTCTGGATAGCAGCTCACTGAAATGTGGAAGATTTTAGCGCTTTAGATGAGAACCTTACATAACTTCGATTAAAATAGGACATCTCCCGTGCTTAAGTGAGAAACTAAAACACAACGCTTACTTTAATGTTGTTTCAGAAGCATTACCCAAAGGTTCAAATGTATAAAAGTGAAATCTCGAGGTCAATTGGTCAGCTCGTGTACTCGCCTATATGCATATGTGTGTTATCGTTAGATTTTTTAAATTCTCTCCGTGTTTAATGTGTTCCACTGACTCTGCCATATCTACTAACATATATCTCCTCGCACAATTCCCAGACACCAGTACAAAATGCGGCGCTCCCCGACACACATACGACACCTACTTCCCGAGGTGGTGCCCATGCAAGATCTGAACTACGATACGCAAAGTCTGCATACCATAGGTGCCGACATGGTCGTAGGGTGCATGAATGGCCTGGGCAGTGGCACTGGCAGCGCCACCGGGATAATGGGCGGCAGCCACACAGGCATCGGACCTGGAGTCAGTGTTGGCGTTATGGATCCCACGCGAAATGGATCGCCGTTAAAACAGCATAAGTTGCTCAAACGGAATGTTTCACTTTTATCGTTTCGTATTTAAAAACGAATATTTGGATGAGGTCGGACCAACCACCATCATCCCCCACTGGAAGAAGAATGGCTGTACGACAACGAAAAGTGGCCGCATTGGAGTTAATGTATCCCAATTCCCTCAAAAAACCGACTTACAAAATGCAAGTGATAAAATGTCTATCTAATATGTAGAATGTACTTACTGAAGTTCGAAGGAGCATAGTGAAGAAATTTAAAATGTGCATTTTATGTGCGTTCTGAAAATGTTATTTATGTGCATTTACAATGTAAATTAGTACATAAATATATATATATATAAACAGATATATGTACATGCATAATTATAATACTTATGTAGTAAGAATTGTATGAATAATTCTTTTATGAATAGGGCACTACAAAATTGACTTTACAGACATACTCAAAAACAAAAAAAAAACAATAACAAAGCCACTGCCATTTCCGAGCGAACAAATTCCACATTTACATACATACTACTCGTACATACTATGCGTAATTATATACATACATATATATATATATGTATTACCTACAAAGAAAAAGAAACTACATTAGTCTCTGTCTTAAAATAGCCATAAATTATATAGAACTGGTAGAAAGCGCCAAGTACTATGTACTACATATATATGTATCCAACTGAATACCATTAGAACTGCCCTTCAGCCCTAAACCATGCCATGGGCATGGGTCTGCTCGTACTTACTACTTTCGCAATTGTTCTTCTAAAATCTCATAGCGCCGCCAAACCAATCCAAATAAGAATGCATACACAACACGCCACAAAAAGTGTCAAATTAAAGCTGTATATATTTAATAAGTGCTAATAATACGAGTCATAATGACAAGACGAAGAGGAAGCCAATTTTTATTCGTACTTATTATGATTGTGTAAGATTCAAATACGAACTCGATATTAGTTTACGAATATGTACGCATAATGTAGTTAATATAGCAGCTCTGCTCAATTTTTGCCAAAGTACTTTGTCCAAATAGCAACCAAATAGCCAAATACTACTCGTATTTCTCATGTATCCTACCCGCATACATAACTACCTACCCACATACACGTATGTACATATGTAGGTGTTTGTATGCTCGGTAGCCTCTGAATGTGCCAAATACTATAAATACATATATACAAACATCCACAGATGCGATGACGAGCTCTGGACCTGAGCTTACCAGAGCATGCATTCCATTATGCCCTACGCCCAATGCCAAAACTCCAAAACGCATTTAAAACCAAACGAATGCATTTAGTTTTAGATAAAACGCGAACACCATTTTTTGAATTTTATCAGATGATTCTTGCCGTAACGGATTTATTTAAATATTCGAATTAATTTTATTGTATTTAGTATAAAACCATCGAAAGCTGCCATAGTCAGTCGAATCGTTGCAACCATTGCTCACTCGAGCCGTCAAAATCGAATGCTTTAACCCTAAAATGCCCCCTACCCCTAAATTTACGTGCTTTGTAAATATTTTAAACTTTATATTGAACTTACTTTAAAAGGACAAATATTTATGGACATTTGTTAAAAACTGTCACAGTTTGAAAACCAGTAGAAATACTAGTTGTTTATTTGATTTCCTAAGATATATTCAACAAGATGACGATAAATTACAAGCCGTAATTTCATTTTAAAGAAATCATTTCCATTTTTTAGTCTACGTACAATATTTAAATGAACTCAAAGAAATACAAATTAGATACTTCATTGTAAACCACAAATCCAATATAAATGTAAAACTAATAAATTGAAATTGAACCTATTATTAATGGCGTAACACAAATTTTGATTTTAATTCAGGCAAATAATGCGAAACAATTAAAATAAGACTTTGTAATATAGTATAAACTATTCGAAAACTTAAAATAAAACCAAATTTATATAATAAAATCTCAAAGAAATCTACTTTACAAAAATGTCATAATCGTTATGAATTTTGCCAGTTATAATATACAGAGGTGGTCAAAAGTATTTACACAACCCAAAGGGTGAAAGGCTATACTAGTTTTGTGCGCATGTATGTAACACAGAAGGAGGCGTGGCAGACCCCACAAAGTCTATATATTATTGATCAGGATGACAAGACGAGTCGATATAGCCATGTCCGTCTATCCGTCCGTTAGTCTGTCCGTCTGTCTGTATGAGCGCAACGGTCTCAGCAAGTACAATAGCTAGGATAACCAAACTTGGCATTGAGGTTCCCCGAAGACCTAGGCAGATCGAATTTGTGTTTTTTTTTTCTGATACACCCCCCCACTCCGCAATTCCCCGCAATTCGTGTTTTTCCTAACTCCGGTAATTCTTTTAATTTTGAACTCAAATTTGGCATATACATCCCGTTCGTGGTTATTTGTCCGTATGCCAAGTGTCATCATGATAGGTCGATTATGAAGAAAGTAATAGCCATAAATAAAAATTTAGTTTTGTGCGAGTGTACATGGAACACACAGAAGGAGGCGTGGCAGACCCCACAAAGTATATATTTTCTTGATCAGCATGACAAGCCGAGTCCGTCTGTCTGTATGAACGCCAGGATCTCAGAAAGTATAAAAGCTAGAATAACCAAACTTGGTATCTAGATTCTCCTGAGCCCGAGAAAGGACGAGTTTGTTCATTTTTTCTGATCCACCCCCCCCACTCTCCCCTATTCAAGATTTTCTATTACTCCCGTAATTCTTTAAAACTTGTAGTTTGGTAGTCGCATTAAGTTAGTGATTATATATCCGTATACTACGTTTCATTATGATAGGTTGATCAGAAAGAAAGTTATAGCCATATAACCAGGCCCAATGCACACATACGCGCCATCTTTTATGTCGGTATGTAAATATTGAATAACTTTGTCATTAGTGAACCGATTGACTTGAGTAGACCAGTGTTGAAAACCTCACTTCAAGAAATTGTACAGAACCAAATTAAATAAAAATATCTCCTACTTGAAAATCGGTTGTTTATTTTCAAAGATATTCAATGTTTACATACCGACATAAAAGATGGCGCACCCTGTACATACATATGTACAAGTACACCAACACGAATAGACACGATTCTGATGTAAATGTATGTATGCATGGATGGAATATTTTATATTTAATTTAGTTAATTAAATTAATTAATTAATTAAATTTCTTTTTTTGTGGGGTGGTACAGGGTATTTAAGAGTTGAGCCTGCTCGACTTTAGCATTCCTTTCTTGTGTTGTTTTTTTTTCAATTAATTTATTCGATGTTTCTGCGACTTTGGGACGATTTTTTATGAATGTTTGCGGTCGTTTTCTATATACCCTTTGGTTCAAGGCAATATTTCTCAGAGTTATCTTTTAATTTAAAATGTCCTGCCTTTAAACTAAATTACATACCGTTTTGCGTGAAATCTTATACCCTTTACTAAGTCTAATGCCGAAATACCACTCTTTTTGGTTATATTCTCAGATCGAACTTCAACGGATAATTTCTTAGTTTTCACCATTTTACTAAGTTTTTTTTTTCTGTTCAATCAAAGCTCAATGCATTCAGATTAGCACCTTAACAATACATTTTTACGCGCGAGGATTAATAAGTTAGTGGTGGCTTATGATTATCTAAATGTTATGAAAAAACCTAATCGTTTCAGTCTTCGCAAAGGTCTAGCAGGAAGGAGTCCTCTTGCAAGCAAACTGCGGTGACTCAGAAGCTTGTCACTGTATCTACTTGTATGCCTTCCAATCTGCTCCTCCACGGTGAACAGGTTTAGGTCTCGGTGAAGGGTCGAGCCGCGCACGTACCAGGGGCGATCCCCCAAATTTGAATACCGTACAGCCATATCGGAGCTATGCAGTGGGCATAGACAGCTCTTTTTGCTCGAAGTGGCAAGGTGCTCCTTCTATTTAGTAGCCATCGCCATTTTACTAAGTAATTTCTGAAACAATTAATACCTTAAAATTTGTTAAAACCACGACACCTAAAGCAAATTTTGCAAATATTTTAACTCAAATAAAATATGTGTAAATACTTTCGATAACTTTTGCAACACCAAAAAGTTCATTTAATGAAATATGTTAAAAAATGTCCGTTGTGCGAATACCTTTGACCACCTCTGTATGTATGTGTCACAAAATTAAATAATCGGACATTTTCGGAATGGAAATTATAAAGCCCGTTATAAGCTTTACAGAGGTCGAAGTGCCTTAAGGCTTAAAGAATAGAGATTCGATAGTATATCATATTAGAATAAAAAGAATCAAGCAACAAAAGCAACCATTTTATGAGCAACCATTCCCAACACTGCATCACGATTCTGATATCTGCGTTACTGTAGGGGTTTTCGGGATATGAGTTTTAAACCATACCTGTAATTCTATCAAAATTAGCGTCTCTAATTCGAGCATTTACTTAACATTCTCGAAGAACATCCGTGCATTTTCATTTCTAATCGGCTCTCCTGAACGACCGGCAAAGTGTTCCTTACCTTAATAGTGAGATCCAAAAGAAGTAACGTTTGTATTACATCAGACAAGTTTAGTATTGTTTTGAATTTCCCCCCATTGTTTTCAAATAATACATATATTTCATTCAATAAATTTCACATCAGAAATAACTAAATTTATATTTATTCAGTTTTATTCAAAGTTGAGGTTCTGTGTTTACAAACTGTAGACAATTTATGCAGATTTATGGCCATGTTTTCTTGTAAATCTGATGAAATATCGTTGCTAGGGCTGACAATTGTTGCCGATTATAGTAAAATTGTGAATTTGCGGCAATGGGCAAACAACGCTGACAGACTCGCATGTGTGCTCTGTTCGGTTTTAGCAAGGATGGTGTGATGTGAAAATATTTCAAATAACGCACTTAACATCAAATTATGACGTAGGCCGAGTCAGTTTCACCAACATATTTTTTAAATATTAAAAAAATGATGGCGACAAATACAAATGGTTTCGCAAGGTTTAGTTTTGTGTTTTCTTTTTTTGATTTCCAAATAATTTTGGTAACGTAGTGTATAAGTTGTCTGGGTTGATTGATAAAGTAAGACGTATAAATCTATGACCAAATATTTTATAATTAGTGGGACAGCTAACTAATCTAATCGTCCATACTCTCATTGCGGTCGGGCGAGGCGTTGCCGTTTTTGGGTGATGCCGAGCGAGAACGAGAGCGCGAACGCGATTTGTTGTCAACGGAGGCTGAGCGATCGCTGTAAGAGATAAATAAATATATCAATTTAATATTGTAAATTTAACGTTTGGGACATCAAAGACGTGCTGCTGTGTGTACCCATTTGTACATATTTGTGTCCAAACAAAATCAAAGTAAAGTGGCAAGCGGTGTGCAACGGAAAGAGAATAGAAGTGAAACAACACCCAATAAAGAACCTCATAGTTCTTGGCACTTACCGTGAACGCGAGTCGCGGCGATTGGACTTGGACCGTGAACGCGAACGCGACTCACGCTGCTTTGAGTTGGAGCGTGAGCGGGAGCGCGAATCACGATCGCGCTTGACTGAACGGGACCTGGAGCGAGAACGGGACTTTGACTTGGACTTGGACACGTCACGGGATTTGCTGTGGGCAAAACAAAAAAAATATGATTTGTAGGAGGAATGGTTTAACTTGATCCTTAAAACACAATTTTGTTTTTAATTTAAACTCACTAATAGCATTAAAAAAGATGTACACTCTTTACTTGAAATTTTTCGAATGCTTAATATTATTACTTTTTAACTGAGCATTCAGATAAATAATAATAATTTAGTTGAATTTCAAATCAAAAGTGATGGTCATGTTGGACAGCGAACGTAATTAATACTTACTTGGAGCGTGAGCGTGAACGAGAGCGCGATTTAACTGGCGACTTGGACTTGGAACGACCACCGCGCGACTTTGAACGGCTACGTGACTTGGAGCGGGACCGCGATGAGCGGCGGCTGCGGGAACGTCTGCGTGAACGGGAACGAGAACGGGAGCTAGACGAACGCGAACGTCCGCGCCCGCCGCCACCACCACCACCTCCACCACTGCGTCCACCGCGACGATCTTCCACCAGATGAATGCGTCGACCATTCAGCTCGGTGTCATCGAGTTTCTCAATGGCCGTCTTCATGTCCGACAAAGAAGCAAACTCAACAACGCTGCAAAGTATAAAAGTTCATTAAATAAATCAAGTTCTACACGGTACTATATTTTGTCAATCTAGGCGGATAAAACATTAAAATATTTAGTCAAACTTTAGGAAAACTTAAAAGTGTGGAAAACTTTACTGTATTTAAAACAATGCGGATGAGAACGATTTAATTTTATAATACTGTCTGAACTCCACCTAAATCGCTTATATTTGTTTAATTTTTACACTTACCCCTCATTTCGACGTTGCTTGTGAGCATCTGCATAGGTAACTTCGCCGGCCTGGCGCATGTAGTCCTTCAGATCCTGCAGATAGCGCACAAATGCGAGGGAAGAATGAAAAATTAGTGGGTTTGGTTATGGGAACGCATGTGCATGTGCCAAATGATAGCGGGCAATGCAAACAATTGGATCGAATATTTCTGAGCTGGACTTCCGCTGGTCCGCATGTGCATTGTGGATGGATTTACGCCTAACCAAAGCAGCCCGCTCGCCCCAATTCTCTCACTGTCTGTTAGATATGCTGTCGAACCTGCGAGCCAGTTGGTTTGCTTTCTTCGCCTGCCTAATGGAACCCTCATGGGGAGGTCGGACACCAACGCCACGGGCCAGCGCTGATGCCATTGCCAGAGCCTGTCGCAGAGCACAGCGCCTCAGTTGCCACATGAAATATTCGATTTTTATTGCTGCACGCGCCGCACAAACTTAAGCGGTAAATACACAGAGATAATGTTTTGTAATTTATATTATCTTGGTTGCAAAATTATTAAAAGAATATTGTAAATTCAGTTCTTACTTAATGCGTTTTCAGAGAGAGGACACACACATCGCATATCGCATTTTATCGCATAACCGAGTTTACATTGTCTGTCTAGCAATTGTAGGCAACCCTCAGCGACCTCAGAGACCTCAGCGACCTCGTCGAAAGAGTGGTTAGGCGAGATCGCAAGCAAGTCGTTGGCCAAAGAGAGAGTTCCAAACATCGAACATCTATCATTGAGCATCGCATCGATTAGAGCAGCTTCTGGCGAGCAGCCGTAGCCATCAGGCAGCAACCAGAAAACGCACGGACGGCGGTTGAGTAGCCAGGTTAATTTAAAATAGTGTATATAACTCTTTTTTTATTTTGTTTCTGCTTGTATTGTGTGTTTTGGTAAGGCCAAGCCACTATGGCAACACAGATTTAGTTTCTGTCAGACATCGTCATAAAGAAACACTCTCCGGGGCCCAGGACCGGGATTTGTGATGTAGGTAAGAACGTGTAGTAGTAGTGGCAGTCAAGCAGTACGCAGCTCGTAGCACACAGCATAAACCAGCGAGCTTGGACCAGCAGCGGTGATTTTTTGGGGGGCAGCGTATCTCCCACGGCCTCACATTAACGTAACTGGAAAAATAAGAAATACGTTTTGTGCCTCTGAGGCACATGGCCGACGTATGCGAAGTACACGGTGTGCAGTGCTGCCTCCATTTCAAACGATCGATCAGTCGGTCGGTCAATCAGCCAGCAATCAATCAGGATTGGATTGAAAAGTATAAAAGTGATCGCCACTTTGGATGCATGTAGCAGATGTATGTAGCAGACCAAGTAAAGGCGTGAATGAGTTATGAGTCGTCATCAACAACCAGCAATCGATTAGTCGCATCATCGTCGCCAAGGGATCGCCATCAATATGAACATCTCATCATCGTCAATATCACCATCGCCAATGGCAATTCTCAATGGAAACGCTTCTAATTATTTTTCGGTAATGGTAATGGTTTTGGTACTGAAGCCCAAATAGTATGCCTCATGCGCCCTCAAACTCACACACTTGCTATAAGGAATTTTACAATTCTTTATATTATGTTGTAATTAATTGATAATGTTTCAACTGTTTTAAATACCTAAAACTTTTTGACGCACAAGAAGCAAACCTACGCAAAAAGCCGAAAGAGCAAAGTGCGTAGGCTGGCTTTTTGGGAGCGCCAAAATCTGCAACTGAGTCACCGTCACAATTCATCTTCGGTTCGGATGGACGTTGACGTCGTTGACGGCACAGCCCTAGGTAAGTGGACCACCAAGTGTTTTTAGCCCCAGGCGATGAGTTCTACGAGTTGCAAAGTGGCAGCGACGATGATAACGAAGCTCTTTAATTTGGTTTCATGACGCATACTTTCAGTTTGGATTGTTTTGATTTTCGATTGGTATCAATAAACATCTCTTTTCGCATGGCAGTGCAGTTTGATCACTTTTGTTGCTACTGTTTTGTTGTTCCAGGGTCTGGCTAGTCATCATGTCGACTGCGATGATCTTACCGCCTTTTTATGGTCGGTCATAGTTACTAATTTGGTTCGATTGACCTGCCCACGCCACTCTATGGCGCTCTATGTCTCAGAGCTCAGATCAGATTTCAGTGCTTGTTTCAGTTTTCTGTTACCAGTTACAACCAACTTGCGCTTTTTAAGACCGGTTTGTATCAAATGACCAGAGCGTCTTTCGCCTGTCACACACACACTGCTAGTTTGTCACTCTCTTCTAGGCTCAGGGGATTTCGGTAACCCATCAAACTCTTTTCGGTTGGTGTGGAAAAAATAATTGTTGGGATAACACCGATCAGTACCAGAGTTTTTTGAATATTGGATAGTTTTTGTTGTTGATATTTGCATTGTGTTTATACTTAAACTAAAGGTCGAGTTATAGATCTTAAGCTTAAATATCCAAATCGTTCTTGTGAATATAATAAACAAATTAAACAAAGGCGAATAGGAATGGGATATAAAGGCACCCACAACTTAGAAAGGGTTGAAAATCATAAAAAAGGAGAAAGAATGCAAATCTTGAACGGGGTATTCAATGTAAATTTTGTTAGGATATGATGCTTTTCCTAGATCTCTGTAGGTTAGTCCGTTCGGTCAGTGAAATGGCATTAATTCCATTCATGTGATTAGAATATAATATACATAACATAAGCAGTAACATACATTAGATCATAAACTACAAAACCACAGTAGTTACTAATTTAAGAGTTAATATGTAACTTACCTGCCAGCTAACACGACTGGACAAATTCTCGACAATCAAACGATACTCAGTGCGCAAGGGCGGCCCATAACGAGAAGATGATCTGGAATTTTTGTTTCTGGTGAATAATTTAATGAATTTAAAATTAGTATTGACACTGCGCTGCTGCTCGATTAATATATATGTACATCTGGTGATGAAATGCCATAAATTCCATGTGCATTTTGCCCTTTAAACAAACTGGCGAAGAAAGGGCTAAAATGCACCTGGAAAACAATCATAAATAATCTGCAGTAGCCAAAAATGTACCGCATTACCGCGCGGTTGAAAATTCAACAATTTCAGAGGAACGTGCATAAGGTCAGTAAATAGTAAAAATAAGCTTCGGAGCGTTATACATATAAACATATACAGCATGTCAGTGTCTTTAGAAAAAGTGTCGAATTATTTTTTTTTTTTTTAATTGTAAACGTGAGTACGTCCACAGCGCGTCAAAATCCGGAGAACGTACTCACGCTGGCCGAATATAAATTTTAAATTCTACTTTGAAAATAGTTAGCAAAGCATTAAAATGTATAAGATAACGCGACGTTTGAGTTGCCCTGCTGCGTACTCACTTATCATTGTAACGCCCGCCTCCGCCGCGTCGACCATAACGATCATCGTACCGATCTCGATGGCTGCCACGGGCTGTACCACGAGCGGGCTCAACAACAACACTGCAAAATTAATTTAATTAATTGAAAATTCACCGAAAGAACAAATTATTACTACAAACTCACCGTTCGCCCAATAATTCCTTCCCATTTAGCTCATAGACTGCGTCGTCTGCGTCACGATAGTCTTCAAATTCCTGCAAATTAATTTATTCGCGCAATTAATATATGCAAGTATACATTATTGATTTTTCATTTGACACATACCACAAAGCCATAACCATTCTTGATGAGAATGTCGCGAGTCCGGCCGTAGCCTTTGAAAAAACGCTCCAAATCGCGCTCACGTACGCCGTACGGCAGACCTCCAACATAAACACGCGATCCAACCATATTTATATGGTATTTGGTATTCCTTTAGCAAGTACTGTTAAAACGTTTGAATTAAAAATAATTTTTTTTATTCCTTATCTGCGGCTGTCACTGTGAAAATTTATTTGCATCTGTATTGTATGCATATGTGTGCATGCGGTGGTGTGTAAATGTATTTGCCAAGATGGCGGCAACGCTGTCTACCGGGTAGAGAACTTTTCAGCCCACTCATTAAAACGCATTTAAACATTAATACGCACAAATTTACATAACTATTTTCGTAACATTCATGCATACGTACCTTACTAAAGTTTATTGAGTTAATTTGTAATTAACTTGCTTTCTACACAATAGTTTCCACGTTTCCTACGTACAGCACGCACACGAAAAAATGCAAACTCAACCTCGCCGCAAATTTGTACGGAAATGACTGAACTTCGAAGCCTACTTCACAAACAAATGACGCCGTCAGATGAAGGTAGACAAAAGTTGCCTGCCACACAACACAAAAATGTAGCCACATATATTACAATATTTAAAACCGAGGTGGCAACGTAAGTTGCCAAATACTATACAGATACATTTTCATTATTTGTCCGTGTGTAAGTGCGGTGCGTTCTGTGGAAATAATTGTAATTATTAATATACATATTAAACATTTCTGAAAAGTTCTAACATTTGTAAAGAAAAAAAGTAATATGGCCGATGTTAACGATTCTAATGGAAACTATGACAACGAAGATGAGGTAAGTGAAAAATTTGCTATTGTACTTTTTTTTCACGTGCAAAGTGCCGACGCCGACATTTTGCAAATTTTTATGTGTGCTAATGATCATAAGTAAGGCTTCATGCTACTGGGGCCGTTCACCGACATGGCCAAAATTGACGTCAGCTTGCTAAAACAGCTCCCTCACCTACAAACGTATGTACATACATATGTACATATATAAAATTCAAGTGTGCTCACAGCGCAAATAAAAAGAAGAAAATGGCGGGCGGCGGCGGCATTTTATTGATTTCACTTGTGACTGTACCGTCATACAGGCACATCCATACATGCATACATACATACCTACCTATCTCTATACTTAGTATGAATGTATTATGTATACATATGTACATACGTATGAATATACTTAAATGATAATTAATTTTATTTCATTGGCTAAAACAGATTACGGAGCCAGAGCAGCTACGCAAGCTGTTCATTGGCGGCCTGGATTACCGTACCACAGACGATGGTCTCAAGGCACATTTTGAGAAATGGGGCAATATTGTTGACGTGGTGGTTATGAAGGATCCCAAAACGAAGCGCTCTCGTGGTTTCGGCTTTATTACCTATTCGCAGTCGTACATGATCGACAATGCGCAGAATGCTCGACCTCACAAAATCGATGGGCGCACCGTTGAGCCGAAACGAGCGGTACCTCGCCAGGAGATTGACAGTCCTAATGCTGGCGCCACAGTCAAAAAGCTGTTTGTTGGAGGTCTGCGTGATGATCATGACGAGGAATGCTTGCGTGAGTACTTCAAGGACTTTGGCAATATCGTAGGCATCAACATCGTGTCAGACAAGGACACTGGCAAGAAACGTGGTTTCGCTTTTATCGAATTTGATGACTATGATCCAGTTGACAAGATTATCTTGCAAAAGAACCACAGCATTAAGAATAAAATATTGGATGTGAAGAAAGCCATTGCCAAACAGGACATGGATCGGCAAGGCGGTGGTGGCGGCGGCGGTGGAGGTGGCCGCGGTGGACCCGGCGGTCGTGTTGGAGGTGGCCGTGGGGATAGAGGCAACCAAGGTGGCGGCTGGGGCAACAACCGTCAAAACGGTGGTGGTAACTGGAGTGGCTCCGGAGGTGGCGGTTTTGGCAACAACGGCAATTTCGGGGGCAACCAAGGCAGCTGGAACCAACCAAGCGGACCGTGGAACAACCAGGGCAATAGCGGCTGGAACAATGGCGGCGGTGGTGGTGGCGGCGGCTATGGGGGCAATGCCAATGGAAACTGGGGAGGTAATAATGGTGGTAGCTTCGGCAATGACTACCAACAAAGCTACGGCGGTGGCCCTCAGCGAAACAACAACTTTGGCAACAACCGACCGGCACCCTATAATCAAGGTGGTTTTAACAAGGGTAAGTAATAAACAACCACAGGAATATACAAATTGAAAATAATAAAATTATACAAAAAAAAAAATAAAAAAAATGTATTCTATTTATGTGATCTTAATAGGGGTTTTAAATTAACGATACTTTTATATCCTGTAGGTGGCAACCAGGGTGGTGGTGGCGGCGGCCAGGGAGGCTTCGGTGGTGGAAATAACTACAACACTAGCGGCGGTGGAGGCCAAGGAGGCAATATGGGCGGTGGCAATAGACGTTACTAACCTAACCCGAGGTAAATATAAAAAATTATCCCGATTTCGGAGTAGTTAACATGTAGCATCTTGCTGTTGCAGTTTAGTTGCAAACGATAAAGAAGCTAATTCAAATTTTCTCCTTTCTCGCAAATAGGTAAACACATACAGAATCAGTTCATGCTAGACAAACAAACAGTCTAGGAACAGGCAGGCAGGCAAATACAGAGACAGAGAGAGTGAAAAACAGTGGGCAAATCAGGCAGACAAAATACAAAAAAAAATCTAAGAACAAGCATATACAGAAAATGAAGTTCAGGCAGTCGGCAGAGAACTCAAGGCCAGCCCAATCAAGATAAATTACATTAATAATTTTAAAAAACTCCCAGAAAATTTAAGAAATTTTGCATAAGATCAACAAACAAAAAAACAAAAAGATAAAGAAAAAAAAACTCCACCTACCAACAAATGTTATTTGTCCTATCTACATTAATTCAATGATCACTTCATGTTTAGGATATTAAGAACCCTGAAACGCTTAGATTTAACTGCATTAACAAACGAAAAAAGATCAGTAAAACAAGAAATATACTAAACTATACATTTTAATTTAAAACTGACTATTGAAAACCGAAGCAGAGCGCAAGAGATCTTCCGTTTATGTGCGAAGAGCTTGTTATCGCGTGTGGATTGGGAAATCCAATTGCAAATGGCAAAAAGGTAGTGTACCTTGCATCTTAAACTAGCTTATTTTCGTAATGGGCCAGTTTTACTTTCTTTCCACTCATTATTTTTTGTTGCACTGATATGATGCAACCCTTAAAAAATATCTTTATATATAGAAATGTATTTTGTAATATTTTTTGTACTCTTAAGCATTTTTTATATAATTTAATTTATGAAACACGGCAGCGGTTAAGCGATAATCATGTTACAACCCTATATTCTGATGATACAGCGAATGCGCCTAAATATAATTGTGCATAGACAATTTTGATTATATAAAGATTTTACACACATAATTTTTCTAACATGCCGACTAAAAATATATAGACCTTTACATACCAATCCTGTTAGCGTATAAGTAACAACAGCTACTATAAAATTCAAATATTGGTTAAAGATACCGAAAATTACTGTAATAGTGCACTACGAGGTACAGAAAGCCAAAAGAAATAAAACAAATTACGTTACCCATCCGAAATAACTAAAGGAAGTCCCAACAGCATCCAAAAACTTAGTGAGTGTGTGCCACCGAGGTAGAAAAAGAGCAGCAGCACCAAAAAGCGAGCCGATTGTGTTGTAGTTAGCAATGCCGCAAGTCGCATCAAGTTACAAAATAATATCCATCTTGCGAAACTACCTACTAATACACTACGTATTTCTTTGCAAGACTGGCTGGAAATTCCCGAAATTGCGGAATTGTACTCATTTGGTTCGAGGAACCGGCGCATCGGAGCTCACTTTGGCTTTGGCTTTGGTTGTGAGGAAGACAGGCGCCAGGTAAGTGGATGGTGTCTTCTGTACTAATTTACATGTCATGTATGAAATTGGTAAACAAAAGAAATGAATAAAACACTTCTTCCACACATAAAAAACAAGCTGTTTTTCTAACTGGTTTCGCGATGGGATAAACGTTTTCTGCACCATTAAATACACCTAATTCTGTTTTTATACGGTCTTTTTACACAATTTTGATATAACACGGTTTGAAAATTAAAAATATCATATATATTTCTTTAGAGATAAGAACCCAATCACCTATTATTGCATATCATCAATTTCTTTTTACACGGTTGTTTCTGGAAACAATCTACCGTGTAAAAACATAACTAGTTGTACATTTTGAAGTTTATCAAATGGTCCGATAGTTTCAATGGTTATTAGCTAGAAGAAATATGTATGAAGTCCCCAAAGTAATATATTTAAACCAGGCTATCAGGTCGTGTTCGCAACTCCGTGGTATAAAGGTATATAATGTTTTTTTTTGTGGTGGACATTTAAAAGTAAGTAAAAAACAAGATAGAAAGCTAAAGTCGAGCGGGCTCAACTCTTAAATACCACCCCTCAAAAAAAAAAAATTACTTAAATATAAAATATTTAACACATGCATACAGACATATGTAAGTGTTTATGTACAATTTCAACAACATAGATTTACATCAGAATCGTGTCTATGCGTGCTTATATGCAGTAAAAAATAAGTCAAAGCCGCAACCCCTCCCGCAGAGCTTGGGTAGAGATTATGTTTATAGCTATAACTTTCTTCATAATTAACCTATCATATGGATGTATTTACCAAATTTGAAAAAAAAATTCCAAGAAATACGGGAATTATGGGAAAAACACGAATTGCTAGTATAGCCTTTTACCCTTTGGGTACAGGCTATAACAAGAGGGAACGCTACAGTTGGGGAAACGGGGGTATCGAATATAAATAAAAAATACTTATCCTTCCTCAGACCTGGGAGAACCTGGAAACCAAGTTAGATTATTCTAGGTCTGATACTTTCTGAGTTCCTTCCATTCATTCAGAGGTATTATATGTCTATATCGACTCGTCATCGATCAAGAATACATAACTTCAAAACCCGCAAAAAATGTTCGAAACACATGGATCGCAAGATTGTGCGCGTGGTTAATTTGGATCCCCGAGGGAGATTTGTGGACATCTAGCTGGAATTATCGAATTAATGCTGCAAATGGTGACACGCAAAGACGATGACTTAAAAACTCATGTTGATTAAAAGCCCAATAAATAATCTGGACTGGAGAAATGAAGATTGTCCGACTTGTTCTTAATGGTAGAAAATATATGGGAAAATGAGGTTAAACTCAATCAAAAATGTGTGGCGGCTGTCGTCAAGTATGGTCGAGGAATGAAGTTGGTTTCATATCCCGCATCGGTTCTAACATGGGAGAAGTAATTATTTTGTTGCTCATCAATATACACACATACATACATATATGGTACGCACATATGTACATACATATGTATGATACAAGAATATCTTTATTATTTGCGAATATCTTTATTATTTGCATTCAATAAATGTTAATCTTAAAAATGTTATAATAAAAATAATTATAATTTATGTTTTGGAAATGGGTACTATATGTACACATTTCCGCATTTCATTCTTTTGTGGAAAGATTCCGATTACTGAGGAAAAACGTTAGATAGCTAAATAAAGGAAAAACAACTCAAGAAAATAGGGAAACCCCAAAATATACACACATATATTAATATCAGTACATATATGAGTCTTATTTCAAATTACAAAGTTAAATTTTATATTTGTAAAAAAAATAAAAATAATTTCTACATTTTACAGCACTGCCACTTTGTGAACAACGTACCAGAGAATATGCCGAAAAAGAAAACTGGTCAGCGCAAGAAGGCGGAGAAGCAAAAGCTACGCCTCAAGGAAATCAGGAGTCGCGAGATCTCCCTCGCTGAACTGCCCTGCAATGCTCCCATGGACTGCGAAAAGTGTGAGAAGAAGCAAAAGTCGCGTGCGTTCTGCTACTTCTGTCAAAGTCTGCAACGTTTGCCTATCTGTGCTCAATGTGGCAAAATAAAGTGCATGCTGAAGACGGGAGATTGTGTTGTTAAACATGCCGGTGTTTATACCACAGGTCTGGGCATGGTGGGTGCCATATGCGACTTTTGCGAGGCATGGGTTTGCCACGGACGTAAATGTTTGACCACCCACGCCTGCACCTGCCCGCTCCAAAATGCAGTGTGTCTGGAGTGCGAGCGTGGGGTATGGGAGCATGGTGGGCGCATCTTCAAGTGCTCCTTTTGCAATGGTTTCCTCTGCGAAGATGATCAGTTCGAGCATCAGGCCTCGTGTCAGGTACTGGAGTCCGAGACCTACAAATGCCAGTCATGCAACCGACTAGGACAATATTCCTGTTTGCGCTGCAAGACTTGCTATTGTGAGGATCATGTGCGTCGCAAGGTAAAATAATAATTCTCGTTACATTGTGAAGTGCCTAGTAACTCACTTTATTCCGCAGGGCTTCAAGTATGAAAAGAACAAGGCCATTCCTTGTCCCAAATGCAATTATGATACTTCTGTGACGAAGGATTTAAGCATGTCGACGCGTTCGCACAAGTTTGGTCGTCAACAGCAAGGGGGTGCAGGGGGTAGCGACGACGAGGAAGGTTATGGCGGATACTACAGCTATGGAGGCGGCGCCAGCAGTAGTTACACCTACGCGGAAGATGATGAAATTGACTCTGACTACGACGACGATGATGATGACGACGATGAAGATGAGTCTGAAGATGATGATGATAAAGGGGAGGACGCGGCAGACGGCAGCATCGCGGAGAAGTCTGACGCAATTGATAAGAAAACAACGAAATGATCCACTGTATACAACAAATTTTAATATAAAAATAGTAAACGCAAACTTTTTACTGGTTTCGTGTGTGTGTGCTTTTTCTTAGAATTTAATGATGCTGCGAATGCTCTTGCCCTCGTGCATCAAATCAAAAGCTTCGTTTATCTGCTCCAGTTTTAGTTCGTGAGTGATGAACTCATCGACAAGCAAGTCATTCTGCAGATAAGATTCCACTAGCTTCGGTACATCTGATACAGAACGCCAGCCACCGAACGCAGAACCTTTCCATACGCGACCAACTACCAATTGGAATGGACGTGTTGATATCTCTTGACCCCCGCCGGCCACACCAATGACCACAGAAGTACCCCAGCCTTTGTGAGTTGCCTCGAGAGCAACACGCATTATATTGACATTTCCAATACATTCAAATGTATAGTCGAATCCACCGTCCGTCAAATCAATTAGATAATTCTGTAGGGCACCCTTGTCGGCTACTTCCTTTGGATTGACGAAATCTGTAAAACCGAACTTCTTTGCCAATTCAAATTTAGCTGGATTGATATCAATGCCGTAAATTTTTGCCGCGCCTGCTTTTTTGCACCCCAAACCAACTGCGAGGCCGACAGCGCCAAGTCCCCATACTGCGCAGGTGCTGCCAGGCTCAACCTGGATGTGAACATAAATATGGTATATTTTGCAATATAAACTAAATAGCAAATTACCTTAGCCGTATTGAGCGCAGCACCATATCCGGTGGATATGCCACAACCCAATAGACAAACCTTCTCTAGCGGCGCCTTCTCGTTGATTTTGGTCAGCGATATATCTGCCACTACGGTGTATTCGGCGAATGTGGAGGTGCCCATGAAGTGAAACAATTTTTGACCCTTACAGCTTAAACGCGAAGTCCCTTCGGGCATCACGCCTTGTCCCTGAGTCACACGTATCTTTTGGCAGAGATTCGTCTTGCCACTCTTACAAAACTTGCACTCATTGCATTGCGGTATATAGAGAGCAATAACATGATCGCCGGCTTTAAAATTGGTAACGCCTTCGCCTACGCTTTCCACAATGCCAGCGCCCTCGTGGCCTAACACAGCAGGAAACAGACCCTCAGGATCAGCGCCACTCAAAGTAAAGGAATCTGTATGACAGACACCAGTCGCCGTGATTTTAATTCGTACTTCATGTGCCTTTGGCGCAGCCACTTCAATTGTCTCAATAACAAGTGGTTTTTTCGCCTCCCAGGCAACAGCAGCTTTGCAGGTAATTACCTAACGAAGCGAACCAAATGTTAATAAAAATTTTATTAACCCCAACCGATATTACGGACTTTTCCCTCGGTAGCAGACATCTTGGTAATGGAAAACTCACGTACGACTAGTTAACACCAAGCACTAATTGTGAATGAATAAATGGTTTATGAGAGTGATATAAAGAAAGGCGAAGCTGGGGTGCAGATTTGCATTTTAAGTACTGTACTTGAAACCAGTGTACAATTTGTTGCATTTTTTTTTTTCCACTTGATACTTCTACTCTTTGATACTGCAATTTTATTAGAAAAGTTTATTTTAGTATTTCGCCGTTTCTGACGTTAAAACCGTACATAGATCTATGCATATTTTCGAAAAAATCGGTGTTGGCAATCTAAAACACGCGGTCTGGCAACATACTTCAGCTGTGAATTTGAAATAAAATATACATAGGTCGACAGCACTGTTATTATACACGTGCATAATAGAGTCGTTGTTATGGAAGTGTTTAACAATCGACCGGGATTTTGTCCATCATGCGGCTCGATTCTGCCGCCGTTGCAAATGAAAGGTAACGTTGTTTGCTTTAATTGCAAGCAGGAGTTTTTGCCCGACGGTAGGTTGCTTATCTTTCTGTAACATACCTAAGTATTCACATATACATACATATGTGCTTCTATAACAGTGTACATAGGAGAGAAGACCGAATTTACCATACAATTTAACACATACGACCCCACCAAGATCTTCAGTAAAGCCAAAAGGGAATCCAGAACAGCGGATTCAGATGGTCCAGTGGTAGAGCGGAAATGCCCCAAGTGCGGTCACGACAAGATGTCCTATGCAACGTTACAGCTGCGTTCTGCCGATGAAGGCCAAACCGTTTTTTTTACATGTCTACAGTGCAAGTACGTTGAACCATTAACAATTTATTTATCAATTTATTTTTTATATATATGTATATATTTTTTTAGATACAAGGAGTCGGAAAATTCTTAAATACTCAATCCTGGCTGTAAATTATTATTATTAAGATTAAATTTAATAAAGCGAAAATAATAGTATAAATATTTATAACGATGTACATACATTCTTAATAGACACCAGCACGTGATGTGGGGTTGAGGAAAATTAAATTTTTATTGATATCTGGTTCGCTTGCCTGGGAGGCGAATAAACTACTTGCCCGAGGGGACTTTGCGCATAGGTTTTAGGGGTCCAAAATTGTTTCATTTCATGGGCACCTCACGTTCGCCAATTACACTGTAGTGGCAGATATGTACATATATCGCTGACCAAAATCAACGATAAGACGCCACTAGAGAAGCTTTGTCCATTGGCTAAGGTTTCTATTCTATTTCGTTTATATTGGGCACTTCGTCAATCCAAAATAATAAGAGTGCCCTAAAAAATTATATAATTGATTTGATGGGCGGTGGCTTCGGCTATTTACATATGTATATGTATTGGAAATGTCAATATAATGCGCGTCGAGACAACTCACAATGGCTGGAGTTCTATGTCAAAGGTGTTGCCGAAGGGAGTGGATTCTTATCTGCAGAGAATGACTTGCTTGTCGGTGATTTCATCACTCACGAATTAAAACTGGAGCAGATAAACGAGGCTTTTGATTTGATGCACGAAGACAAGAGCATTCGTAGCAATATAAAATTATAAAAAAAAGCGTGAAAAGTTTGGGATTTCTATTTTTGTATTAAAATTTGTTGATCCACTGTATGATCATTTCGTTGTTTTCTTATCAATTGCATCAGACTTCTCCGCGATGCTGCCGTCTGCCGCGTCCTCCCCTTTATCATCATCATCTTCAGACTCATCTTCATCGTCGTCATCATCATCGTCGTCGTAGTCAGAGTCAATTTCATCATCTTCCGCGTAGGTGTAACTACTGCTGGCGCCGCCTCCATAGCTGTAGTATCCGCCATAACCTTCCTCGTCGTCGCTACCCCCTGCACCCCCTTGCTGTTGACGACCAAACTTGTGCGAACGCGTCGACATGCTTAAATCCTTCGTCACAGAAGTATCATAATTGCATTTGGGACAAGGAATGGCCTTGTTCTTTTCATACTTGAAGCCCTGCGGAATAAAGTGAGTTACTAGGCACTTCACAATGTAACGAGAATTATTATTTTACCTTGCGACGCACATGATCCTCACAATAGCAAGTCTTGCAGCGCAAACAGGAATATTGTCCTAGTCGGTTGCAGGACTGGCATTTGTAGGTTTCGGACTCCAGTACCTGACACGAGGCCTGATGCTCGAACTGATCATCTTCGCAGAGGAAACCATTGCAAAAGGAGCACTTGAAGATGCGCCCACCATGCTCCCATACCCCACGCTCGCACTCCAGACACACTGCATTTTGGAGCGGGCAGGTGCAGGCGTGGGTGGTCAAACATTTACGTCCGTGGCAAACCCATGCCTCGCAAAAGTCGCATATGGCACCCACCATGCCCAGACCTGTGGTATAAACACCGGCATGTTTAACAACACAATCTCCCGTCTTCAGCATGCACTTTATTTTGCCACATTGAGCGCAGATAGGCAAACGTTGCAGACTTTGACAGAAGTAGCAGAACGCACGCGACTTTTGCTTCTTCTCACACTTTTCGCAGTCCATGGGAGCATTGCAGGGCAGTTCAGCGAGGGAGATCTCGCGACTCCTGATTTCCTTGAGGCGTAGCTTTTGCTTCTCCGCCTTCTTGCGCTGACCAGTTTTCTTTTTCGGCATATTCTCTGGTACGTTGTTCACAAAGTGGCAGTGCTGTAAAATGTAGAAATTATTTTTGTGCTACTTATACATATGAAATGTAAATTATAAGCTTAGTTTTTGAAATCAGATACATACATATGTACATACATATATACATATATAATATAAATATAAATATATGTATGTACATAATATGTTTAATTTGTATGTTTTGGATTTTCTTGCTTTTTTATTCTTATTTTGCTCAGTAATCGGTATATTTATTTTCTAACAAGTATTTAATGCAGTATTAAATACTAGTACCCATTTACAACAAATAAATTTGTTATATAATATAATTTTTTGTTAACATTATTTGAAAAGAAATAGCAAACCAAATCCTATATAATACAAATGTACATCTATTGATGTACCTTTTCTGTTCCGTACATTTTGTGTCTCCGTGATTACATACATATGTATCTATGTACATATGTATGTATGTATGTGGATAGTGCGGACTCGAACCCAACGGATACAAACAACATCTGCTGGCAGAGATAACATTTTCGGTTATAATTTTCTGTGGATCAATCTTGTTCCAAAGAAATTTTACATGGATAACATTTTCCGAAAAATTTTCAATAATTACGGGAGTTATGGAAACATACATAGTACATGCGGCGGGATAGGGGAACTACCCATTGTCGGAGAACCTTGATACCAAGTTTTGTGCTTCCTAGCTCTTGTACTTTTCGAAATCCTAAATACGGACATGATAAATCGACAAATAAATCGCACAAGGGCGTAGGCAGGCAAACAATTTTGCCATATAAAGCCTACGTACACACAACAAAAAAAATGTTAATTTTAAGTGTTTAAAATTTAAGAATTCCATGTGAAAGTCTTGGGTTCAAATAAAACTTTACTAATTATTTGGCCTTTGTCCATTTTCTATACGTAGTCAATGGCAATTGTCACATAATCCAAATCCATAACAATTGTGGAAGCCCTCTCATAACTTTAAGCCCTGGTCAAGCGTATTTCAGATGGAAACAACCCCTCCCAAGCCACCTGTTGCAATTTTGTTTATGGCGCGCGCGAATCCTGGGCCAGAGTGTGGCTGTCAAAGTGTGGGGCATGCGCAACTCCAGTGTCCTTTGTGGCTGTCAAGCAAATGTCAGTTCGTAAGGATACATAATTTTTCGGACCTTCGCAACTCAAAGTCCTGCCGCAGCTATAAAAGTTAATAATAAAAAGAGTGAAAATGCTTTTTCTTGTCAAATAATATTACTAAATGCACCGTTCAAGCGCTGGTATGTAAAAGCTGGTTACCTAACGCAAAAAACAGAACCCAAATAAAATGTTGTTGCTAAAAAACTTGACACCAACTGATTAGACAAAAGTGGCGTACCGTGGCGTGGCATTTAAAATGGATAGTTGCAGAATATTTTTCCAAAAATATAATAATTGAATAAAACGCATACAAATATGTAGATCGGATTTTCGTTACACAATGCTATGTCGTTAGTTTATTTTAGATTATATTATAAAATTCAACATCTTGCCACATACCAGTTAATAGTATGTGGGTTCGAAGTTTTGGGGGCCGTTGGGGCCAGCACCTTGAGGGCCAGGCTATTTAAATATTTATACTAATTGTGTCTGACTTTGAAATATGTGCGACACGAAGGCCTACAATTATTTATTCAAATACATAAACGGTTTCTTTCCACGCAGCGAGCCACGACCTCAACATGCCACGCCCCTATCTGCTGTTGGTCGCAATGTGCCTCCTGGGCAGTGCCATACAAGGAGCAAGGGCTCGCACAGCCAAGCGCTCCGATGTGTACATAGCCGGTTTCTTTCCATATGGCGATGGCGTCGAGAACTCAGACACGGGCCGTGGCGTTATGCCTAGCGTTAAACTGGCCTTGTCCCATGTCAATGAGCATCCACGCATCCTTACCAACTACAGACTGCATATGTGGTGGAACGATACGGAGGTAAGGGATCAAGAAGCTTTTAAAACTTAAATGGCTGACTATTGTACCCGTCATGGTGCTCTGTTTGCAGTGCAACGCAGCTGTAGGGGTTAAATCTTTCTTTGACATGATGCACTCGGGCCCTAACAAGGTGATGCTCTTCGGCGCTGCATGCACCCATGTCACCGATCCCATAGCAAAGGCCAGCAAGCATTGGCACCTCACGCAGCTGAGCTATGCCGACACGCATCCCATGTTCACCAAGGATGCCTTTCCCAATTTTTTTCGGGTTGTGCCATCGGAGAACGCCTTCAATGCCCCACGCCTGGCGCTGCTCAAGGAGTTCAACTGGACCCGGGTCGGCACTGTGTATCAGAATGAGCCACGGTATTCACTACCCCACAATCATATGGTGGCTGACTTGGACTCCATTGAATTGGAGGTGGTCGAGACACAAAGTTTCGTCAACGATGTGAGCGAATCGCTAAAGAAGCTACGCGACAAGGACGTACGCATCATTCTGGGGAACTTCAATGAGCACTATGCACGCAAGGTGTTTTGCGAGGCGTACAAGTGAGTATAAAACCAACCGTATTTTTCAAGAGCATTTTTAGAAGGAGATAATACCTATATCTTACTTGTATAGCCAGATATGTTGACAAAAAGTACAGTTAACTTGTATAGAAATAATGATTTTAAGTTGATGCATCTGAGAGACTTGCCCATAGAAACAAAATATTTACTTGCATTTGAAACTGAAACTGGGCCAAAACCATTGAAGTCAGGTGACCCCTTTTGTAAAGTTTTAAAACTGCAGCCGGCAATTGGACATCATGATACAACATCAATGACTAATGACATATACATACTACCTACGAGTATTGCTCTTATTAAAAATTGCAATATGCCTTTATTTTATGTTTCCGGCTTTTGGAAACCTGATTCGAATTTATTTAGTCTTTAGATCTGCTTAATGTTCCTGAGTAACATTACAACTTTTTGCGCTGTATTTAGTTAATTAAGTTGTTTTATACTGTTTATCTGAAAGGTATAAGAGTAAGTTTTTCCAAAGTTAAAAACGTAAGTGCCAGAACTCACAAAGTATATACATATATTCTTTTGTCTGTTTGTCTGTGTGCCTGCCAGCCTGTCCGTATGAACACTTTGATCTCAGAGACTATTGAGGGTATACATAATTGAAATGACGCTTTTAAAGAAACTTAATTTGTAAAAGTTACATTTAATTTAAATTTGTTGCAGATCGGACATGTATGGACGTGCCTATCAGTGGTTAATTATGGCTACCTACTCAACGGAATGGTGGAACGCAACGCTAGATACTGAATGCACAGTGGAGGAAATTGCTCTGGCCCTTGAGGGCACCATACTGGTGGACCTGTTACCACTTTCCACAAGCGGGGATATAACTATAGCCGGCATAGTAAGTTCCTACTTTAAATCTGAAGTTAAGCCTCTAATAACCGATTTATTTTTATGCAGACGGCCGATGAGTATCTGGCGGAATACGACAGGCTCCGAGGCACGGAGTACTCCCGTTTCCATGGCTATACGTACGATGGTATCTGGGCCGCCGCATTGGCTATACAGTATGTAGCACAGAAGCGCGAAGACTTGCTGACTCATTTCGACTATCGTGTCAAGGACTGGGAGAGCGTGTTCCTCGAGGCTTTGCGCAACACCTCCTTTGAGGGCGTGACAGTCAGTAGATGTGGTTGCGCGCGAAAAACCATCATTCATGTATTCTATTATTACAGGGCCCGGTGCGTTTTTACAACAACGAACGAAAGGCCAATATACTGATAAATCAGTTCCAATTGGGTCAAATGGAGAAAATTGGCGAATACCACTCTCAGTTAAGTCATTTGGACCTGACGCTGGGCAATCCAGTGCGTTGGGTGGGTAAAACACCCCCGAAGGATCGGACTGTCATTTATATAGAGCACAGCCAGGTGAATCCCACCATTTATATTGTGTCGGCCAGTGCTTCAGTGATTGGCGTAATCATAGCAACGGTCTTTCTGGCGTTCAACATAAAGTATCGCAATCAACGGTACGTATGTAATAGCTTCTCTGATTTTCTTCCTACAAGTTGGTTCCTCTTTGCAGCTACATTAAAATGTCCAGTCCACATTTGAACAATCTGATAATTATTGGTTGCATGCTGACCTACTTAAGCATCATATTTTTGGGCCTTGACACCACTCTGAGCAGTGTCGCAGCGTTTCCATATATATGCACAGCACGTGCTTGGATCTTGATGGCAGGATTCAGTTTGGCATTTGGGGCCATGTTTTCCAAGACCTGGCGCGTTCATTCTATATTTACCGATCTGAAGTTGAACAAGAAGGTTATAAAGGACTATCAGCTGTTTATGGTCGTTGGCGTGTTATTGGCCATAGATATAGCCATTATTACCACTTGGCAGATAGCTGATCCCTTCTATCGAGAGACCAAGCAGCTGGAACCAAAAGTAAGTATATCTGAACAAATACAATATTTATACTTGAATACTTGAATGGCGGGTAAAGATATGGTATGGTTCTATTTGACCAATGGATTCCTATCTTTCCATACGTTCGGAAGCTCTACAAATACATGTGCCTTCTGTCGAAATATTACCCATTTTTGTAACAACCTAACCATAATTATGTGTTCGTTTTATTTTTGCAGCATCACGAAAACATTGACGATGTACTCGTCATACCCGAGAACGAATATTGCCAATCAGAGCATATGACTATATTCGTCAGTATTATCTACGCCTATAAGGGCCTGTTGCTGGTAAGAACTTTCAAAAGAAGCTATTTCGTGGAAATCTTATTAGGTTCGATCTTTTTTTAACAGGTATTTGGGGCCTTCTTGGCGTGGGAGACCCGTCACGTTTCCATACCAGCCCTTAACGACTCGAAACATATTGGCTTCTCGGTCTATAATGTATTCATTACATGCATTGCCGGCGCTGCTATATCCCTGGTGCTATCGGATCGCAAGGATTTAGTTTTTGTCTTACTCTCGTTTTTTATCATTTTTTGTACAACAGCCACTTTGTGTTTGGTGTTCGTACCGAAAGTAAGACTGGTAGTAAGGAAGTTTTGTAGTTTTTGTAGCTGTTATATAATCTAGTCGTGAATAATACGTATTTATATTTACATACAAACATACATAAATGCCCTTATGCTAAAAAAGGCCTAAAAGCCTATTTCAATTGAATCACTTAAAATGCCTGTGAAGGAATTTCAAATGATTTTCTCTTTGAAAAGCATAGTACAATACAAAAACTGTTCTAAATTCTAAACATTTAATGCTACATAACACTACATACTATTAAACTTTGATCTTAACTTCTCCTGTCCTGCCAAACAGTAATGCCATAGATCTAATCAGAAAAAGCGCTTAATTAAAAATATCCATACCATTGATACTAATATTGTCTTAGGAGGGACCGATCTCCATTTTAAAGAGATGCTCTTAACAAACAATTTGTATTTTTACCAAAAAAGATTTGAAAAATATATATTTTTCAATTAAATTTTAGTTAAATGATCTTCATTCATTCAATGTTCTTCGATGGCATCACTGTTACACACACGTGCTTTACTTTACTTTACTTTACTTTACTTTAACCCATAGATCACATTTTCTTGGTACTACCATATAGCCTCACTTATTAATTTAAAAAAAAACTTTTCAGCTCGTCGAGCTTAAACGCAATCCACAGGGCGTTGTGGACAAGCGAGTTCGTGCGACCTTGCGCCCCATGTCCAAGAACCGACGGGACTCCTCCGTATGTGAGCTGGAGCAACGATTACGGGATGTTAAAAATACCAATTGTCGCTTCCGCAAGGCCCTAATGGAGAAGGAAAACGAGTTGCAAGCACTGATACGGAAACTGGGACCTGAGGCCCGCAAGTGGATAGACGGCGTCACCTGTACGGGTACTAGCAATGCTGGTGGCGATCTGGACCCCATACTGACGGATGATATAGCACGCCTATCTGCACCACCCGTGCGACGCGAGATGCCCAGCACAACAGGTGGGTAGAAAGACTAACGGAAAGCACAAATGTGTTTATTGCATGATCCACTCTCACTTAGAAGTTACCGAGCTGACATCCGTGGATAGCATAACCTCCACGCACGTCGAAATGGACAACTCATTTATTTCGGTGCAGTCGACTGCTGTTGCACCTTCCCTGCCGCCGTAAGTTTCCAGAAAGATGCCCATGCCACCAGTTTATGCTTATTTCTTTGACCTTTACAGTAAGAAAAAGAAGCCCCCAATGATAGATGTGCAGCAGCAGCAACAGCATCAACACAGTGTACCGGCAACGCAGACGGCCATGCAGCCCATTCAGCAGCAATTGCAGCAACATCTGCATCAGCAGCAACAATTGCAGCAACAGCAACAACTGCATCAACAGCAGCAACAGCATCAGCATCCGCCGCAACTGCGAGAGGAACCACGTCGTGTAGCGGAAAAACGCAATTCTGTGTCGGCACAGACGGATGCCAACATTGGCAGCATTACAAGCAGTGTAGGGAAACGCACCACCGTCAGCGAATGCTCCACGCTGCGCGAGCGCCGTCAGTCTACAACGTCCCGCCATTACGACAGCGGAAGTCAGACACCAACGGCCAAGCCAAAGCACAGCACGTCTCATCGCAACTCCTCCACAAATATATCCACATCACACACAGACCTCAACAATGTCTGCCCGCACACCAAGCCCAGCGCTCCAGGCGTAATCAAAAGTGAGTGGATATACATCCATACATACATATGTATACCAATACCATATAACATTACACATTTAGGTCCTCAAACTGCTTTCCCTCTCTTGAATTTAGAACACATTTTATAGTAACTCTTGGTTATGTTAGATTAGGTCCAAATGGCTGAAGTGACAGAGACCCATTGAGATGTCAAATAACGCCCTTTGTTTTTATAGAATCTTACATTTCTTCTTTTGATGTTAATTATGGTTATTTCCGTGCAGTGACAAACCTCCTATGCTATCTGCAGTTTCTCCAGAAATCCTTGCCTTTTTTGCCTACATCATTCCTATTAATACGGATATTTCAATCCTCTCTTGATGCAGCAGTGTTGGAGGTTGTTTTTTGTCAATACATGGCCAACTCCGTTTTTTCTTTACCCACGTATTGGTGCCTTCCCAAAGCTGCTGAGTCCCCTCAATCCGTGGTTACGCATAAGTCATTTCATGAGGCTCAAAATCGTGGCAATTCTATTATTATTAGGAAGGATATGAGGGTCGATATGATTGGAGAATTATTGATGCTAACATCGGGAGCCCGCTTGTCTGCTTGACAACTTGTACTATATTTCGGCCCGGCGTGGTTGTGTATACATACCTGTTTTGAAAGAATGAAAAAGAAGAAAAAAAACACCAACCTAAAAGGTGATGCCCACTGCCTTAATCAGGTTGCACAGGGCTTGAGAGTTTAACCATTCGCTTCCATGAACCGAGGCAGTTGATAGGCCGCGGGGATTCCTTATCCTTATGCTGCTCCCATACTATAGTACGTACGTACGTGCTTTATAAATTCGAGTCATGTATGTCAAAAGTATTACAAATAATATAGTACTTAGATTATGATCTTGATGATGATTTTTATTACATTGTGAAATCCGCTATATAAACAAATTAAATAACTGTTTTATTTTTTAATAGCTCCCACTGCCTCCGACCATCGACGCACAAGCATGGGTGCGGCTCTCAAATCCAACTTTGTCGTCTCCCAGAGCGATCTGTGGGACACGCATACGCTTTCACATGCCAAACAGCACTCGCGGCAGTCCCCACGGAGCTACGCCAGCCCACAGCGATGCTCAGAGCACCATGGCCACATACTGGCTTACGAGCAGAGCACCACCTCGCCCATACAGCGTTCGGTCTCCGAGAAGAATCGCAACAAGCACCGGCCAAAGCCTCAGAAGGGCACTGTCTGCCAGAGTGAAACGGACAGCGAGCGCGAACGGGAGCCGACGCCACCCAGCACCCAATGCATACAACAACGAAAACTCAACCTGAATCGAACTTCGAACATACAGCAGGCAGCGCATCATCACAGCTCACCAAACGTGGCCCCCGATAAACAGCGCAAGCCACGCACCAAAACCGATTCCTCCATTTTCGGGGCAAGCTCCGAAACGGAACTACTTGACGGTGAGACCGCCATACTGCCCATATTCCGAAAGCTTCTGACCGAAAAGAGTCCCAACTATCGTGGCCGCAGCATTGTAGGCCAGAGTTGTCCAAATATTTCGATCAAATGCGATATCGTGGAGTATTTGTAGGCCGGAGAAGACCACATTAGAGAAAGATCGATGGCAACACTGCACTGTGCATTAGATTTTAGCGCCTATGCCATTGTAGTCTAAATAAATCACATACTATGTAAAGAGCAGGACACACCATTTAGTGAATTGTTAGAAATAAAACTGATTAACGATATGAGCATGTTAAGTTTTATTTTTACGCAATATTGCAATCCGATTGGTCCTAGATCACCTACCCATTTTGATCTTTTTCCATTCAATCAACAGACAAGGGTAACTATTCATTGTACGATTGCAGTCATACCTGTAAGTATAAATTCTAGGCTCTCAAATATTAGAGCCATTAGAAACAATAAGCTTCGAAAAGATTACACCTAGCCCTCGCTTAACACGGGGCTTTCTAGAAAAACTCGCGTTAAGCGAAATCTTGTTAAACGAGACATGGACTCTATACAAAATATGGGGTTACGTTCCTAAACTTCAAAAAATGCACAAAAAATGCTGTTTAAATTTCCCCCCCTTTGGATTTTTAATCGTATTAGACCGAGTTCGAATTAAAAGGGGTCGTGTTAGCCGAGGTGTATGTCAATTTAAAGATATATGTATGTATTGGATTTGTTAGTTGAAAATTTATTCATTCGTGTTAATATTCGTTTCGTTGTTGTCTAGGAGAATTCGCTTTTACCAATAAGCCTTAATTGTCGATTGATCTCCAACATTTTTGCATTACCAATTTTATCAACACAATTCATTTTTGCTGTCGATATTCGTGATTCGTAGTGCTTTCATAACGCTTAGATAACTTGATTTAGTTTTGTCCGAAGCATTTGTATTTCTTCTTAAATGCATAGTATATTGTCGGCTTATTCCTTTCTAGCGATAATATTGCTCCTCGAATTGAAGTTTTCTCATCCCTTCCAGCATTCATAACAATATAGTAGTATTGTCCATATGCTTCATATAATTACCTAGAAACTAAAAATGTATGGTGTCTCTAATATGAGGTGGTTGGTAATGTCAAATTTTCGATGCCAATTTCCTCTTTATACCCTGTACCCGCAAGGTAAAAAGGGGAATTATGGTTTGTGCAAAGTATGTAAAAATCACCGACTCCATAAATAATCAGCATGGCGAGAGAAATCGATCTACATACACATGACAACGCCTGGATTTCGGAAACTTCTGAGCGCATATTGACCTAACTCGGTATGTAGACGCTTCTAGTCCCTAGGCTACACGAGTTTATATTATATTTTTGTTTTCCCACATGGATTACACAGTTGCCCTGGAATTTAATGCTAATGCATTTTCTTTAAAAATCCAACAGTGCATTGCATCTCAGCCATCCCTCGGCGGTATGAACAATGGATATAAATCATACAATAATTTTGGCATTTTAAATTAACATTTATTTAATCACTTTAACACATTTAAGTTCAATGAAGGAAGTACATAGTTTCAGTTGTAGTTAATACAATGCGTCTAGGTTTTGTTTTCATATTCATGCCATTTAATCGTGGCAAGTTTTGAAATTTGTCGTCTTCGTATCACAGTTATGTGGTTGTTACAAATGGGAGAATGTGTTTTTGGCTTTGAACGTTAGATAGTTAGGATAGCAACAATTGATGTCTAAAATATGTATACAACTGGATTATGAATACTTCTATATACATACAAAGATATTTAATACTAGTGTCATCAACAAACGAACGCTCAGGCTATCTGCTAATAAAACATGCACGGTATAAATAGACTTGATTATAATAAAATGCGTTCATACACAAACATATGGCTTATCCAAATATGTATATCTAACAACTACTTACAATCTAATAATGCCGCTGGTACGTGTGTATATACATACATACATTTGTATGTATACATATCAAGTCAACGCGGAGCTAATTGCTTCAGTTAACTAATTGTTCAGACGTCACATGTTGCCACGGATAGGGAGCGTCCATAATTAAAAGGATGTTTCACTTTGTTAGTCTTTTGAAAAATGCGTACAAATACAAGCATTTAAGTACACACACACAAATAAATATTTCAGTAAATAGCTCACACATGGCTTACACATTTGCATATAAATAACTAGTATCTACATATACATATGATAACAGTTAAATGGTACAAGTACATATATTAGGCAGTTTCGACCCCTTGTTAAAAAAATTCAATTGCTTGAGTCGAAAGTCTCTCCAGGTGCTTAATGTGAAGTTGACGGATAGTGTTCCTGTTTTAGCAGCGCAGACTGATATTTGCGTTCACCGATATTTGCTGTTGGCACCTGAAAGGAGTGCTCGAAGTCCAAGGGCAGCGGCGCAAGCGCATGTCCGCTCTCTGCACCCGAAATTGTTTTTATCAAGCTGTTCGAGTTCAGAGACTCCAGTTCGTGGGTTTCCGAATTGGCCAGCTCCACAATAGCAGAGCTTGTGGGAGTTAACAGCTGTTCACTGGCAATCACTTGGCTCGGTTTGCTGCAAATAAGGTACAAGAGTGTGAAGGTGTTTAAATAGATCACTAAATTTGAGCATAAAATATTACATTTTTCAAAGGAGGCAAAGAAATAATTTATTTAAAAATACTTTATTGCTACACGATCATGGGCCACAACTGCGTCCGCACAATCGAATCTGGGTTTAGAATTAATATTCAAATTATTTTGCTTTAGATTATCGGTTGACACTGTTCGTAATCCATAAAAAAAATCGTTTTTCATACAAAAGCATTACCTAAATCATCTTGTTTCTATAACAGATACTACTATACTGATCTGATCGGATCGGTGGCGACATATTTCATCTGTGTTAAGAAAAACAAAGACGAAAGGTACGAAAGTGACCAACATGACGAGAGGATTTGCCTACTCTGTATCTTCAAATAACAACTAATCCCACAGGGATAACAGAGATAACTTCGCACAAAAGCTTCCCTTTAATGGACACAGGTGACGACGATATTATGGAGGAGGAATCAAGTTTGTGTTGTAGCTCACAGTGGAGAGCATGTATACAAAGATAACTTCTTGGTTAACTTGGGCCTACACTTACCGTTCGTAGAATTTAGTGCTGTTGGTAGTGTGACGTCGTTTCCGACACTTAGGCCAACGCCAGCTTAGCTGCATAAAACCATACTGGGGTCCAGCGATCCTTAGCAAACTCATCAAAAAAAATGTCGCGTATAGCCAGCTGATGATCATAACCACAACCAGAAAGATGCCGATTTGTATATAGGGAAGTATGCTGGACGATAACATGATACACCCAGCGAATCCAGTGGTGCAGGCAGCCATAACAGTGGGTCCAACGATGCGTGAGAGAGCGAATTGTGTGGCCGCCAGGCGTTCTTTCGACGGCGACAGACGATAGTGTATGCCATAATGCAAACTAAAGTCTACGGCTAGCCCAATGGCGGTACTAACCGCTATGCTCTCGAGTACGTTGAGCTTCCAGCCCAGTAGAATAAGAACAGCGACCGTATTGAATATTGTAAGCGAGACCGTGAGTACAGCATATAACGCGATGAGCAGGTTGAGTGTAAATAGCAGCAGCACCACCATCGCGGCCCCCATGGCCAATGCAATGGAAATAATGGTATCTTGCGGTAGTGTATCCTGAACGTTAAAAAAGTTGAGATCGCTGATGAACCATCCGTTCTGCAGCTCTTTAGGTGCTGTGCTCAAACTCTCGTGGAACCATTGCTCGACAGTTTCGTAGAACTGCTTGATATCCGTATAGATAGTGCTATACGAGACATTCGATTCAAACTCAATAACCACCGCTTTGATCTGTGGCGGCGCTGACATTGTAGCATTGTAGGCTAAGAGGTTGCCATTGCTGCTGCTATTGAGCTCCAGAAACTCCTGGTCTCTAACGTCCATTTCGCAGATGCTAGTTGTAACGGGCGCTGCAAATTTTGGACCTGCTACTCCCGGTTGAAAGAAACGCGGCGTATCGTAAATATCTGATATGCTCTGCGGAACGCACAGTTTAAAAATGTGCGGCTCGTACGGAAACTGGGCATCGCAGCAGGGCGTACGATCGGTATGTGTGTCATCCATGCCATCAATGCATCTGCAAATTAAAATGTTCGTATTAGAACGTGCATGTTTTACTTGATCGGACTTTGATCCTCGCATAAAACAATAGCAAGGTGCACCTTATTCATATAATTTACACACTACTATGTACTCACCTGCGCTCCATAAAATCTATGAAGTTCTCGATGAAACAATTCGGCAGCAGTATTCCAAAACTGTGCTGATAGAACGGCTGTCGACGAATGCTCCGGCAAAACTCCAAAAGCCACGTCTGCGCTGCCTTACTTGAGATATCAAAATTATTGTCGTAATAGAGGTTGCCATAAGAAGTGGGGTTTGTATAATCGCCATCATCTAGAGGTTGGACACCCCAAACAAAGCGCATGTGCATCTTGAAATTCTCATATGCCCGCAGCGGCTTTTCGAACCAAAACTCTTGCTTCAGGCGCGTGTTGTATATCTCGAATGGATGTTGTGAGACAAAAAGCTGCAACTGAGACTTTTCCGGAAGTTGAAGACCCGGATACCACAATACTATTACACCGCTTAATGCGCCCAGAGCGCCAAAAATAAGCAGCCAGAAATAGGCGTAGTTCATGACCAACTGTGTGATGACATCTTCAAAGAGCTCATAAAATTTATTAATTGACTTCTTGCAGGCATTCAAAAGCTTTTGGTCCAGCTGCTGCTGGCATGTCATGGAACTGGCGAACAATCGCTCCATAATTGAAACCGAAGCGGGCAACCAGGTGAGCATGAGAAGATAGTTCGCGACCACAACAGTGCCGGAAAAAATACTAAAAGGAAAAAATAAAGCAATGCAATTGTTGGGAAATTTACGACTTGTTAACTGTTAAGCTTTAATATGTAAGCTCACATTAATGTACCTATTATAATAACATATACAGTTTCTACTGTAAATACTTAGTATCCGTTGTTGGCAAGGTATGTGATGTATGAACACTATTTAAAAAAAAAATTAATTTTATATTTGATTCTTTTTTTATTGGATTGAATCAACGAACAACTATATTTAATAAGCACAACATAACTTTGTAGATTGCCTGCCCTATTCGGACTCTCTTTGGATCAAATCAATCAAGGCATTAGTTGTAACAAGTTTCCAATTATAAAGGCATTATTTCTAAATTGACTCCTTTGTAAGTATGTAATTTACTCTGATCAACAAGGAATTATACAAAATCGGTCAATAGTGACTAATCTGCATATAGGTATACATGTACAAACATACTTGATCGTATTAAATTTTTATTTCCTTTTTAATTTGCCTCTAGTTAGTTTCCTTTCTTTATTTTTTTAAATTTCTTAAAATTTTTATTTGTCTATGCTGGTTGGCTAACTATTCAGGGTTATCTACCTTATGAGGCTTTATAATATATTTTTTCATCTACATACATACATATATCGACAGGATATGCTTGTCGACTTATTAAAAAAAATTAATTACGATTAATTTTGTATTTAGCATACAGTGCCGTCACTTACCCAAAGCACTTAATAGCCGTGATGGAGCTTATGTAGGAGGCATAAAAAGCACCTGCAGTTGTGACGGAAGTTACGAACATGGAGGCTGCCGCATGTCGCATAGTCAAGGACATCAGATTCTGCAGTGTCTCAGTGTGTTCGTGCTCAAGAGTTGTGGGCAGGGTCGCTTGAGTGTTTAAAGTTGACGTTTTGGTAAAACGTTCGGCTAATACACACTGCCAAATCTTTAGAAACAAGAACACATCATCGGCCCCAATCCCAATTATGACCACGACAGCCAGCAAATTCATGTAAGGGAAAAAGGATAAGTCCAGGACCAATGTGTATAGAAAGTATGCCAGCCCCAAAGAGAAAAATATTGCCAGGCAAGACATCACTGTGATAAACAAGGAGCTGGTATACAGCCAGACACAGGTCATGACGAAAATGCCACCTAAAGCTACGAGCCACACATCCGTGACCAGAAGTTCATTGAAAAGCTCATTTTCCAGTCCTAAATCCATAGCAACTACTTCCACTAGTTCGTTACGTAAAGCTCTGAAAAATAAATCAAAAAATTATTTTAAAAAACAACATATCACATATTATAGGGGAAAAACTTAAAAAAAAAAGTCATCAGACATGGGCGAGGAGCAGAGAAACGCATATCTGGACAATGTGCGTCTTGAGGACATGTTGCCGCCATGTCCTAAGTTTAAGACAACTATGCAGACCCACTACATTGAACATAAGAACTTGAAACGTAGACAACCATGTTTAAAAACGAAACAGAAGGATGAGTCCCTCATCTCCGGTCACTATTTAAACAATCTCAACGTTAAGGATCTGCAAATGAAGACACGAACGTGGCCTCGTTCTATGGACTGGCGCGAGGACTACCGCCAATTTCTGAGGAGAATGAGCTGGTGCAATGACGAGATATTCAAGCTCTTTTTTGAGTGTCCCAAAGTCCGCTACGATGTTGCGGAACAATTTCTAAGGGATCTACAAAAGACAGTCTACTGCATGGACTATTCACCAAAGGACTTCACGTCGCTGGTTAGCCAAAAGCTTTATTTTCAAAACCGCAAGTATGATCAAAAAATTACTGATTATCAAACCACCTATGCCAATTATTACAACCGCATACAAGAGGTGGGTGCCTTTAGAAGGCTTATGTACTGTGAACCAAAACCCAAAGATATTTCTTTGGAAGAGTTTAACACAGAGATGCGGAAACTGTTTAAAAAATATAATTTGACGACTTATTTTGATGAAATATGCGGGCCAGCGCTGATGAAGGCCAAGGATGGCATCATGCCCAGCGGTCCCATCGATAAATACACTCTACGCAAGCACTAAATCAAAGGAAAATACATATATATTAAATTAACCGTCTTATACTCACACTTTCTCCCATTCGTGAAATAATTTTAGCATATGGTTTGATTTCACTACAGGCACGAAAATCATGGCATAGTTTAAATAAACGTTGGTATCCTGTAAATGAAAAATGTAGGATCAATAAAGTTAAGGCAAAAATGGGGAGGGGGATAAGATCTTACATTTGGTTTTATAAAGTTTAGGTCGCTTAGAAAATGCAAAATATTGTAAACGATATTGTTGCGCATGCACTCAACAGGAGCATAGCAGCGATTAAACTTATTGCAGTTGTCGTCCATTTTCAAATCGTGGTAGTAGTCGTAGCAACTGAGCAGAAGCGACTGCAGCGCTGTTACATCCTCACCGGTGAGATCAAAGCAGGAACTCCGGTTTGCAAGAAGAGCAGCATAATTAGGCAGCGACCACGGGCGACAACAGTTAGAGGTGAGCTTTTCAAGTTCACAGAAGGCATCATAGCTGGGAACGGCAGCTATTTGCTCCTGCAGTTGACACATCGCCAGTAAGCCATTAAGATCAAACAGAGAGTTCGTCGAATTTCGGCCAATGCGTTGCACTACAAAGTGGGCATATTCCTTGCGCAAAGAAGCATCACAAAAATAACCGTCAATTGGTTGCCGTACATCTGCACCAGTCCAGGAGCTGGTGGGAAGCGAAGCCGCCTGCTTAAGTAATAACCAAGTACTCTTCTTTGTCTGCACACGCTCGCGGTGCGTTTCCTCATCCACAGATGTTGTATTGTGCCCATACTCGAAGTGTTCACTGCGTTTAGTAGGTTCCAATACGGAACCAGTAACGGTATCATTCGTAATCTCGTAGTCCCGAAAGATACCACTATCACCTCTCCACTTTTCATTTTGAGTCCCACCTACACCTTTCAGACGTTGGCTAAAGTCTACCATTTCCAGCTTCCGCTGCTCGTGCTCATATCGTTTGCGCACCATCTGCTGCTTCCGTCGTTTGTTTTTATGCATTCGATTGCGATTCTTTCGTCGACGATGCGTTGGATACAACAACAGGTCGCAGGCTTGTTGCCGTTTCTGATACAAATCCGATGGATTGGAGAACAAGGCGCCATTGCGATCAGATTCCTGCAGTAGATTGTGCCAGGCAGTCAATCGTTTGCCAATCTCCGTTCCGCGTGTCTCGAATCCCTTAAATTAACCGAATGTTATTCTTAGCTAAATATACATTTATGTATGATCTTGGCACTCACCAAGGTAGGGTCCGTGAAGTCTGGCAGCTTGTTAAAACAAAGCGCCACAATTATACATGCGACGCAGTTAACGGCGATGGCAGTAACCACCAGATACGGACGTCTAGCCAAAACATGGTAATACCAGTTCATTTTGTCCGACTCAAAGCACAACATGCTTTCAAGCTATTTCTACGCCCAGTCTCAATTCATTTTGTTGCTATTGACCTTGAGCTAATGGCGCGCTCAACGTACGCTCCACAGGCAGTTATGTATGTTGTTGTTGTTGTTAGAGATACTGCTATTGCCTGGTTTTGAGCTTTCGTTTTTATACACAACTCCTACTTGTTTTTGACTGCATGTATATGTAATTCCATTTCAACGAGTACGATGCGGCAACAAGTAGGATTAAGAAAGCAACTATGCACAAGAATTCATAAACTAAACTTGAAAAATGTACAAACAGCATAAAAACACAAAGGACTCTGACCTAGAGATGGAACACGACCTTTTAATTCGGACCCAAAACACCACAAGCACGAGCATGGGCTTCTTTGGCTACTTTATATATTTTAAGCGAAAAAGCATGTTTTTTCATTCTGTGCCTATTACTTTTTTAAAAAATTTGAAGGAAAATTGTGTAAAACCATCGTACCCTGCGTGCTGAGGGATCATGCATACAGAACACACCCATCACTACTGCAATGCTACCACCTTGTTGAAATTGTGCTGGACCCAGCTGGCTATCAGCTGTGCGCTCTTTTGTAATAGCCAACGCCAAAGGCGCTGATTCCTTGCTTAGTTTAGTAAGAATTATTAATTAAAAATGATTCGGAGGATGAATTGCCTAATGCGACTGCACGGAATCTACCCAAACGCGCTCTGTCAAAGGCACGCGCCTGCCAATAACAGGAATTACGCAAATCAAACTGGAACGCCGGATGACGAAAGGGCTGCCGGTGGCAATCAACAAAACAGTAAAAACCGGACTGGAGGTGGTGGCTCTAAAAGCTTGCCCGTCGTGCGTAATCCCTTTACAGCAGCACAAGAGAAGACTAAGGGTAGTTACCTTACAATGGTCGAAATCTTTGCCGGTCGCGATGTGCACAGGCGCAATCATGTAGAATTTATATACGCTGCGCTTAAACACATGGCTGAGTTTGGAGTCGAGAACGATCTGGAAGTGTACAAGGCATTGATCAATGTGATGCCAAAAGGAAAATTCATACCCACGAATTTGTTTCAATCTGAATTCATGCATTATCCTAAACAGCAGCAGTGCATCATTGATCTGCTTGAGCAGATGGAAGATAACGGTGTTATGCCGGATTATGAAATGGAGGCCATGCTGCTGAATGTTTTTGGTAAAAAGGGTCATCCGCTACGCAAGTACTGGCGCATGATGTATTGGATGCCCAAGTTTAAGAATCTATCGCCATGGCCCTTGCCCGATCATGTGCCTGATGATACACTCGAGATTGCCAAGTTGGCGGTGAAGCGTATGTGCACAGTAGATTTGCGCTCTCAAGTTAGCGTGTACGAGACTAAAAACGTGAAGGATGCGGTGGACGACACGTGGATTGTCAGTGGCATGAGCGCCGAGCAATCCAAGTTACTGCGGGAGCATTCCCAAAAAAAGGCGCTGTACATAGAGGGACCATTTCTCATATGGATACGCAATCGACGCATAAATTATTTTACACTGCGCGCAGATCCCGATCTCGAATTGCTTGCCAGTTTAGACGAGCAGGAACGGCAAATTGATCAGGATGGTGAGTAATTGGTATCAAATACTTTAATCTCAAAAAAACATTGAATAAGTAAATGTGGTTTGGAACGAACTTTATATATTAATAACCCAAGACTTTTTTTTAAGTATAGAGATCCTATGTATAAAATTGTAAATATATGATACGTAACTTATTAAAGGTCTAGGCTCGGCGGTAAAATATTTATGTGATAAAGAAGCATGTCATTGTAGTGACTGCTGTAACTGATACATATATGTATATATTATTTGCAGATGTGACTAACATTGAAGTGCCATTTTTCGGTCGACCACCGCCAAGACGACATAATCAGTTGGGGAAGGTGCGCTCGGTGCACCAACAGGAGGACGGAACTATCTTTGCAATATGTGCCACGGGTACTTCCACAAAAGATTCGCTGTTGTCCTGGATACGATTGCTGGAAGCCAATGGGAATGCGGCGTTGGGTGGAATTCCCGTACTCTTTAGATTTACGTCAACAGTGCCCGCAAAGGCAGTGGAAATTGAGGGCGCCAGCGAAGTTCCCGTACCCAGTGATAGTAGAAGTAAGCAGAACGTGTGAGTGTTTTTGAAAGTCTATTAAATATTGTAGTTGTTGAAGATTGTTTATTTCTGATGTTTCTTTATTTCATTGGAACAGAAGGAAAAGTAAAATCGTTAAGTTCAATTTAATTTAAAATATAAGGACGTGTGATCTGGAGAGCTTAATCAAAAATCACAGAACTCAAAACCAAGTTGAGGATTTCCATAATCTATTATTAAATTATGTACACGATTGAGATATATCGGTGTATTAATTATCAAGGTACCTTCACACATGCCTCTTCGTTTTGCCGAAAAGTATTTTGCCTTTTTAATTTCAAATGTAGACTTCAGAAAGAGTCGTAAACTACACCACTACTTGTGCTCAACTTTTTAATAGAACTATTATTTAAAGTTGGAAGTTTTGTTCACAACTCAAACGAAAATTATGCAACACGATTGAGCAGTAGTATTGGTTTGATTTCTATCCAAAAACTTTCGGACTATAACACTGCCAAAAGAGATTTTTGTAAACTAATTAATTTATTCTTGCATCACAATTACTAGAATAGTTAAGAATTCAGTTCTTAAACCATTTAATTATCCGATTTTTTCTGATTTTCAATGATTCGTATTTAGAGTCCCAAATTTGTTCGTTAAGAGCTGAATGCTATAAATTTCAGAGCTTTTATAAACGCTGCTCAAATGGGTAACAGTTGAATCTGTCAATATTCTGGCAAAACGTTTGGCACATGTGATTTAAGATTAAAGTTACATACTACCTTATCCAAGTATATATCATATATATACCGGTATGTATTTCCATTTGTATGTTTGGGTGTGTTTCTGTGAAGAAATGCTAGGTACTCTTCTGTGATGTAAAAACCGCCACATTGGCTATTATCTATTTGGCTCGACTCTTGTTCACAGGAAACACTTGCGTAACAACGCCAATACCTTTGCTTGTGCCTTCACGGAAGAGTATCCGCATGCCAGGGCGCACATATTCGGGATGTCCGACAAATTCAAACATCACCGAGGCACAATCGTTTGTGCCCAATCGCTCCCCTCCCATGATGCCACGTATAACAGCTGTCTGTCGAATGCTTCCAATGTGCACGGTAGTCTGGAAGCCCACGTATATGGCAGTAGCATGGAACAGCACAGAGACTTTGGCCTGCAAAAAATCAAGCGGTGAGAGCTTGAAGGAAAAAGAAAGGAAGTAACTTACTTGGAAAAAGTACGTGCCAAAAGGTTCATCATCGGGGTTGTTAGAGTTGACAAGCAACACCATGCCGCTGCGCAATGGAGGCAGCTCCTGGTCTGGTGTAAAGGAAAGCGATGCACTTTGTCCAGCACGCACGACCCGGCAGGGTGCCTTATTGCGATGTATGGAGTGTACTGTGACAGCATGAAAGCTACCATCAGACAAGGGCCCAATCTTCATAGGCATGTTCTCAGTGAGCACCCCCTGGACCAACAAACCGCCAACTACGGGACCCACGTCGGTGACCCGAAAAATTTCGTCCACTTGGAACTCACATGATTCAAGCTCAAGCCGCTCCTTCTCCGCATTGCTTATGCCCGGTGAAAGCACGTATAGAAACTTTGTGACTAGATTCAAGCCGGTACCCGTTACATTGGAAACACAGAAAATGGGCACTATGTTCTCATAGACCTGATTCGACCCAGCTGAAATGGCCTCGTCCGTGTTGGAGACTACAAAGGGGACTTTTCGGCAGCCAATTGTGGTTAGCAGTTGACGCAACTCTTGAACCGTCGCATCCGGCGAACTGATGTCCGTCTTGGTGATCAGTATAAAGAAGGGCATGTCTAAGGCTCGCACAATGGCCAAGTGCTCCCCTGTCGTGTCGTTGCAGCCGCTTCCTGCCGACACAACCAGCATCGCATAGTGTGGTGAGTATCCAGACAAGGCCTGAACTGTGGTGCGCATATAGCGCCGATGTCCAGCCAGATCCATGAATGTCACCAGCTTGGAGGATCTGTCGCTAATTTCCTCCGCTGTCATCATCTCATTGTACTTGTAATTCACTATATTCCCTAAAGCATCGAAGCCCAGTGTTTCATGTGAGATACAGGAGGTGCGTCCGCTTTGAATTTCGTGCATGTGTCGAAACATATTCAAGCGTGCCCGCCCATGTCCATTGTCCAGTTCATCCTGGGTGAGAACACCCAGTAGCGTCGATTTGCCTGCATCTGCGCCGCCCAAAACCGCAACTCGTACCTCAATGTTGTGCTGGTCATCGGGAATCTTTCGCACGAGCACCTCTGCCACGGAGCGACGAGCTGCAATAGTCTTGCGTCGCAGAACAGATGTACTAGCTCCCAACCTGTGGGCCATTTGCTTCAGCGATGTCAGGGTTGCGTTCATTTCTTTGTCGCTCAGACCCTGCAAATGACCAGCATCAGACACACCAATTTCATAAATGGCCTCCCCGTGACCCTCTCGCAGACGCCACTTCATTTGTGTGACTAGATGCTCAAATCGTTGCTTGGAGGGATTAACCAGCTTCAGCTTGTACTCCACGTTACCCAACTGCGGCTCCGGCGGCAGAGCGCCCTGCTCAAAGTCAATAATTATCATGCTGTTCGGACCATTTGTAAGATCGTTAGCATTGGCGTCAATTTCGTATTCACTGCTGCTGCCTCCACTGCTGTTACCATTCAGCTCCTGTTCCTCATCGAATCCGTCATCCGGCTGATTGGGGTCGAAAAGGCTAAGGAAGGAGTCCATGGTGACTGAAATAAATAACAAATACAATGAAATTCTTTAAATTTGGTAACGTTTATTGTTAGACTCTTTTTCGCTTTGTCTTTCTCGCCTGAAATGACCTTGAGACTCTTGTTTATGTTTGGTATGCGCAATTGTATTGTGCAGATACATACATATGTATGTATGTACATAGCATACATGCATGCATGTATTTACGTTTTGTGTACTCACACTTTTTAAGAATAGCACATTTACTGCCCGTAAATCCTATAATAACTTAACTAAATATATTGCAATTTTCCAAGCTTCACCCTGGACCAGCAAAAACAAATTTACAAATATCTTATTTATTGGAGCTGATGGGCCGCGCTTCTTTGCCTGCACACTCGAAAAATCGATTTGACAACGCTGGCGGTTTTCTGTTATTATTTGGCTTTGCTTCTGCAGCTGTTTCGCATCCTATACGTACATTGTATATATGTACATACATACAACATACATACATATATGTACTCAGTGCTTGCTATATATGTACGTAAATACATACATACATGTGTGGTAAACTTGTGCTCTTTGTTTTTGGTTACTTTTCGATTTTGTTTACAGGTTCTGCTTTTGTAAGTTTTGTTGTTCTTTGAAAAGTTTAATACACGTATATACCTACATTTATATGTATGTATGTATGTATATGTGCACAAGGTCAAAAGCTTTTTGGCCAAAATATTATTGTACCTCTGCCGTAATAGCAATGCTTCTTAATAGAGAGAGACGCAGATTGTCGTCTTACATTTGGAGCGCACAAGAGTGTCGACTTAGCGGTACTTTGCGTATTATCTGCTGCCTCTTGTCTTTCTATACAAATCACAAGTTATTTGTTTTGATCTGAACAGCTGAACAAGGGTTGCGCCAAAAATGAAATAGCAGGAAGCAGATAGTAGAGCTAGAACAAGTATGTATGTATGTACTTATAAATGGAATTTTTGTTTATATGCACATGTGTATGCATATGTGTAGCTATACATATATATACATATGTATGTATGCATTTAAGGCTTTTAGATTATTGCCAAATATGTGCTTATAAATAGACGCAAGTTTTTGATTACAAGGTAATTGGCGCAACGTCAACGCGTTAGGCTTTTATGAGGCTTTCCAAGTGTTTAAACAAAGTAACTGGGTCAGTTGGCTGTCGATTTGTTTACAATTGGGTTGTATTTCACAAAAGACATATTCACGCACTTGCACTTACTTTTAACAATTTTCTCAAGCTTAACTAAACCAGTTTTATGAACTCAATAATTATGATGCAATTAATTGAGTAATATTTCAAGCAATTGCTCGAGACAAATAAAAAGTGCTTCTTTGTGAGTACGATTCTTTGCTTCTTGAAGCTTTTTCTTGTATGTTTGATTGTTTTACCTAAAAATTTTAACGTCACTATATAATTTAGACTACTGGCTCTTTAAATAGTTTAGAGCGCGCTGCTTTGATGTTCACCACTCTCTACATCTTTTGACAAATAAATAACAACAAATAAACGGCTGACGATGCAGCTGGAGGTGCAGTCGAAATTGCTTGCTACTTAGTTGCCACCCTGGCTAGATTAGATTGAACCAGTGCTGTAAAACGCGACTGGTTTCAAATTCATCTTAGACTTGCGAACATGCATTTTTTATTCATAATAACAAACAGATTAATTTCAGGTAATACTTGGTTTTAAGATTCGATTTATAACTGAGACGTCAATGGTTTCCTCGGTATTTGTTTGGTATACATTTTGTTTGAAACGCAATCTCCTCTAAGCTAACTCAAAAAAAGAAATGCTCAGAATTTGCTATGATTTGTAATAAACGAATCCTACATAAAAACTAACCATTTGGGCGTGATAAAAATTACAAATTTATTTCTAAGCACATTAGTCACAAAAATAATAATATGCATTTATAAATAAAACACATACATAGGTACATACATACATATAAGTTTGACAATCTAATGAGTCTCCGATATTATCACGCTGCGCTTGCGCTGTATTATGCGCTGTTCTCGATGCGCTTTCTGCAACTTTATGAAATGATTTCGCAGTTCTTCAAAATCAATGCCACTTTTGTGCTGCAAAGAGTTGCGCGCTTCACTATAAACAAAAACAAATATTCAAATTCATAAATAAAGATATATCTACAGTTTAAAAAATGGTTTGGTTGCTTACACTGGTTCTTGGCCCCAATAATTAGGTACGCACTGCAAGCGATTACGCAGCGTATTAAAGGCCTCCGTTTGTGGCAGCAACATTAATATACCAAATAACGCGTGTGCCAAATACTGTGCATCTGCACAATTATTTGATTTTGATACAAGAGTGAGTCGCAGTGGGGCAAAAATTGGAGATTCTATGAGTTGCACTAATTTATCTAGCTCACTGAGTAGTTCTAGAGTGATCTCCACATCGCCGCTGAAACCCACACGGATTTTCAAAAAAAAATTACCTTAATGTTAATAATTATTTAAATTTATAAACTTACAACAAGATCACGAGATCGGAGACATGTTGATAACACTGCGCTAATAAGCAAAGGGATAGAGTAGATACGGGACAGTGCGCCCAACTTTTGTAAAGGCATTGGAATAAATCGGCGGATTTTTCATTGGATATATGACGAAGGCTGTTGCGCAATTCAAATAACTCTGTAGATGTCAACAATATGCTGTTGAGCATACGCACAATTGTGGCAGCAAGCTTTAAGTTTGGCATTTGCTCGGCTATGATTTCGGCAAAAGTTCGATAAATGTAATCGGCATTCAAGAGCTCACATAGTTTTCTAAATAAAAGATACTAATTAATATTTGCAATCAATTTGATATTTGATTTACCTTATAATCAGACTAGCTCTACTTTCCAAAATAAGCCTTTCCTCGCTAAACAAATTAAGTAGGCTTAACAGAAACTTGCGATAATGATCTGATGGATAAAAAAATTGATTAAAAGTTAAAAATACTGATACAGTCTTTTTACCTTTACTATCCTGCGAATCGGCTATTACAGCCAAAACAGACAAACTTTGGAGTACAACCTCGTCAGAGTTATCTGACAGAATACTAAGCAGATTGTCATTTAAATTGTTGGCATGCGCAGACATTTCATTGGGGAAATTTAAAAACAAATGATGTATCCACTTAAGCACTGCAACCTTTGTATGCATAGAGTTGTGTGTAAGGTAACGTGATAGTACTTCCATAATAGAACGCAAATCAATCTTCTCGGTATTCTCCGTTTTGTGTTCCTTTGATGAGACAAGCTGCATCATTGATTTGTTTACAGACACAGCACATTCTTTAATACCTGAGAAAGATAATAAAACATAAGGATGTGCTCACTTCAAATCTGCAAACAACTTACTCAACTTTGACTCCACATTGTACTCCAAACACGGCAATATGGCAGTAAAAATGCCGCTCGCATAGGGTAATACGTTTGGACCGAAGATTTGTACAAACTCACGTACCCAGCTGATAGCTATGGACTTAATCAGCTCATTGGGCGATTGTGCATGGTAGATCAGCGTGTTAATAGTGTCTTCCATATGCACTGAGGAGGCATCGTTGCGTATCGACTTTAGAAACTGATTAAGTGTCGTCTCGCACATTCGCTGCACTTCGGGCGAATTGTCCTCGAGCATGCCCAGGAGCCCGTCAAGAATGTCGGTCAGGTAGTAGACCATATTTATGTCGGGCACCGCATTTAAAATTGATATCCATGAGATAACATATTGTCTCGAATTTGCATTCTTCACATAAATACGCTCCCTGAGTAAAGGTATAAAAGCCTCCAAGTTAAATGTTTGCGATGATTCCGTTACTATATCCTACAATATAATTTTAATTTTAAATGTCATAATTTGTACTTATATTTTTATTGTTGGTCAAACCTTAAGCAAACGATCCAGAAGTTCGCTACCACCTTTCACTGTTTGATCAGAGTCAGTAACCAGGCGTGAAAGTGCTGCAAAGAGCTCAGGAAAGAAAGGAATAATGGCTGCTCGTGCCACCTTCACGAAAGAATAACTGTGTCAGTTCTAATAATTTAATTGAATTTAAACAAATCGTAACAAACCTTAACCACATTATATAGAGATTCGCTAGCAAAGTAACGCACTCTTAGGTCTTGATCCGACAGACAATTTATTATAGGCTGCACCAGTTCGTTCACATATTTATGACAGTCCTAGGCATATCATTTTAAAAATGAGTTAATCAAATGTACATGTACAGTGCTATGCGATGACTAACTTACCTTGCCCAGCCCCAAACTTGTAGCGGCTAAGCCGATTAAGCCACCCTTTCGACGATTGGCATCACGTGATGCGGCAAAATCATTTGACAAAACTTCTATAAGCTTGCGTATTTGGGTTGTGTTGTTCTTATTGTTAAAGTCCGTTACCATTCTAGGAAAGCAGCAGCACACAATGAGTTCTATTCATTTACCATTGCAGAAGAGGGCGTACATACTTTTCTATTTCCTGCGAAGCAACTTTCCTCTTCTCGTATACTTTGTCCCCAAGAGCCTTTGCACAGGACTCACTTAACGGTGCATACGGTGGATCCATTGCTTATTTTAATAGAATATTTCAAGTTCAGTAACCTGTATAATATGGAGTATAGTAGTTTCTGCTTTGTTATGGTTTTGATACAAAAAATACAGGCCCAGCTGATAACGCGTCAGTGATGCCAGTCCATGGGAAATAAAACAGTGATGCCACTCAATACAATTATCGTTCGTTCCACAAGCCTCGCGTTCTATCAAGATAAAATGCATTCGTTTATTAACCCTAATTATAATTGATACAAAAATTAATTCATAATTTAGATGGTTTATATTAAAGTTGTCATGTATATATGTATGTATTTATGTACATATTTACTTTGTAGGGAAAATCTGACACACTTCCTTACATACATACATTCTCATTAGAATAGTATACATTTTTGCCCATTGGGGAACCCCCGACAAATGTTCTAAATTTAAAGGCCATCATCGATTTCATGGACTTAACGTTCAGCATGATTATCTCATATGAGCCCAAGGCCGTTCTGGAGCTATTATTTACATGTATGTAAATTTTAATTCTATATACCGCATCAAATGATCAAAATGCTGAATTTGTGCGACTTTTTAATACATTGATCAAAGAAGGTTTTATACTGCGGCAACCACTAATTTATAAGTTATTTATTTTTGTTTATTAGTTTCAAAATATAAAAATGTATTTCAAAGCTGTTGAAGAACTGTTATATTGATTGTTTTACATAAGCAATAACGATAATCTATATATTTAGTTTCTTCCGCACCTTTTGTTTTGTTGAAATTCATGCTTTGGATTTTGTTCTTGAATTGCAGCTCTTTATGTAATTATTATTTATTTATTTAGAAATATTTGTTATAAAGATATACACAATAGTTCTTGTTTTGGTACTTGGTTCAAAAAAGATTTTGATATATTCGTAACATTTAATTGAGTTCCTCCTGTTCTGATATTGATAGTTGTTGTTGCCACTCTGCCTCTGCCGAGCGCCCCGATTAATAACCAGCCAATTCGGCGAATGTGGAGTCCATCTCGTCGGCCAGAGACTTGTATCTGTCCTTGTTGACGCCCAATTCGTCTGTGAAATAAGGAAAGCGAGTATTAATCAAATGTTCTCGTTTGGTTAAGAACACACAATGCAATTTTATCATATTAACATGTAACATAGACAATATTGTGTCACGGTACCAGAAGGTGACAGTACACTGTAAGAAAAGAAGTACCTAGTTTTTTAGTATTGTGATTATTCGCTGTTTTAGAAAGCATTTCATGATTCTTTTTATATATTAGTAATTTTTGTTATTTAAAATATTTAGGGGATTATTTCATTCAAGAATCTATACAGAAATAGTTCAGTTGAAAATAACATTTAAGGTATCTGTGTGAAGTTGAAGAAATTAGGAAATATTATGTTACATCTAAAAAATTAAAATTGAATACAGGATCCCATGGGATCAAAGCGGTATTCTCTTCAAATGAAAGTGTTTCAATGGCTTATCATTGAGTGCCTGCAGGTATTTAGGTTTATAGTGCCATAAATTTTCCATAGTATTCGATAATAAAAGTGTGCTTATGTCTGGGTTGCAAGGCAAACTGTCATGCCACATAAAACAAAGATAAGATGGTACAAAATGTACTTCTAAGAGGAAAATAGTATTTTGGTAAACAAAGAATTCAAATCACCTGGTTTGAAGCAAAAATAAATACAGTTGGATTTTCATATTTGGGCATATTTGTTTAACAGTGTAAGCTTGAGTCGATGTGGTCAAAAATCGTGTGCCACAATAATCTAGACTAGACAAATTATTTACAGTGTAAATTGTGAAAGTAATTTTGGCAATAAATTGTGCAAGATACACTGTGTGAAATGGAAAACTTTTAATGTTTCTGTCTTTTTTTTTTGATGGGGTGGGAAGATGGGACATTTGTGTGTCTTTTTATGTTTTGTTTTTGTCTTTTGCTTTTTTTAATATCCTGTGAGTTCGGCAAATGTCGAGTCCAAATCGTCGCAGATTGCTTTGTATTTTTCTTTCTCATGGAAGAGACGGTCTGCAAATAGCATTTGTTATTTATTTAATTATATTACATTAATTAATTAAAGCGCTCGATTTTTATAAAATTTCAACTTAAAAATTGTTGTGCAAATTGATTAAAATTTGATAATTTAGTTATGTATGTATATTTACAAGGCACGCATTAGTTTAAGCTCTTTAAACAATATAAAAATATTAATATATATATTTATATATTTATATCATACATATGTACTATATACATACGCAATTGTGCTAGCGTAGTGTTGAATTGAAAAGACCGTAGGGGTCAAGCGCTTACCTTCTAGCCTGTCGACTTCCTTCTGCAGGCGCTTCACTTGCTTCTCAGCGTGTTCAGCGCGCTGTTCGGCTTCCTTCAATTTGACGGACAAAGTCTTCATTTCACGCTTGAATTCCTCAACACGCTGGTTAGCCTTCTCCTCAGAGACTTCCAAAGATTTCAAGGAGTTACCGACAACCTACCGATCATAGTAAACGATATTATCAGACATTAATAAGTAGATTATTTTCCCGTTTTGCAACCTCACCTTCAATTCTTCCTCCAGCTCCATGATCTTGGATTCACCGGAACGCACACGATCCTCAGCGACTTCCAACTCATCTTCAACGAAGGCCAGCTTGCGAGAAACTTCATCGGATTTGGTATCGGCGTCCTCAGCCAACATACGGGCTTCCTTCAATTGGTTGGTCAATTGATCCATACGTTCCTCATCCTGCTGCGAACGGTTCTCCAATACTTTGCACATACGATTGTTCTCATCGGCCGATTGTGTGGCCTCCAACAATTTTTGTTGTGCGGTAGTTGAGCGCTCCTCAGATTTCTCCAAATCTTCTTCAATCTGTTGGACCTTACGGTTCAAGGTGGCAACCTCAGACTCCGTTGAGGTCAACAATTTCTCCTTCTCTTCCAATTCCTGGTTGGCTTTCTCTAGAGCCTCCTTGGATGAGACCAAATCGACCTCAACCTGCACAAATTTCTTCTCCAAATCGCGCACTTCCTCATTCAGTTTGTCAGCGCGGGAGTTGGCATCCTTAGCTTGATTCTCGCAAGTATCTGCCTTATCAATGGCATTATCTTTCTCAAGCTTCATCGCTTGCATCTTCTTCTTGATGGCGTCCATGGTGTTTGTGTTTTTGTTTTACCTTATCGAGGGAGAAAAATTGAAGAAATCACTGAAAGTAAGAAAGTGGTAAAACTTTTAATATAACTATGACAATAGCACCAATTAATTTTGGACTAATTCTAGTATTTGGTAATTAGTCTGGTAGGCAAAATACCTAAAAGGAATAAATTTGAAAGTAATTTTAAATCTGTTGTGGCTATTTCATAATTGAACGTGATGAAAATAAACCAAGTTCCATCTTCTTGGAATCTTATCTAAAACTAAGAAGCCCGTCCGACCAATATGCATCTGATGATTGTTTACTTTATCATAAATCCCAATATCGCAGCAATACCTGTATGTACAGAAATATATTGGAACATACTCGCGTATTAGATTTATAAATAGCCGAAAGAAATGTATGTACATATAGCTAGAGCCATGTGTGCTCAGTTGAATATACATATATCTTTCAACATTTCATTTTGTGTAAATTTATAAAAACGCATTTTTCCGTTCTACAAACGCCCACTGTGCATTGCCATCCTTCTCTTTCTACCTCCCTCCCTCCCTGTCTCTCTCTCCCTCGCACCCATTTGTTTTTCACAAATTATCAAAAGAAAAAGAATTAAAAATAACTTTTATACGCTTTAAAGCTGTGTGAGCCCGATATGTCCAGCCCACACACACACAGAGGTCGGACACTTTATGGAAATATCTGCCAGACGTGGGGAAAAGTGTAATTCTAGAGTTGCAGAATGAATCTCAAATAAATGCATTCCAAAAATTGGATATTTCATCAATGTGGGATATAAATACATATATCGATACATATTCATAAATATGTATATATCTAAATTTTTCTTCAAATACAATTATAAGTATTTACACACATATGTATGTATGTACATTATGTTTAGCGACATTTCTAAAATCGCCCGACATGATTTTTTAAATGACTGCCCGTGAATGATAGCTACATTTGTATGTACTATATACATACATATACCCAAATATATGAATATGTATGCACAATTTTTTTTAGTTTGATCCAAAAACAAACCCAAGGATGAATACTAAAACCAAATGGTCGTCATTCGTGCGATCATAAAAGCTACGAAAAAGCTCTGTCTAATGGTTTTGGCAGAGTTAAAAATAAAATGCCAAATATTCAGTACTGTATATATATATATATATATATATATATATATATATATATATATATGTGTGTGTATGTATGTGTGTCTGCAAATGTGAGAGTGTAGGTATGCAGGCAGGTGGCTGTCTACAGTTAATTCAAAAGAAAGGAGAACAAACCCACTCAAATACTTTTCTATACATACATATTTACATATACGTATAAATGTCTATATGTATGTGGAAATTGTGCGTAGGATGGATGTACCATGTTTATATCTGTGTGTATCTTTGAATTATTCCCACACAAACACACACACAAGCACACCGAGCTTTTTCTTGGTAGTGGTGCCGTCAGATTTAGTTACAAAATTCCTTATAAGCAAATTTTTGCACGGACGTACAAATTTCATAATTTATACTTTTTTCACAAAGAAGTTTCATATATTCCATTAGAAAATGTTAATGTTTTTGTTGATCTTTGTTTAAATTCTTTTTAGATATTTTCCAGAAAATTATAAATGCACATTTGTTGTTCGATTCAAAAACGATGCGCATCTTCAGCGTATTAAGAGTTTCCAAAATGTCCCATTCATATTTGTTGGCTGCACTTTCACTTTTGTATTGTATTTTTTAATTAAAAAATATGCATATTTTAAAATTTCCATTAGTTCAATAATATAAAGCATATATTATACATTATTTCATGGTTATTTTTTTATATTATCCTGACGGAAGCCGTAACTAACCTTAGCGTTTCAAACACACTACACGCTGTCGAAACCCCGAGAACACTGATCTATAAGAAGTCGATTTGCCCAGAAAGCGACCCCAAAAAATAACGCACGGCGCACACACGAACAACAATTCACAGACACACCGCACTCATACAACCATCGCCGTATTCAACAATTTTGCAGCTAAGAAATTTCCCATTAATATTTGAATACGGAAAAGCGCTTTCACTGAAAAGCCATGCCGAAGAGAGCCGTCGAATTTCCCTCAAAATATCCCCTCATATATCTATTGCTTCACGCATTTGCCTATACATACATACCTATATATACAAAAATAAATACCTCAAGAAATTTGCTCATCGCACTATTCTTGAATCTCAGCCGTTTATCTGTATCTTTCGAAAAAGCTCTTATTCCATTGCTATTTGTTGCAAGAATTGTGCGTTGCTTTCAGTGGATACCAGACCCCCTTAAAAATATGGCCTTGTCGTTTATTGATTAATAGCATTGTGTTCCAAATTATTGGTCCACGATAAATCATAATATTACTTAATCAAATATAGCTATACCTACCAACTTTTTCAGTCTTTTATCTGTGTATATATAAATAAATACATTGTCTTTATATTTGCCAAGATGCTTTTGTATTTGTACAGGAAATGGTAAGTCGGATATATTCAATTGGTTTATATTTTATATAAGGATCTCCAGTTGATGTTATCTTAAAAATCTATTCGGCGGAAGAGCTTAAGGCCACATATGGGAGAACGGCGAAAACATTTTCTAACATAGGGCCTGATATACTTCTTAAACAGTATTAGGTTTTCCTGTGATTATGTAACCACCAATTGGTGCTGGAGGCATGGGGAAGTCTAAAGGAAAGTATAGCAAATAGCAGCAGTCGATCGAGCCATGTTCGTTTAAATGAACGTCTGGATTTGGTAACCCACAACGACCAAACTGGTAATGCAGACTCTGCTATATGATATGCGTTCCGTCCAATCCGAGCAAATATAAATAACGACCTCTGGCTTCTAATAAACAGTTTGTTTCCAACATTTTTTATTACTCTTCTCTATAGTATACCAAAACTGTGGTAAGGATCCAAGAAAAAATGCAATCAATACATTCTTTATATCGGTTTTAAAAAACACTCGTAGTTTTATTATAGCAATCTGGTCTGTGCCCATTTTAAATGTGTCTCATTCAAATAATAAAAAATTTATTAGAGGTATACAACTTTAAATTGAAATAAAAATATACAACAAAATTAAATGATTAATTTATTTTTCTTGTTCCATACATTATTTGGTGGTATTATTGTTTCAGGTACATTTTAACCAAGGCCTTGGTAGGGTTCGTTTGAGGAGCTGCAGAGGCTAATATTTTCAAGCACGTTTTCAATCACACTAATACAAGTAATGTGATGTGGTTTCCATTTCTGAAGTTTATGGCTTTTAAATAAGTAGTACGTGTAAACTGAATTGGTTGATTCAATTGACAAAGCGCTGATTTTAAAAATTTATAAAAGTCTGATGTGTATATATATTTGCATTATGTTATAATGCAATGCGGCCACATTAAATGTGTATATTTAGATATGTACTATATACATATGTATATATGTAAGTATATATGGATATACATATACAGTACATACTATATATTTTTCCCAATTCTCTAAACACTTGGAAGGAGGAGATGGTTATGTACAATTAAGAATTCCTTAACCCAGACGTGTATTGGCGACATAACTAGTTTAGGTAGAGTCGGTCGGGTGTTGTTTTGTTTCGGGATTATACCTTTTTAGTACAGGCTTTTAAAATTCAAAACCCCACGATGCAGATATCTAATTGATATATCAAAATATAAAAGGCAATCATTACTTTATGTTCACTGCAAAAAAATACACTCACCAATCAGAAACCGCACAAATGAATACATATGTCGACAAATTAAAACAGATACTTGTTTATACCCTACACCTAAGGATATAATAGTTCTGTGCGGATGTATGTAACACGAATAAGGAGGCGAGGTAGGGCGCACAAGGTATATACATATATGTATATTCTTGATCAGAAGATCATGCGTCTGTTCATCCATCTGGAGCTGGGAAGGTACTAGTATTAGTACCATAAGAGCTAGAGAAATAAATCGTAGTATTTTTATTCCGCTAAGAACTAAGGAAGAAGGTTTGTGTTTGATTTCTGATGTATGATTTTTCCATAACTACCGTAATTCCTGGAGATGGTTACCCAAATTGGACAATCTAATAACGTCTTTGACTACTATCTGCTGTGAATCGGGGTGTAGCTGACCGTTTAGCAAATAAAGTTCCGCCACCGAGTCGGATTCGTTATTAGATATTTTTGTAATTTCTATAGGCTTTTTTAATCTTGTTTTATTTAGTTTAAGTTCTCTATTATATTGATTTTTTTCTTTTTGCATCGACAGCCCTTTTTTCGATGTGAGAAATAAATACAAGTAGTGCTTTTGTGTGATATATCATAATAGTTTCCATCGTGATTCGCTTAATGCTCTTCACCGGACAATAGAGTTTATTTATTGTTTTAAAATAAATTTTCTCCCAAGTAGAAACTATCTTTTTACTTAGGGTATAATAGGGCTCAGTTATAAATTAGTTGATTCTTAATAAATCTGTAATTATTAGTAGCAAGTGAGAGCATTTGACGAAAAGCTGAGTCTTGCACCCTTGTCTTTTGAAATCGACCCTTCTTCTTGAATCTTTAATAATTTTTGTATTGGAAGACGCACCTTGATTTCACATTTTATAAATAATAGTTTTAACAAAACTTCTTTAACTGATGAGCATAGAACATGAACAATTGGTCACGAATTGCATTTCATTAATCAAAATTTCATATTCTTGTCGCATTAAATCCATTACCATGGAGCTGTCTCAGTAGCAGTAGATTAAAGAGTATTTGATTGATCGTCGAGGCAGATCGATGAGCCTTAAGTGAACTCTATTAACCCTTCTTGATTACCTCTTATCAATCTTCGAAATGATTTGCTATTAGTATTCGCCGAATATTTTTTTAATGTCAATTATTTTATCCGCTTTCAGTCAAAACTCATGAGCACATAAGCAAAACATTTCGTTAATTTTATTAATGCTAGAAATCGTTTGTTAGCACATATATTACATTACTAAGCATATGAAGTTTATTATGTCGATATACTACAAGAATATCCAGCGTTAATAATAAAAATAAATGATCGCATTACAGTTGGAAATGAGTGGGCTTTTAATATCAAAAAAGGCAGTTTTTGTTCAATTAATTATTAATTAATTAATCAATGCTACTATGTGCTTATTAATTACATACATAAATATTATTGAAAACTTCTTTGAAATATTTGCTTAAGCATAATCATTTTCACTTTCTCTTTTGGAATGTTTGTGTTAAAAATTTGTAATTTGAACGTCGAAAGGCATTCAGACTCCATTTGTAAATCGCAGGCGGCATTTAAAATTAGTGAGTTGTGTATGTGTATTAGCCCCGGTTTAGTAGTTGTTTAGTTCGGCATACTCCAGCTCCTGGGCTATATGTTTGTACTTCTCCTTACCTTTGTTGACCTCGTCTGTGAATACATTGAAGAGATGGGAAATAGATAGCAAGGTTTTTAATTTTCTCTTTTCACTTTATTGCTGATTTAATTTACATATAATAAATAATATTTCGAGTTAAACGATTACACAATGCGATAGATAGTGCGACACTTTAATGGATCAACAAAATCTAAATCAACATTCTACGGCACAGAAATCAAAATCAAGTTCAAATACAAATACACAGGATCAAATATTCTACATAATGCTATCCAGAATTCTACAACATAAAAGCTTTGTGTTTGTAGTTGCTGTTGTTGCTGTTCTTGAAAGAGTGTGTATAGGGTTGATAGATTTTGCTGAGAAACGGCCACTGGAGCTTATTCCTTGAGAATGAGCTCGACGAAGGCGGTGTCGAGATCGTCGCCGATATCCTTGTATCTCTCCTTCTCCAGGACAAGGTCGTCTATTGTTGGTGAAGGTGTGAAAATCAAAAAGAACGCAAGAGTAAAGAATAGTAATTAATAAAAAAGGTCAAAATAAAATAAAATAATAGACCCTGTTGAGAAAAATAACTTATTAACATAAAAAACTATTCAAAGTGAAAATATTCAATTTTTTTTATTTTTTTTTAAACTGAAAACAAAATCTTTTCATCGCGGGGAAATGAATGTAAATAATAAAAAGAAAGTAAAATTACCTCAAAATAGAAAGCTTGGCTTTTAGGCAACACTCTCAGTAGCAGGTGCAGCAATTCTTTAGTTGCGGCGTTTGGTAGAAGCCGTCGATTAATTCCAAAATCAAAAGCAAAAGGCAAGCACAAAGAAGCCGTTTTTTTTTTTTTGATTTTGCAATGCTTTAGTTTAATTAAAAAAATTGAACTTAAAAATGGTTAAAACATGCTCATAAGAATTGCAATTGAAAATTATGTAAAATATATAAATAAAAGCAGGGCAGCATTTGTAGCAGTTGTGTGTGGCGGAGTCTGTGGCGCAGCAAAGTTGATGGAGGGGCAGAATTGGCGTTGCTCGGCAACTCCCTAAGCGGGAGCGGCTTCTGCAGGCGCAGCCTCTGCTGGCGCGGCTTCGGCAGGCGGCGCCTCGGCTGGAGCAGCCTCTGCAGCTGGAGCAGCTTCTGGGGCTGGTGCTGGTGCCGCGTCAGCAGGTGGAGCTTCCGCCGCAGGTGCAGCACCTTCAGCTGGTGGAGCCGCCTCCGTAGCACCTTCAGCTGGAGCTGCTGCAGGAGCACCCTCAGCCGGTGGAGCAGCAGCAGCAGCAGCGGCGGCCTCGCCTTCAGCCGCCGGCGCGGGTGGTGCCGCTCCATCAGCCGCGGGGACAGCCGCAGCTTCCCCCTCTGCTGGTGGTGGTGGCTCTGAGCCGGGTGGTGGTGGCTCGTAGTTCTTGACGTATGGCACTTCAGCACCCTCTGGTGGTAAGTCAATGGAGTACTCGAATGGTGGTGGTGGCGGTGGAGGTGGTGTCGGCTCCTTGGGTGGTGGTGTTGGCTCCTTAGCGGGCGCTACCGCACCTGGTTCGCCAGGAGCGGCACCTTCAACCGGTTCCCCGCCTTCGCCAGCAGCAGCTGCAGCCGCCGCCGCAGCAGCTGCGGCTTCGGCTGCCGCCTCTGCTTCGGCTCTAGCCGCCTCCATAGCGGCAAGCTCTTCGGGTGTTGGCGTTGGCAGCTTTGGTGTTGGTGGTTTTGGATTTCGAGGCGTGTAGAAAGGCTCGAGGCCCACAATTAAATCCATGAACGCTTCATCGAGACTATCGCCAATAAGGCAGAAGCGTTCTTTTTCAGTGATTAGATCGTCTGTTGGAGCAGACATTGCGATGGCGGATGCAATGGTGGATTGCGATGGTAGTGAGAAGAAAGCGGTACAAGCACAGCGACAAAGATAGAAAAGAGAGAGAGAGAGGTGTGCAGAGAAAACGCGTGAAAATAAAATATGAAAATAAAGCATGATAAGAAAGCAAAGAAAAAGTAAATAATCAAGAAATGTTAGTGAAGGACAATCGTGTTGATGGTCAAGGGATGGGCGAAGAATTTAGGAAAACACATTCACTCTCTATTTGGCTCTACATAGGAGATCCTTTGCTCTATTTTCGGCAGGTTGGAGCAACAATGACATTGAGAATAACGATAATATTAAGATCCACAACAATTAATAGTTCAATTTGTTTGCCAATAGAATATTTTGATTAGGGATTCAAACCGAATAGATGTCATATTCAGTGTGTATTTAGTATTTTGGTTTTAAAAGTTGTTCGATGAATTAAATTCGTATTCTGTTTCGGTTTGACTCCCCGGCTCCGATAGTTTTCAATTTCAATGATTTGATTACATTTCAGCTTCAGCACTTTTCTTAATTTAGATTCACCGACAAGGCGATCTCTACAGCTCAGGCAGTGGAAGCCGCCTCAGTGGCTTGTGGCTCCGGTGGCGCAGCTTCAGCTGGGGCGCTCACAGGCTCAGCTGCAGCAGTAGCTGGAGCTGCCTCTGCAGGAGCTTCCGAGCCCGGGGCTGTTTCTGCAACAATTGGCGCAGTCTCAACGGCAATCTCTGCTGCAATTTCTGCAGCACCCTCTGCTGGTGGTGGTGCTGGTGCCCCTTCTTCGACAGGAGCCGGTGGCAACAAGTCATTTGGATCACAATTCTTAACATATGGCACTTCAGCGCCCTCGGGCGGCAAGTCGATTTTGTATTCGAATGGAGGTGGTGGGGGCGGCGTGGGTTCTTTCACCGGCTCGCTGGGAACTACGGCAGCTTCCTCGCCCACTGCAGCTTCAGCGACTCCCTCTGGACGAGCTACACCTTCAGCTAAACCATCCACAGCTTCGCCTATTGCTTCCCCAGCTTCAGCGGCAGCGGCGGCAGCAGCAGCAGCAGCATCAGCCGCAGCCCGAGCAGCTGCTATTGCTGCTATCTCCTCCTCAGTAAGCTCAGGTGTCGGCGGTTTGGGATAGCGATCGTTATAGAAGGGTGGCATGCCCATTAGCTCGACAAACGTAAAGTCCAAACTATCGCCAATAATCGCGTAATGTTCTTTCTCGCAGATAAGCTCATCTGGGGTATTTGGTTTTAATTTTTGTTTTTAGTTTAAAGTGAAAGTTTGTATTAGAGCAAGATCTTGGCTGTTAGATAACTATTTAAAAAGCTAAGTCCAGAGGCCAATTTGAGGAACGTTTGCTGAATTGATCGCTGCATGAACAATTAACACATTAAAGATTCTTTATTCGTACAAACATTAAACAAATTTGTTGTTAGTCAAGCACTTTTTGTTTATAGAGTGTGCGAGTATTTGATTTGAATTGCTGCTAAACAATTTGTTTGGAAACCTGTAAACATTTTCGGGGTTTCAGTTGTGATTCGAGGTCCTCATTTGTACATCAAATCAATATCGTATTTTGAATCTATTTTGTTTATGTGTGTGAGCTTTGATTTGAAAAGGGGATTTACTTTTGGAAAAATACTTTATTTGTGCAATTTCTGCAGCATGATATTGTATAATATATATATTTTGTATATATTAAAAATATAAATAATTAATTTATGTAAATTGTGTTTAAATCAAAATTTAATTATTATTTCTCTCTTAACAAAGTTTAATGCCTTCGTACTAGGATCTTACAAGTTTGTCACTCTGGCAATATGTTTTTAAAGGCAAAGATGAAATGAAGTGACTGTTTTGTTGGAATTTATTGCTTTAAATATTACTATAGTATAATATGTATGCAAATTAAAATGGTGGGGGGCATTGAAAGCTGTCTCTATGTGCTTGGAATGATGTGCGCTGTGTCTTTTGTGTCTTTTGTCTTTTGCTTTAGTTTGCAACTCTGAGGTGTGTATTCGTCACTAGCTAGTGATATCATTCTTTATCATGTATTCTCATGGCTTACTATAAATTTGGATTCTCTCCAAAAGGAAGTAGACGTGGAAACTTAAAAATAAGCAATTATTACACAACGTTTTGCAAACAAGAGTAAAATTAATAAACAATTTAAGAATTAGAATATTAATACAATTAAGCTGTGGGCAATAAAAGGTCTCTTTAAATTTATTATAAATAACAGTATGTTTTCTTCCTTGTTGCGTTGCGTTTGTTCAAGTAATAAATAAATTCAAACAAAAAACTAGCAGAAGAAAGAAAGGCTTCTTGTAAGAGAAAAAGAACAAAATATTGCAACAGTTTTTTCTTTTGTTATTTAAATAAAGCGCAAAAATGCTAAACTGACTGACATAGGTGGAATGCGCTGATAAGAATGTAAGTTTTTCTTTTTATTTAAGTTAATTCTCCTTCCTCTTTGTCGTGTCTGCATTTTAAGCAGCGAAACAAACCGAATCGTAACTGAAATAACACCAGAACTGTATTGAAACCTCATCAACACAGTAATGGAAAGGACCGGAGACAGTAACTAGGTAGTAACTTTCGATTGGCAATTAGTGGGTACTGGAGGAGCTTTAATACTGCTGTCCGGTTATTGCGGTCTCGTTTCGGTTTTATCCACTACTTTCAAGTTAATTTAACTTTGCTCTCTTCAGTTGGCATTGCCGACAACTTTAATATGGTTTATGTATACATAGCATGTTTGTCTGTCTCTACTCCTTGATTTATGTGTTTGCATGTATGTGTGTGTGTGTGTGATCGTGTGTGTGTGTATTTATCATTATAATATGGAAAGCGCCAGTTTTGTGTATTGACGTCAAAGCAGGCAGTTTAGTTAATTTACAAAAAAGCCAATCATTTCTTTCGTTTACATATTTTGTATGTCATGTAAAGTGGCTTCCATTTCCTCCTGCAGCAGTTTGTTCTTGGCGCGCTCGTTTAACAAGTCATCTATAGGGCGTATGGTGTGTATTGTGTGTTCGTGTGGCAAAAGTTTTTAAACACAACAGCAACAGCAAATACGCGGGACATGGCATGCAGGCAGCAGTTTACGAATTAACAAACATATTGGGGGCGTTGGCAGGCAGGCGCAGAAGCGGCACAAATTCGTTTTTGTTAAGCACAACAAAAAAATTTTATATGAAAAAATAAAAAATAACAAAACAAAATTGAACATTTTAATAAATTAAATAAATAGGTAAAATGAATGTTTTCTTTAAATTACATAGGAAAAATGACTAAACTAACTATAAAGCTATATTCCAACAAGAGTACATTGAAATAAAGTACACATATTGGGTAAATGCTATGGAAATTAATTGCAAAGTAGCAATGTTTATTTCATTGCTCTCTTTTGCTTTTTTTCTTTTTAATACGGCTACAATAAAATGTATTATTTTTTGTACTTTTTTTTTGTCTTTTTTAAAGTCTGATTAAAATTTGGAAAAAATCTTTAACAGACATACCTTCGAGCCTGTCGACTTCCTTCTGCAATTTCTGAACGGAACGCTCAGCGAATTCAGCGCGTGCCTCAGCCTGTTATGTGGAGAAATAGTAAATGAAAGGATATTAATATTACTGGTCAGTTGGCGAAGTTACAAAATAAGTGGAAACAAACAGCAAGCATAGGCAACATACTAAGAATTCAATACCGATTTTCGCTATATTTAATTGATATACTATTAATTAATTTATTATCATTTTTGTTGTCGTTGCCTATGCCTGCTTCTAGAACCTTTTTATACGCCGAGAAATTAATTTATTCAAATTTGGATTATTTCAAAAAAAATTCTACTCAATCTACATCGGCGTATGAAAAGGTCTTTAGTTTGTACATTTAATTATAAAAAAGCTTCCCAAATGTTGCTACCAAAACCAGCAATAAATGTTTTAATCACTATTTTATATGTTTATAATTAGCCAGAAAAATGGTTAGAGCTTAAAAAAATAAAAACATGTTACAACAAAATAAGGCATTATTGACAGTGATACGCATAAAACAATGACACATTAACATCAAAGTAACAGCGAAAAAAGTTACCAAGTGCGCTACCATGCCCACTTCTGAGCATATTCAATATAACATGTAACATATCATAATGTTCATATATTTTTGTTGGGTTTTTGGTTTGATTTGGTTTGGTTTAAACAAAACCTACAGAGATGACAATTTAAGTTTTTGTTACGGGAGTGTAGATATTAAACTACAAAATCGCTGTACGACGCTACGCAGACACTGCATTAAAGAAAGATATATGTAAAAAAACAACGAAGGAGAATAATGTAGATACATAGTTCAACCAATTCGTAAATGCTGTTAAAATGATTTCACGCGTGCACAGCAGAAATTTAATTCAAAAAATTACTTTATGCTCGATCAGTTGTGTGCAGCGACTTACAGTTTCTACATTTAATTTGAATTGAATGAGCTCCTGCTCAAAATATTTATGATTTTCGCGTGCCTAGACGTCGGGAAATACACAACAACACAATTGTCAATTTATCAATCAGAGAACAACTGTATATCAAAATAAAGGTAAATAACGTACATTATGTGAGTGGTGTGTATCTGTGTGTGTGTGCCTGAGTAACTGTTATATTATTTACTGGCCAACATATTTTAGCACGAAGTTGCATTGCTTAATGCTACATAAACGATAATTAATTGGACACAGTTACTAGCAGTTACCAAGCAGCAGTGACAACTCTGAATACTCCAGTGTTGATCAACTTTGGAAGCTCTCAGAATTGTCAGCTGGGAGACATTTGTCTGATAAACAAATTTTGTTTTCTGTTTTTGCAGTCAATGCACAAAAAGTTGTTTTCAATTTTCAACAAATGTACACACACCCATTTCTTTCAATTTTTTTTTCTTTTTTTTTTGAGAAATACTATACTTGCCATGATGTACGCTATGCATTTGATATACATTTTTTTGAAATTTCGGATTTTTTGTTTTATTCTTGTGATATATTATTGTATTGTAATTGTATTTCGCACACGTCTGGGCTAAAGCGCTTTGTTGTATAAGAAAATATCAAACATATACAATGTAGATGAGAAACTTCTCGACTCAATGTAACATTAATTTAAAATTGAGAATAACGATTTGTGCAATTCAATATTTTCTTTTTGTAAGCAACACTTTTTTAGTACATGTCCACACAGTTACTTTTGTTTTTTCATTTACCAACACCAGAGACCACAAATTAAAACGTCAGATATTATATAGTGTACATACATATGAATAGATTGAATGACTTTGGTGTATACCTCTTTCAACGAATGATCCAAAACTTTGATTTGCGTTTCAAAAGTTTCTTCTTTTTGTGTTGCCTATACAGATATTGTGGTCATTGGTTATATTGGTACGTAATATCCATGCATTGTTGGGCATTTGTGGTTTACAAAAAAAAAAAAATTAAAATTGAAATAAAAACAAAAATGTGCATGCAAACAGTTTTTGGCATAGGGCGAGGCAAGGCGTTCCGTGTTGTTAAAGATCCATAAAATAATAAAAACAATTTTTGTTTGGGTATCACAAACAGCAACGTGGTGCGGGCGGGCATATAAAGCGAATTTTTAAAGCATATGAAAATAAAATAGAAAAAATATTAATTAGTAAGATGTACAAAAACAATTTTTTTGTATTAACTGAGTCACCGTATTCGATTTCAACTAGCCGACTTTAGCTAGCTTGAACGGGACCTCTATACAAATAATAATACAAGTTTGTGACACTTTTTAAAAAATGTGTAAATATTAGTAAAAACAATATTTCCTGGAAAAATTGTCCAGTTTCTTCTTCTACCTAGTTCGCGGTCATTTGCGCGTAAAGTGAAGAGGTTCAAATGTTACACATAAAGTTGAACATAAATTTAAAACAAAAACAACAACAGTTTACATATATAATTGTAAATCATATAAATCACTGGTAGGCTTCCATTGCTTATAAGATGGGAAACTTTTTCTCATTTGAGAGCCACTCTCTCTCAATCTGTATTACATATTATTTAGCTACCTCCTTTAGACGGGTGTTCAGGGTCTTGATTTGGTTCTTGTATTCTTCCTCACGTTGGTTGGCCTATTTATTGTTGTTGTTTTCATTAGTTGGCAAGTTTATGGGATCAATAATGGTGTTGTTGTTGTATGTGGTAGAGCCAATTCATAGTAATTAATATTATTTAAAAATAAAATGTATACAAATATTAATGAATTGCAGTTGTGCAAGAAAACATATTCAGGCAAAGATCTTTTCTACAGCCTTCTCATTTCTGTATAAATTGTTGGATAAAGCGAACAATCTAATATACATAAATAGCCAAAAGGTTTCGATTCAGTTTTTCACATGTGTGTAATCACTGATACAAACCAATCTTAGCTAAATATTCTATAATCAAAATTGTTCTAAATATCAACAAATCATGTTAGTGATTTGTAAATGTTGCCTCTTTATCCAACAATAATTTCAAATAGAAATCTTTAAGTTGAACAAAATTACAATTGCATATTCGTACTGACCTTCTCTTCTGAGACTTCAAGGGACTTCAAGTTGTTACCAACGACGCGGAGTTCCTCCTCAAGCTCCACAATTTTGCTGTGTAATGGAAAATAAGCCAGATTAGACAAAATCCCATATAAATTAAAGTTTATTTGAAAGTTTTAAAAATTGTTAAATATTTTTTCGCATATTTTTTTTTTGCAAGTTTGTTTAAAGACTACTCTATCTTTAGTTTCCACGAGTATTTAGCATTGAGAAAAGTTTGGACAAAAACAGAAATTGTATCGACTTTTTGCATTGAAAATACTCGTGTAAAACATTCATTTTTAGAGCGCAAGAACTCTAATAAAAAGGCTTTAATACTACAGAAGCCTTAGAGTTCGACTGAAATATGCGAAAAACATACTATTTAACAAGGTGCGATTAGTAGAGAACAATACAGACAACATCATGTAAAACGAAGCGCAGAGCAAACAAACCTTTCGCTTAATTCAACTTTTTCCTCGGAACGTTCCAGGTCCTGTTCCATGAGTACTAATTTCCTGGCAACCTTTCAGACAAAAGGCAAATGCAGCAAGGCAAGCAGACGCGGTTCAGAGGTTAGCGCAATTTTCAGGGATACAGGAGGGATTAAAACACACAGCGATAACAGCCACAAGAACGTCAGTAAACAAACAAAAAAATAAATGCATTATATTTTTAATAAATGGTAGTGTTTTAATTATGCACAGCCTTGACGAAAAATGTGAATATCTTTGAAGTGCATCCATTCAATCTAAAATCATGCATTGCCGCAACCCAAATCATCAAGGAACGATATGGTAATTGGAGATATATTCACATTTTTGGCCAAATTTGCAATTCGTGGAAGCTAGCTAGCTATAAACAATTTTGTGAAATGTGTATGTAAAAGATATTCATGTCAGGATGCTTTTTTTTTACAATTGTTCACAACGGTTTGTTAGTCGACGGGGCTGGAACGTTTAAACATCAAACTCGTTTTTATAAACAGCAACAATCTTAAAACTAATGCAGCGGTTTTGTATTTGCATATTAGACATAAAAACAAACAGCAATTCTCAAAAGGTTTGCAAAATCTAAACAAAAAACTCTTCAAACGTACTTTTCACCCTGTTCGGCACGTTCTTCGGCACGCTCCAAATCAGCTTCAACCATGGCCAATTTACGGGCAACCTTTGTTTCAGATATATCGTGTTGTGTTGTTGATTTTTATATGAAGTAAGTACATCGTGATGTCATAGAGAACATAGAATGTGGCGTTTAATTTCAAATTGTTTATACATAAATAGGTACGGAGAACGAGGTGTGAGAATGTGACTTTAATAGAGGCAGATGTTGTTGATGTACAAAAGCGTTAGTTAATTGAAACGTTTAACATTATGTGCCTTTAGAATCAGCATTCATTTCTCTAGCGCGTGAATTTGTTAAAATTGTCTATCATTAAAAAGTAACAAATATGATTATATGCAATAAGTATGTACGAGTATGTATGTTCGTATCATTGTTTGTGGTATAAAACTTGTGCTTATCGTGGTCTAAATTTTGAGCTTCTTTGCTTAAAGCAAATGTACTTAAAACTACATGGGAGCAACATTAAACTATAAATAGCCTACTTGTATAAAGTTTGCTTGTCGTGATTCCCAATACAATCTACAAATCTACTATATACCAATGAATAAAGAACGTAAAACGTATGTATTTAAATTAAGAGCAATTAGGCAGTTCACTTGATATGATTTTTAATCGTGGCATAAAAATAACGTTATTCACTTCTCTTTGTTCTTAAGGAACCAGAAACCAATCCAGAACCCATTCTTAATGGATGGGTGAAATAATTTGCTTTAACGAACTATGCAATTCTTTCCTGCTATGAAAGTATGAAATGGTAAAGGAATTAACAATGCTTTAAATATTTTTAGCATTCCACAATGGTTCCAACAGCTCATTGACTTATATTGAAAAGTGCAAACAATGCTCTAAAATATTTAAATAACTAGACGCATAGGAAGTATGAACTACATTTGGCAAAATGCGTCATACTTTCAATTAGTTGGGATCGCCCAGGAAGTCGGCTTAGCTTTATTTGGGGCTAAAACAGAGATAAATTTTCAGTTCCATAATGGTAAAGCAAATACCAGACAAATAATTTCCTGTAGCCAATCTAAATTGGAAGTATTTTCAAATTAAAACAATTTGAGTCATAGGCCATTGAAAAATCGTATGTTGAACGTTAAAAAAGGAAGACTCATAATTTCGTTGTTTTTTTTTTTTTCAATTAAAGGAACCAACTATTAAAAACACCCCGAGTCGAGGGTAATTTTGAAAGTAATGTTAACCTAAAAAAAACTATATATTGCACATTTTTTTTTGAATGACTCCAATGTTATGATTAAAGAATTCCAAAAAACTGTGGTGAGACATCCACGGCTTGCGAAACGGTTTGCAAATATGTCGTCCGACTCATCGATGTTGAAAGCTTTAAGTTGCTTCGACTTGATGTATATGCCATGAAGAAATCTAATCAACGCCTCTGGAAATCGCTAGACGCGCTTTTAGGCAAAAGCAATCATTGATTAGTTTTATTTGTCGTTTTCTTCTATTAGATAAGAGCGCTACTTATCGCAGTTCATCAACAAATTGTAGTTCGTTTGGTTTTATTGACGTAAAAACTTAAATTTCAAAAGACTGACACTTTGGGTGGCAACGAAAATTCTGTTCGGAATTCGAATTGTGGTCCTTTTGGGTATTAAATGCTTGAAAATAGAAAATATACATTAAGATACGTATATACCCCTTAGTTATTATACAGATTAATCTTTTAAATCCAATTCCAAAGCATCCTAGCATACGCTCCGCAGAACCATAGTTCAGTTCAGTTATATTGTATTAAGAAATATCTTCTCTGTTAAAAAGCACAGACAAATTCAACTAATAACAATCCTAGACGACAGCAACCTATACGATATTCGCCTAAAGAAAGATAATTACTGCACGTTATGCATGATTTTATAAACTTTATTGCAAAAATGTAAGTATCTTTATAGGTTTATTATTGTTTTGTTTACAGATATGTTTTCCAAAGAAATTATTTCAAATTAATAGTGATTGTATCGCAACTCATCCAATTACAATTATTTCAGCTCTAAATATTTATATAAATATAAGAAAGCTTACATTTGACAGACGGTTTCACAACATTTTCAATAAACAATTTGGACAATTCATGCTTTTTATAAAATATTGAATATGATCTTATAGCGACTATATCCTTGCTCCCTTGCAGTTTGAGTACCATAACAGTTTCATCATCTCTTACATAGCTTTTACATTTACATATGCTACATATATTACAAAAACTAAGGCGCACGTCCTCTCGACTTTGTTCACATGTTTCTGACGAAATTTCAAACTTGCTTTTCAGTACATACATATATAGATCTTTCTAATACAGCGCACTTCATTTACATTTACATATTTAGTTTAATTTTTGTGTCCATGCGATCAGCCACGACAGACTTCTCAACATTTCGGTGGACTTAATAAGTTTTAAGGCTTTTCTACATCATTAAGAACGCCATTTTCAACCTCATATCGAGCACAAGTTTTACAATATGTGAGTAAGAATCACTCGAATTGATTCCTGTGCCAATTTTGATTGACTTGATTGGTCGATTTTCGTATTTCAACCAACAATTATTCAATCTTTCGTATCTTCAAGTTTGGCAAAGAGATCAAAATCAAGTTTTATTAGTAGCAGTGTTTTCGGCGTTATTGTTATGTTCATTTGTTGTTGTTGTTGTTGTTGTAGTTGCAATTGCATTTGATGAAGTGGAGGATAAAGTAGAAATTTCAGCAAGAGCAGCAGTAATGGCATTGTTATTATTGGTGTTAGAATTATTTGCTTTACTGTTACTATTGTTGTTGTTATTATTATTGCTTAAAGAAGTAAAGTTGGTTTTTAGCTGCACCTCATCGTATTTCTTGTCAGCCTCCTCAGCAAGGAAACGTGCCTCCTTCAACTGATTCTCAAGAGCGTCCATGCGTTCTTCATCGGCAAGGGCGCGATTCTCAAGAATCTTACGAGCACTATATAATAATAGCATATAAGTGGCGGTAACGTTGCGTCATGCCCATAGAAGACAGTGACCAAGTTGTAAGCGATGAGTTGTCATTTGGTATTTTGGTACAGCCGAAAAGAAAATGTTTCGGTGTTTTTTGTGAATCATTCGACGTCATCATCCACATCGGTTGTAAAAGTAGTTGTTGAGTGTAGAGTTGTTGTTGTTGGAGTTGTAGTAGTTGTTGGTTGTTATGACATTCATACACAATGATAATATCATTCAAATTTTGCAATAGTGCACACAGAGACACAAGTTTTGTGATATATTTTGGGTATTTAGTGCGATCCATATATAAATTTAGAAGGTTGATGCAAAAGAAATCAAGAAAAGTTGTTGATGTTTGAGTGTCCAGTTTGTAGAGTAAAGAAAACAACAGAACAATTATTGCAAATAGGGAGCCGAAACAGAGCTTTGTATTATTTGGTCGGCCTTATCTGAACTAAATAATTATTTTTAAAAATTCAATTTATATCACAATTTAAATCACAAAGCGCTGCTTCAGCTCTTGACAGGCATAAATATTTTTTTAAGATACATTCAGTATTTAAACAGAAAGTTACTAAACATCTACCATAATTTTAACATGCCCAATTGCATTTCTATAAACTAATTTATCAATTTATTTGAATACACATTAAATATACATATGGACTTATATTAGACCCTTTTGAAGCGTTGATGACGTTTTCACCTTTTTGTTGCTGCGGTCGACATGTTGTTAGACTTAAGATCGAAAGCTGTTTACAAAATATTGAACATGACTTACAAATTGTGCACCGTTGGGCTTTTTAAAGGAGCCACCTTGTTAACCAAACCTCAAAATAAAATAGAATTGTTGAAAATTGCCTAATAACCCTAATACCCTGAACCGATATACCATCGAAAAGAGAATAAATAACTATACCTCTTCGTATTTCTTATCAGCTTCTTCGGCAATTAATTTTGCTTGTGCTAATTGATTTTCCAATAGAGCTACTTTGTCATCTTCCATATTTGTGCGATTTTCAAGCGCTTTTCGTATCCTAAATTTTTGTAAATTTGAAGACCATTTTTATACATATAAAACTATAACTTGATACATTGATAATAAATTTTCATTTTAAGCTAAAAAGTTACTTAGGCATTGATTAAACAAAATTATATAAAGTTAGGTTAGAGAATGGAAAAAATGTACTAACCGTTCGCTCTCATCAGCAGCTTGAGAAGCTTCCGACAGCTTGGCTGTGGCTGAGCCCAAACGCTCCTCAGAACGCTCCAAATCTTCTTCGAGCAATTGAATGCGACGGTTCAAAGCAGCAACCTCAGATTCGGCCTATAAAACAAATTTTTGTGTGTTCGACAACAATATAGCAGTCGTTCCGATTTCGTAAAAAACTTACAGCTAAAGTAAAACTTATAATCATAGCTTACAGTCTTAGATCTACCTTAATATTTGCTACTATTGGTAATGACTAATTTTCTCATAAGGCTTGCAATCAATACCAGTCTACTCTACATATAATCCAATTGTTTGCCAAAATAATTTCCTATATTAATTTGAATTCTAAAAAGCTAGCTAAAAAGTCGACCGCAGTTCCGGCTCCATCTGAAAATAGACAATTCCTACGTCCGGTAGTCGCCACCATTTCGAACCAGCCAATATTTGTCTATTCCTTGAACTACGATTACGAAGTCAAAAATCGAGTAATATTTCAGGAAATACCACTTTCATATATCGAACCTTCAGTGGAGAAATAAAACCATAAAAACAGCCATCAATATGGATTTTTGATAGTCAAAATTAATGTAACATTTCAATTTTAGCAGTCCTCTATTATGGTTGAGCTCCACATAGCTCCGAACAAGCTACGAAAACAAGTGACGTCATGCATCAATGTAAGGTTATTGACACCACCTTGACAAAGGCCACAACATAACGTTACCAAATTTTAGCGACAAAACGCTTAACAAGTTTAATTAAGTTTTCCTCCACGCAATCTTATAGCTGACTAGATCAAACGCTAAAACATCTTACGATTTAAAAAAGAATGCATGTGCCTATTAAAAACGTACAAGATATAAACATTTGACATTGACACCACAGGCGGTGGTGGCGGTGGCGGCGGCGGTGTTGCCATTTAAAGATGCGAATCATCGATGAAAAGCGAAAATTAAATGTGCATGCCCAAAAATGGTTAAAATGCTTTTAACCAAAACGGTCAGCAATTGGACAAGGCAGTCTAGTGCCTGCCTGGCGGCAGCATTTCAATTGATATGTATGTATGTTTGGATATGAAGTGGCGGCAACCTTGCCAATTTTGCCTTAAGTGACTGACTAACTGACTGACTGAATGAGAGGAGTTACTTGACTGATGGATAGCTAGAACAAATAAATATACGACCGGGCTTGTTAAAGTACCGTGGATTATGAATTGGACCCCGTGTGTAGACTGTGACAAGGCTTACGTCATCGGCCTATGCCAAGCAGCAACATACAAATACACAAAACAAACACACGTATGTATGCTCACATATATTTAGCGATAAAAAGCATTTCGAATGGGGGAGCCGGAGCCATTCGACTGAGCTTTCCAAACACGAAAGTCGTCACACACACACACACGTACACACATAACGCCGCTCGTTTGTGAAGAAGCAGCAACAGCAGCAGAAGAATGACCAAAGCGAGCGGGCGAGGGCCAAAGTAGAGCGTAAACGTCTCTGGTCTTCGATATGAAAATAGCGGGAGTTGATAGTCGATCGTGGCCAAAGTAGTGTGTAAACGCCCGTAAATGGGTGACAGAAAGAGAGCGCGACAGCACAACAAAAAACTTAGTACGTATGTGTGTATGTGCTGCGTGAACTCATTAACAAAACGCATTGAAGATAGGGGCGCGCTTTATTATATTAGCCAAGTCAGCAAAAGTTGCTCCCAAAAGCATAAACATGCCTACAGAAGTCACACAAGTTCAAAAAGCAAATTGAAAAGAATGCCACTGCTTTATTGTTTGTTGTATTTGTTGACCGAAATGCATGACAACGCAAATATACGCCCAAAATTACCTTAGCAACAATAGGAATAAATACCTTTAGATACATATGTATTTATATGTACATACATATGTATGTTAGGAACCAAAGCAAAATCGAATTGAAGGACCTTTTAGATTTTTAATAGAATTTTAGGTTTCCTATTATTCGTGCTCATACTTCCTCAAAATGAAAAAGGTGATGTCACTATGATAACACTGATTTCATACACAGACTAAAAATTGTCTCATGAAGTTTCAGCTGTCTAATTACGAACCACATCAATATTTTAAAGACCACGAAGTCCCTATATTAAAATGTTGACAGTTAAGCAGATAATTCATGGAAACCAGAGCACCGGTATCTAAATTCTTTTATAAGCCCGTTTTGATGTCGTGAAAGCGTTCAAGATCAGACAATTGTCAAACATTTTTCGTACATTTTTCTCTTTTAGCAGTCTAAAAACAAAATATGCTAATTATGTACCATGTAGCAACAATTCTTAAGATGAATGAATTTATTCCGAGATTAGAACAGTTAGCCAAGAAGAAAACTGTCACAACGAACAGCAACAAAGTTTTCAAGCTACCGTTTGAAGGGCAGCAACAAACGTACATAGAACATAAAATTAAATCTCCATATGTAAGGCACAGACCGTTGAATGTTAATAACAAAAAGCTGACGAACAGATAAACGAAACTGGCCAACAGAATAATAAAAAATAAAAAAACAACAGACCTAAACAACAAAAACTGAAGGAGTGTGAGAGCGTTGAGAGAGCAACGCTTACGAGGTAGCAGACAATTAGTCAGACAGACAGTGAGTCGAGTGCAACGGTTGTCTCGCTTGCGCACACACACATACACAACCAATTCAAAATCGGAAACGTTGGCACTGACAGCAAGCATTATGTATGTATGTACATATATACACATGTATGTATGTATGTATCCCCTTCCTTTGGCTCTATGCAAAATTTTCTGTATGAAAAGTAGTGGATAGTAAGCCACATTTCATTTAATTACCAAAAAGTAGCAAATTTGTCTTTAAAATTTCAAAATCGCTCTTACTTCTTCGCGTCGCACAACTTCAAGCTGCAAACGCTTGTGATATTCCTCGCATTCATCTTTAAACTTTTCCATTTCTTCTTTGGTCTGACGCATTTTCTTCTTGAGTACATCCAAAAGTGTACCTTGTGGAATGTTGGTCGTCATTTTTGATTATTGTGGGATTTTTAAGTGTGTGGGTGTGTTTTTAAAGTTTGCACTCGATGAAAAGACAAGCACACTTATTGTCTTTGCTTTTTTAAGTGATTGAAATAATTTGCTCTTATGCCTATGGCAGCACCAAAAATACTTTTTGGAATTTTTCAAATAAAAATTTGTTATATGAAGAGCGCACGCACGTAGACGACGACACCACCGAAAGAGAGACAACAGGCAAGAATATGCGCTAACCACCGGTTTTTTCTTCTTCTCTTCTGCTCCTTTTTCGTACGGAAAGCTGGTGTGTTAATTTTGCAGAATCCTGTTTTTCTTTGCGTGTAAAAGAATGAACTCTTAACACGAATTATGCACTTTAATTTTTAAAATCTTCAATTACAATCGATTTGGTTTTGATTTTTGGGCGCACATTAACAAATGGAAGCAACACAGAAAAACGCACACACACACGCACACGCACACGGACGAGATAAATACGGTAACACAACAACGGCAGCGGCGACTGTGACTGCGACAGTGAGCTCAACACATTTAGTAATGAAAACGTCGAAACACTTGGCAGGCCCACGAAGCGGCGGTGGTGGTTTAATGGAAGTGACGTGCGAAAGAGACAACCACTGTTATTGCTGTGTGCGTGCGACTGGAAGCCGCAGTTTAGTGCGCCTCGCCTAAAAGTGTGCGAAAGTGTGCGCAAGCGTGTATGTCACATGTTTGCTGTGTGTGAGTGTGTAAGTGTGACAGCGTTAGCATGCTGTGTGCGGTCACTGTGGCTGGAAAACCTGTTAAAAGCCGCTAAGGTTTTGTGAGACTTTTTATATGTGTGTGTCTGTTTGTTGTTGTTGCTGGTCTTTTGCATTAATTAGCAAAGAAATTTTTTACATTTTTTCTGTTTCAATGCTAAATTTGAATATGCAAACTGTATGTAGAAATGCTTGTAGTATCGGCCAATTGGATTGGTCTTTTGACAATGGAAATGAGTAGAGAACTGGGCGACGTACAGGTGGGTGGGCGGCACACCCCACAAGTCAATCTAATTGTATAATAAATGCATACATACAAACATACATATGTATGTATGTACCATGCCGGTGCTTTATCAGGCTTATCAACAAGCGAGTGAGAACAGGAAAGTCGGCGGTTGAGAAAAAAACGTAATGACTAATATTGCTGGAATATACATACATAATACATGCAAACACCTACGAATTTGTGTGTGTTAACGTACATATGTATGTATGTATATTTTTGAGAGCGGCCTACAGATAATGGGTGCCAAATTGGCGAAAGTACCGGGTCGGGTGCCTTGCGATTGACAAGTGTTCAATATATACATATGTATATTTGGATAGTGACGTAATGTATTCATAGTGCATAAGCATGTGTGCGTGTGCAACAACTACAAAACACAGAAATGCGTACGCCATTTCAATTAGTATGTACATACATACATAGATACACGCTATTTAACCAAACAGCATTGAAAAGAAATTAAGAGTAATAATATGACTGTCTTCATGGCTGTTGAAACCACACACAAATATTCGATTTATAGAAAGACACACATATGTACAGATATGTATTTACATACATATTTCCATATATTAGCCTATGTATGTATAAATGCGCATACATTCATATGTACATATGTACATACATATACATGTACATATATATACATTCATGTACAAATTGGCAAGGTCGTTGGCTCGCTAGAAGAGCACGTACAACCACACATTCATACTTGTACAAGTGTACATCTGGTACGTGTGCAGTGCACACAAGCAATTTTTAAAACAATAACTGAAATTAAACTTTAGTTTTTGCTGCCGTTGAAAGATTTGACCATAAATGGATCGTTTTTATCTTTTTAAGTCAGCTGTTGCTATATGAGATCAGTATATACCCATACATACATATGCATGTGTGTGTGTATACATAAATACATTATACACTGCCTTTCTTGACGCATGCGTACGTCACATATCCGAAGTGTAACAGGTGTTTTTTACCGTTAAATTGAGTCATTGTAAAAAGCGAGTTGCAGAAAAACACAATTTTCCATACAGCTAATTGAACTTATGCGGTAAAATCAATTTTCAAACTAAACATATAATTACAAATTTCGGAATTATGGAAGAAAAAAGGACAAAGGTGCTTGGCAAGTGGGTATTGATTAGAAAGTTTTATAGATTGTGGGTAGAAAGAATTAAACAACCAGAATGAGCTGAGCAGCCAGTCAAGGGTTAATGAAGAATGTGCGAAGCAAACGTTGCGGCAAAGACGACGTAATCGCTTAGAAATGTGCACACTAAATGTATAGAATGACATACATACATTCATACATATGTATTGTTGTGTATGTATGTATGTGTAAATATGTACGTGTGCGTACATATATGTATGTGTGCCAAGACGTGCAAAAATTGGAGCAAATCGTTTGGACGAAGAAAAACGTTCTGAGACCACGACCCTATGTCAAACCTAACCAAACTTTTTTTTCGGCACCTGGATATCTAATACATATGTACATACGTACATATATACATATCATCGTTGATGACGACTGGGACGCTAGAGCTTGAAAATAAAAATAAAGTTGCGATTAGTAAATAGTGCCAAAATAGCCCAAATACGTAACCCCTCGCTTTCCCCAGCTAATTACCCTTTTCAATTGCGTGTTCATTATGTTATGAAGCTCATTGCGTATAATGTTGAACTTCATCATGGTATCCGAACTGAAGATTGAACGCCCAAAAGCTAGACCCGGATAGTCGGCACAGCGTCCCTTATTACGACGAGCCTCGCGTTCTGCCACAATCTCGGCCGCCTCGCTGGTGCAACGCAGCTTGGCCCATTCGGCTGCCTGAGTATCTTCATCATCGCCAATCATCATTGCTATGCCTTCGTCAATAGCGCCCGCGCTTAGGTCTGTGGCAATGCTATCGCTGCTGGCCTCCATTGTATTGTTGTAGGCTTCACCACTGTGACGTTTGCTGCGCTCTCGTTTCGTTCCCGACGAAGATTTCTTTTTACGTTCCGACTTTTCTGACTTGCCACTGCGCTCACGTTTCTTTTTCTTGCCACCGACAGACGATTTGCCCTCCACTTGTGGAGATGCTGATGTTTTTACCCCCTCTGTTGCTGTTGTTGTGGTTGTAGCGGCACTCTCGTCAAGAATGCTGCTCTCATCAGTGGGTGTAGGACTATTGCTGCCAAGAGAATTTGTCACAGACTCACTAAGTGGCAAAGTAAGCGTAGATTTAGAAGCTGCAGTGGGCTCCTGATCCTCCACTTCCCCACGCAAGTTAGACAACACGCCTTTGGAATCGCCGCGATAGAGTGCAGCCAGGATTTCTTGCACATTAGGAACATTGGGTCTGCGTGTTCCAGAAAACCTCGGGTGGTGCTGATGACCACGCCGTTTCAATGAGGAGGGCACTAGTGGTAAAGATGTGTTGGTGCTATTGCTGCCTGCACCGCTTGTGGTGGACAGCGCGTCATCATCGTTGGTGCTATTCTGTGACATGGTGTCTTCTTCGCCCCAAAATTCCTCGCTGTCGCTTTCAGCTGTGCAGCTATCGTAGTCCAATTGCTGATGATAAGTTTCGTATAGTTTTGCTATATACAATTCAGCCTCCTCATCGCAATAGTATAGAAGCTCGTCCAGAACGTTTAGCTGTGCCTCTATGGAGCACCAACGCGAAGAAAGCGCAGATTGTGCACCGTCACTGCCACCGCCGTCAGCGCAGCCACGCTTTCGCGTCGGTTGTCTGCTGTTGTGCGGTTGCTGCTTATGTGTTTTGATTCTGTGCTTATTTTTATCACTTTTATTGCTAATCAATTGTTTATTTTGTATGCGTTTGCCACGCTGCTCTGTTGTTTTTGAATGTACTCCTGTGGCAGCTGCTCTGCGGCTGCTACGGGCATTTTTTACTGCTATGGTATTGGAATGAAAACAGCTGTTTAATTTAAGTGTGACCAAGTAGATAATCTGCCTATATGCGCACCATTCCCATAAAAGCTGGCTGCTATGTAACTACAAAAAGACAAAATGCAACCCAGCTAAGATTAATGGCGCGCGTAAAGACAGATTTTAAAATGTATTAAAAACCGGAAATGCAAACCGATGAAAGTAAACATAAGCAATGTAATTCAAGGCACAAAACAAAAGTGTGCTTTAAATTGCATTGACCCTCTTTTTTTAATATACTTGTTTGGTTTATACTTCGCTGTTGTTGCTTCTGCAACTGTTTGTCGTTGCCACCGCTCGTTAGAAGGTGACGATTTGCGCGTTTTAATTGATGCGCAAGTGATTGACGTCGTAAACCGCTGCTAACGTATTTCGATTGCGACGACGTTGGCATAGGCGGCTTTACATTTTGTTGGGCATTTGTCTGTGGATTTTTGCTTGTTTTCTGCTTCTGTTGCCGTGTTTTAGCTATTGCCGCGATTGTTGTTGGTGCTGTTGCAGGTGCTGCTCGTTTTTTACAACTCACTTTTTGCCATTCATATGCATTATTAACTTTTGAAGTTCCTATTATCAAAGTTTTTTCGTACATATTAATTACAAGCGGCCGCTATTGTTGTTGTTTTTGTGTGTGTATGTGCTATGGTGTGTGACTTCAACACAAACAGCTGTAGCTGTGCACAAAAAGCACCGTTAGTTGGTTGAGATCTATTTTTACTGATGATTTAATTTTAATGCGGCAGAATTTTTCTCTATTTTCAAAAGTTTTTAGAGAAATGTTCGCCTCTATCCATTTTTTTTGCTGCACCGTTTTTCTTTTTTAGTTTTTGGCAAAGACGTCAATTTTGTAGCATTGTTGTTGTTGTTATTAGCGTGTTGTTGCAACTTGTAAGTTTTGAAACAGCTTTATAGTTTTATATAATACATAACAGTACAAAAAACACTAAAATTTTATTTAACTTTCTATTAAATGAAAATAGTGTTTTTTATTTATAATTTTAGTTAATGTATCTTTTTTAAACTAATTTCAATTTTCTATTGTGGCGACGTCCGCCTTTCTTGCTTTGGCGTTGTACTTGAAATGGTGTGTGTGGCGGCGCTGCGATAATGTGGGCCAACGATTGCTTCTCTCTCGCACAAAGAGATACAAATCTACGGATACCGACGGTCTCGCTTGTCCGCCCCCCACAATGCGACCACACATGTGCGACTGAGTCAGCAATACCTATGTAAATTTGTGTGTGTGTATTTGTATCTGGGTGTGTGTATTTGTAGATATGTCTGTATGTGGCCTGCATATGCAGTGAGATCAACGCATAAGCATTTGCCCATTTAACTCCCACACATGGGCCGGCAAGCTTTTTCGTTAGCTCTCCGATTTTCCATTCTCTTTTTATGTTTTATTTAATTAATGTACTCATTTTTCATATTTGCGTAAATTACTCATGAACTGGGCGGCGTCATATTTATTTTGGATCAGCGGGTAGGGGGTTTGGCCAAAACGCACATGTGACAATAGAAAAGGTTCGAAGATATAATTTGTCATATTCCATCTGATAAGATGTTGTTGTAAAGAGCTTTATTCAAATAAGATAACGTAACAATGTTTTATCAGCAGGGACAACTGATAATAGTTATATAATTAAATGTACAGATACATACGAAAGTATGGAAAACTTAGCAACAAATTATTACGTTTAACCTAAAAGCTTGGACTGCGGAACAAAGGCCCAAGGTTTTCGAACTGGAAGAAATATATTGTTCTTAAATCAAATACTTTGGCAAACTAAAAATGTTTTTTTTTCCTCTTCTCAGCGTTATTTGATATAACCGCACACACACATACACGCAAACAAGCGTATCTTTTGCATCACCCAAAAAGCTATTTTCACATTGCGTATATAGAAAACATTTAAAAATAGCCGCCGTTCAGTTGGCAACGGCATTGCCAGCACCAAATGGACTTCATTCTTCTTTCCAACATTGTCAGCGAGCGAATTTGTTGTTGAATGTTGCAAAACTTTCGAATCAAAAAGTATGTTACGAATATGTATGATCTATTGTTTCGACAAATTTTAGATGTACGAATGACGAATAATAACGAAATTTCACGACATGGTAAAAAGAGAAAAATTGCGACATTTTAACATTTTTAATATACTGTCAAATAGAAACATATTGCAAATTTATACACTCATATATGTATGTCGCATTATACATATGTATGTAAATGTATATCTTTTGTTTTATGGAATAAATGCCACGTGAAAATAGAACGAGCTACAAATCTAGGAATATCCAGAATATCTTAAAATCTTGAACCAAAATAAATTGTTTGTTTTTACCTTTAAGATGATATTGTTTCTCGTGTATATGTATGTTTTTAACACTTAAAGAAAGAATGATAGTCCAATGTATTGAATGCTTACAAACATTTGTACATATGTATATAGTCAAGATGACTAGACAAATCCTATTCCATTAAAACTGTCCACCGAGGATCCTTTTTTACGTACCCAGAAAATATGTCAAGACCGACCGAATTTGTGCTTGAAGAAACGTTTTTTCCTATTGTAAATTGGGGAATGGTGACCTTGATGGCCTTATTTATATGTTTATTCTACATTTTATATGCTAGTTTAAAATAAATTAATTTTTTTGCCTATTTGATGGTATTTTTTTCGCAAGGTAATACAATATCTTCAATCAGTAAACATGAGCTACGATCTATCAATCAATATTTCCAATATTTGATTGCTGTTTCAATGAATTAATTTGTATGCTGTTTCTGTTCCTTAAAGTGACATCCATTCTTAAAACTAAGCTATTGCTTTTCTATTAGAAATCAAATGCTAAACACTAACTAGGAAATTAATTTGAAACCATTTCTGTACTTACGTTCTGCAAGGCCTTGTTCTTTTCCTCGAGCTTGCCAGTGACAAGGGTGAGAGCTTCCTGGGTCTGATCCAATTCGTTCTCAACTGTCTGGATTTTCTTTTGCAATTGGCGAGCCTCCTCCTCGGCCTAGAAATAAAGATAAAGCTTAGTTTTGCATGTGTTTTGTATTTCAATATTTATATCGCATCTACGCAACTGCGTGTTTTTTTACGGCTTGTGATCGGTGGTGGATGTATATACTGGTAGGATAGATATACTTTACGTATAATGGTTGACTTACCTTCTCAGCGCGAGTGTTGGCATCGCGTGCCTCTTGTTCGCAGACGAGAGCACGTTCCAATGCTCCATCCTTGTCGACTTTCATCGCTTGCATCTTCTTCTTGATGGCATCCATGGTGGCTGGTTTTTGTTTGTACTGCTACGCTCGAAAGAAACTGAAGTGGAAAATTTAAATAGTGGCATATACTTGTGGATTCGCATTCGATAAAGCAATTAAAGTTACAATTGTTATGATAATGCGCTCTTTGTAACGTCTCCACGCATGTTGTAAGTTTTTGAAAGAGAAATTGTTGTTTGCAAATCTGGATGCATTGTTTTGAAGGAATGTGCTTCAGTTTTGATATATAGTTTGTAACCAATTTATCTTGTCCAAATAATATTGTCTCACATACATTTACATACATACAAGTATGTAGGTATGTCTGTCTGTATATATGCATATATGCTGGTCACTTTAGAGTTTAAACCCGAACTGCTTGACACATTTCTTTGTGTTAATGGCCTAATTGAAATTTCTCACAGCTTTTTTCGGGCTTACTCACTCATTGGTAAGCCAGTTCTGCTTGATGTGAGGTGAATAAGTAACTCAGATTTTGTCTCAACACACACATATGGATTTTGGAATGCAATGTCCATAATGGGACCGACAGATCAGGAGAATGGAAAACAAACAAAATGCTTCGTTAATCACATTTCATGATTAAGGCTTCACTAAATATGAATCATTCAAATGAATTGTTATTGAATGAATGAATATTGAATTGTTATTTGATCTTCCGGCTTTTCTCTGCTGCTGCATTAAAGTTTTGTTAATAAAATGGGGAAAATATGTGATATAATGAATTAAATTAAACACATGTAATAGTTTGCAGGTTGCAGTGCAGTGCAGGTTTTTTATTGTTTATACAAATACATATGCGTACCATATATATATATATATATATATATATATATATATATATATATATATATATATATATATATATATATATATATATATATATATATATATATATATATATATAAGTACATACATTCATACATGTATACCCTTCTAAAAGCTGTTGTGGATAAAAGGAGTAAAAGCTGAATCATACAAAGTAATCGATTCGTCTTTTCGCGCTGATATAATGAGCTCTCTAAGCTGTTCTTCGCGAAAATAAACCCAAATGGCAAATATGTATGTATATGTGATATCCTTTCTGAATCTGGTATTAATACAAAACTATATTGCAGCTTATAATGTTGGCCTTAAACTTTAAACAAGAATTAAAAATCTGATATGCGACTTTCTGGGAAAAGTTGTTAAATATGTAGAATTTGTGTTTTAACAATCTTCCTAAATACATGCCATTTGAAAGATTATTCTGAAATCTACGTGAAATTAAGAAAACTGGATGAGTATTTTACAGCGTAAAGAGTATGTACGCTTCGAGAAATGTTTGCTGAAATTCCCCACTTTGGAGTACTACTTAAGATCTTTGTTTACACTTTTCGTTTCGGCGCGTTTCTTGGTAAAAAGTTATCAGGCATGGAGCCATGGTTTTAAGCAAATCGGAATCGCGGCAAACAAAAAATTGAATTAACAAAAATTGCAATCGAGGCACATTTTTATAGGGTGCGCTTGTAAAAAGACAGATCGGACAGAATGGCTGGCAGTTGGGCATGGAAATGTAAATATGTGTGTATATGTGTGTGTCTGTATGAACATACTCGTACACACAAATTTCGAACGAGGTGACACAATGAATAATGTTTTGTTTTTTCAGCAAAAATCTCATGGTGGTTTTGGTGACATGAATTACGGCCATGATATGTACATACATTTGTACATAAAACTCTCACATACATAGTTGTATGTATGTTTATATACATAGTTGCATTTTAATATATTAAAATCAACATAAGGTAAGGATAAACACGGAAAAATATGGTCGGACTATAAGGACTAAGTGGATCGAACATATCGTTCTAAAATTATATACATACATGGCTATTGGGAAAACTGATTCCACACTGGTCTGGCTAAGAACAACTATTGAAAAAGCTCCACAGTTCTTTCACAATACAGCAATGCTGAAAGGCTAAAAATAGATGTTCTAGCATCGATTTGATATTTTTTAATACGTACGAATGTTACCCAATTAAGCTAGAAGAGCTTTTCTTTAAATGTATGTATACATACATACATTTATGTATCTAGGGATTTGTATGTATTTCATTGAAATTTCAATATACTAACACAATTTCATTTCATATTTTCTAATTTCGATTCGAATCTAATTGGTTAAAAAATCAACAGCATTATCGGACATGATGATTTTTTCGAGACGCCACTTAAAAATTTCATATATTTAAAAACACAGATCTATACATACATGCCTAATATGTAAGTATTAAGTAGCTTTTTCCTAGTTACAAAAACAATGCCCATATGTACAGAATTGAAATTCTAGAAGTCAGCTTGTGGTTAAGAATCAAAGTGCAAATATGGTCAAAGACATTGCCTTGAGTTTTTTGTATTGATTTGGCATTTTTCGTTAAAGATCAAACCCTTAGTACTTGGCCTCAGTCTGATTTGGATTGTGACTACATGTATATTTCTTTATGAAATTAATTTATTATTTAAATTTTTAAATTAAATTTGTTTGTAAAATTTATTTAGTTTTTTGTAGCGCACACATTTTGTATTTTAGTTTCACACTTTTTGACTCTCTTGTTGTTTTAATTCGCATTATATAATATCTTTCCAAGTGAAAGTCCTTTCAATCCTTTCCACTTTTGCTAACATTTTTTACAATCAACCGCACACTATTTGTTTTCTGTCTTTGATTAACTTTTTTATTTTTTCGAAGATTTTTATAATTTTTTAGTTAAAATTGTATGTTAGTTTCATTCTTTTACTTACAAAACTTTTATTCGGAGTTATCCGCGACTTGAACGGATTGTGATGTTCAACTGAAAATATTTATTCACTGTGTTGACGTTCGATGCTCGCTTTTTTTGAATTTAAGCAATTTACATTAGTGTGCGTGTGCAGCTCGCTACTGTATCTGTGAGAAAGAGCGCACGAATATGTCAGATACTTTTTGTTAAGTGCTCTTTAGCTCCTATGCGTTTTGAATGCTCAACATAAGGCTTTGCTGCTCAATTTCGTATTTTGGAACTGCATTTAGCCGATACGGCCAGTTCACAGAAAAAAGAAACAACAAAACAAAACCATCGCAAGTTCTCTCAGCAAGTTCTTACCTGTATTGTAGTACACAAGTGCGTGTATTATGGGCATCTGTATTGCCTATATTTTCGCTTCTTTATTTTTGGATATTTCCCCATATTTTCGAGCTTTCACATTCTTTTTTCATTGCAAAATTTTTGAATTTCTTGATGCTTCAGACATCTTGGGCATGTGTAGAAAATGTATTCATGTGTGTATCTATTTGTTTTGTTGCTTCATTTTTGGATTCTATTTTTATTTCTCGATATTGATATGCCAAAAAAAAATCTAATTTCACATACATATGCACAAATACACACGGCGATAAGTATATGCATGGCTAGAATTGTGTGCATTTTATAGGAATTCTACGTCACGCCCTCGTATATTCTCTGGCAATATATATTATTTTATTGGTTGTAGTTGGAGCTGTTATTTTATAAGAAAGAAATCCTTATGCATTTACTATTTGAACTATTTCCCCACCTGGGCTATTCATTATTAAAAAATAGTTATTTATAACTTGTTAAGTTCTTCCTAAACAGTTATCTTCATAATCCTAAATACTGAATCTTAAAAGAAAACTTTACTTCTGGGTGGTTGAGGTACACCAAAAACACAATACCCCTACTCTTTTCAGTGAAAGCTTTAACATAAGGTCTCCAAATTGATCTGTCATAATAGCCTGACAATTAACAATGTTTCTGGTTAAATAAATAAATATTTCAAATAATTAATTTTTGAAATTTCGATACATAAGACAATTCATTTGGCTTCCACAATTGGATTTCCAATAAATCTCTTTCCATTAATTTTATTACCTAAATGAACTTCCCAAATAATCCTGACCAGAATGCTGCAAATATTTCCAGCATATATTTTTAGTTGCTCAATTTTAATGTGTTTTAATATAGAAAGATTCATGCTTGGGCTTATTGGAAATTTTCGATTCCCCTCAACAAATGTCGGTTGTGAAATAAATATTTAGACTTGTCGCCGAAAAATGCGATAAAATCACACGATTTTGTGATGATTTGAGCAGACCTGCATCCCGGGTGCTACACGAATTATCGCAAAAGAAGGTTTTTTCTTAAATTTATATTTCATTACGAATCGGCCTACAGATTTTGGTTAACTGATTAAAATCACACCACACTAAACAAAGTTTAAACTAAACTAAAAGCTCTCTGCAAAAACGAAATTAAATTTTTTATAAAATAATATACATATAATATGTTTCAATGTGTTCAATTAGATTTAACACATTAAATTTGAAAAGCATTTTTGAATTAAATTTAAGTCATTTTTAAACGTAAAACCACATGTTAAGAAAACTAATAATTTCTTATTATATATACATACATATGTGTGTATGTACATCCATGAGTATTTACACACATAGAATACATACAAACATCAAAATACATGTAAGGTTTTACGTCGCCGTCGCGTTGTTCAATGAAAAATCTTGTTAAAAACTGAAACCATAATCGGTTAAAATTGTTGTAAAAGCATCATATTAGGCATTGACGACTTCAATGTAGGCGAAGGCGATCACTGTGTTCCATGGCGCAGCTGTCAGCTTAATAAATTAATGTTGATACATTAGTTACCCGATTGCAGCATGTTTATTGCAAAATGGTGTAAACGCGTTACCAACAGGACCTAAAACGGACTTAAATACATATCTACTAAGTTTATTTCAAGCCAACTCCAAATCTGCACCCGATCCAGTTTAAACTGGTTATGACATGGGATATTTCTGTTAATTTTTATAATAAAAGGAAATCTTTGCCATAATTGACTTGCCTTGGGGTTGCAAAAATAATGGTCAAGGTGAACAACAGGCGTCAAATTAAATGTCAGCCGTTACTAAAATTTCTTTATGTTCTAACACTAATCCATTTGGACAACAGAGAAAGAACCATGGCCCATGGGCCTTCAACTTATAGCATACAACAATCTAAAACTAAATTTTCATATATTTTACAATAAATTTGGCAAAATGATTCGACACATACATACATATGTACGTATGTATATGCATGTTATATGAATGTGCATCCAAAGTAGTATTTATCGATTTAAGTCAAAGCATTCGTACAGAAAAAATCTGGCAGTGTTGCCCGTTGGTGTTATCATTATTTTCATAACAAAAGTTGGAATGTCGTTTACGGAAAAATTAAATGTTATTTACAAAAAAAAATCATTTAAATATGGGGTGCCATTTCTTCTTATGATGGTAGCCGGCTCCTTCGGCCTGCAGCAGTTTTCTAATTTGAGGTAATTTCAAATACGTTCCAAATTACATAAAATCATAACATAATACTTAAACTACAGATACCAGTACGCTAAAAAGCAGCCGGTATCACCCGAAGATATGAAGAAATATGGAATAACGATGAAAAAACGAGGGGAAGTGACGCTAGAAACAGAATATGATAAAGTTAAAGTCATTGATATTGACCACTGGGAAAATAAACGTGGTCCTCGTCCATGGGAGGAGGAGGAACTTACGGTGACGGCGGTAAAATAAAGCTGACCAACTTGTTGCAACATAGATATGTAGTGCTTTATTAAGATAGTTTTTGACTGTTTAATTTGTACAAACCTAGTCGGATCATAAACTAAAAGTAAAGGGTGTAAGATAAATAAACACATATGTATATTTATATAAATCGTAGAAAACTATATAAACTCACAATCTGTGGTGAACTATGGCGCCAGCTGTTATTCAAAGTTGTATCCTCCCACATAATCGATAACTCTGCAATCGTTGTTTTTCGCCCATCACTGATACCAGCTGCTTACTGACGCTCCTTCAAACGCTATTTTTATTCATATAAATAAAATGAGCGACGTTAAATCAGCAAAGACAGAGAACTTATTATCTACCGATGCAGGAACACTCTTTGCCGATGGTAATGGCAGTTTCAAATTGATGAAAGCTTAGCTAATTTCCTCAAATATTTGCAGGCGAGCGTGTACTCTGTTTTCATGGACCGCTCATTTACGAAGCCAAAGTGTTAAAAACGAAACCAGAAACTTCTCCAATCGAATATTACATTCACTATGCTGGCTGGAGCAAGAAGTAAAGATAGCTATTCGTTTGTTTATTTCATCATTGTCTTTACCGTGTTCCTGTTTGCAGCTGGGACGAGTGGGTGCCCGAAGGCCGTGTTCTCAAATTCAATGAGGGCAACGTGAAGAAGCAAAAGGAATTGTCCCGCTTATATGGCGAACGTGAACGTTCAAAAAAAGACAACAAAAAAGGTGAGCTGGTAATAATGTGATATTCAGAAAACACCGTAAAAACTTATTTTTAACAGCAGGCAATGCCAAGGCGAAGAAAACAGAGCAAGTTGGTAACGATTCTCGTGCCCCAACGCCTTCTAAAGAGGGTAATATTTCATTAAATGCCGGTATTAGCACAACAGCTGGAACTGGTGCTACCGTAAAGCATGAAAGCGGAATTAGCAGCAGCACTATATCAAACAGCGTAACAACCAGTCGTAGTAATCGAAAAAGCACACAAGCTGCCAATACAACCACCAGTACGCCACGTCCGAGTACACCGCACGCCAGTATCAAAGAAGATTCGGGTCCACCAGAAATGCCAGAAGATGAGGCGGGCACGGGAACGGCTCCACCACAAAAAAAGAAACGCATGAGTGAACAGCGTTCATCAGTAGCAGGTAATGGTACCGACACGGTTGCCCCAACGCCACAACAAACTCCAAGCACGACAGGCACGACGACATCTGGATCTATTAGCGATGCGCCTTGCGTTGAGAGCGAGGAAACTTATACAATGAAGCTGGAGGTGAAAATCAAAATTCCCGATGAACTGAAGCATTGCTTAACTGACGACTGGTACGCGATTTCCAAAGAGAAGAAACTGCTAGAGCTGCCCGCTAAAGTTACTGTACAGCAAATAGTTGATCAGTATTTAGCCCATAAAAAATCTAAATCAGCCAAGACAACAAATGCAAGCAAGGAAGTGGCCATTAATGATGTGCTTGACGGTGTAATTGAGTACTTTAATGTAATGCTTGGCTCTCAGCTGCTCTATAAATTTGAGCGCACACAGTATATGGATATAATGCAAAAACACCCCGAGACTCCATTGTCGGAACTATATGGTGCGTTTCATCTATTGCGCCTTTTTGTCAGGTTGGGTTCGATGTTAACATACTCTTCGCTGGATCAACAAGCAATGCAAGCATTACTGGCTCATCTACATGATTTCCTCAAGTTTCTCGGCAAAAATAGCGCGTTATATTTTAGCATGGGCAATTTTATTAACGTCGATCCCGAATATGTGCGCAATGCGCAGTGACTGAAAGGCATATCTGATTCTGCCCAACTGTCTACCACACAGAACCACGAGTCAACCTCAAGGCTCAAGGACCAAATAAAGAATGTAGCTTAAATCCCTGTTATGATTCTCTTCTATCAAATAAAACCCTTCTAGCTTATGAAAATCCCGTTATTTTTATTAAAAGTATTTAAACTAAACGGCAAATGCCAATGATGTATGTATGGGTAATGTAATCGATGTATCGATATACCTATTGCATTCCTGCTTCGAACGCCATTTTATTTTCACAAATTATTGTTATCGAACTGCGAAAAGAAAAGTAGAACTGCGGCAAAAACACAGTGTGCAAAACAGATTAAATGTATGTAATAATATTTAACACAATAATAGCAACAATTTAGATAATTGCAATGCAACGTGCAATTTTGTGTATGACGTTTATAGGGCATTTGTTCGTAAATCGACATCGAAAACGCAATAACGATAAACGAGCCTTACTAAAGCCAAATCATTTTGTTGTGTGAAATTAAAATATTTGAACGAATGTACAAGTCTAAAAGGAGGAAGTCGTAATGAAATGTAGTTTACTTGACTACAGCTATTATTAGTGATTTGAATTGAACATGAACGTGTAAATATGTATGTACATACATGATTAAAAAGGGCGACGCGCTTTAGAAATGCTGCTCAGACCTACACACATACAAACCCACATGTACATGCTACATATACACACAGACACAAATGCAAAGTTGCATTGCGCGCCGTGGCGGCAGTTTATTAACTTACTGCTGAAAATCAATTGCTGCCCTCTGGGCCTTTGTACATCTTAAACTACACATAAACATTTTAATTATATTGATATTGATTTTTAATGCAATTGTTTTATTTCTATATGGCTTCACATACTGGTATATGGATGTCCTCAATTCAACTTTCCTTTCCGGGGAGTACAGTTGCGCCACCAGCACATAGAGAGCAACGAGCAGAGCAATCGCCGTGCGTAATAAGATAAATACAATTTAAAGGATAGATTGAAACCTACTGCATCGTGGCCAAAATGGGAGAGGTTAAATCCGTTAAGGTGGATAACTGGGGAGTCTTCTTTCTGCAGAAGCTGCAGAATTTCTTCAACAAAACTGACTATTGTGACTTAACGCTCCAGTTTCGTGACAATTCACAATTAAAAGTGCATCGCCTGGTGTTGAGTGCTTGCACGGACTACTTTAATGTGCTGGAGCAAACCTGTGAAATGGTCGACGATGCACTTATAATGCCAAACGAATTCCAGGCGGATGTGGTGGTGCCCATTGTCAATTTTATGTACACGGGCACCCTGGAGTTCGAGTTGAAAATGTATGGCAAACTGTTGCGCACAGCCAAGGAGATGAACATGACAGTGTTATTAAAACTACTAGAGGCACATCGCCGCACAATGGAAAATGTGAATCGGCAGCAAAGAGTAAGTGGTGTTTTGACCCTAGCATTGATTTAATTAATTTTAACGTATCCACAGCCCCCCAGTCCTAAGGGTGTACGTCGTCGTCCAGTTGGGCCAGTCACCAATGTACCACAGCAACGCGTCACCTCACCTCAGAGCCGCACACCACTTTACACCACTGGTACTGTGGTTTCGACCACAATTCGTCGCACCGAGCCGAGTACACAACGTCCGGTACCCAAGTCCGTAACACCTTTAATGCGCACGGGTGGCGTTAATAATCGGACTCAGTACATAACCACGAGCACGGAAACGTCGCCAGCTACTATGAAACAGGAAGCGCAGCCGACATCGCCGTTTGAGCAGCTACGCAAAGGTTACAACAATAACAAGAGACCCGCGCAAACCAGCCTACTATCGCCCCCATCTAAAAAGCCAAGTCTGGAGGATGTCAAAGAGTTTGCCGAGCAGCAACGAATGCGAAAGCAAATTGCCGCAGAATATGGTGACAATGATCAGGAGTACGATGGCATGATGTTGTATGATGATGTACATGCCGGCGATGATGACGATGATGATTTGCCCCCGCAGCCATCCACGTCGAAGCAACAACCGCAACAGCAACATCAAACGCAGGTCACTGCACAATCTGGAACACAAACCACACAAATGGAGCACGGCACTACCACAATTATACTCAAACAAGAATCACCCAGCCAAACACCCACAATCATTGTCAAGGATTCATCAAACACGAAATTAAATCATACAAAAATTATAGCGGAGGTACTGCGCCAATATCCACACATTGTTAAGGGCCATAAAAACATTAAACTAAAGATCATGCCGAATACGCCGGCGAGCCCTGAAAAACAAACGCCTGCACCACGTAACTCGCCGGCACCGGCAGTCGCTCAACAGTCAACGTCACCGCATAAGAAGCTTCACGTGTCTTTTAAGTCGGACAAAACGACGCCAATGATAACACCGACGCAAAAGACGATCTTACGTGAAACAACCATACAGAAACTGCCCACTCAAAATTCACAGCAAACGGCAGCGGCGGCGACGGCATCTACAAGCTCCTCGGCCTCTGCAGCCGAATCGACGCCCCAAAAACGACGAATCGATAGTAAAACGATGCATGCGCTGATTGCCTTGGGTGCTGAAAACACCACAGGTCAGTGTGATTGTTATACCCTGCCGCAAAAGGGGTATACTAGTTTTGTGCGAATGTATGTAGAGGCGTGAGGCTAGACCCCACAAAGTTTAATATTCTTGCTCAGTATGACAAAACGATTCGATATGTCATGTCATGTCCGTCCGTCCGTCCGTTTGGATGAACGCAAGGAGCTACAAGAGCTAGAATAACCACTAAGTATCATTGTTCCCCTAAGGCCTAGGCCGATTCATTTTGAGGGCTTATTTTTCAGACCTGCTCAATTCTAGATTTCCATTCTTGTTATTTAACAATTTTCGTTTGCATCAAAGGTCTAGCAAGTGGTTTCTTAATTCGCGCAAGGGTCCAATTGTATTTATTATTTTTAAATATATTGCTAGTTTTCACAATATTCATGGGATTTTAATATTTATATTATTTGAAATAAGTTAAGTGGACGTTCTGATAGCAAATATACAGATTACTGGACGTTCTGATAGCAAATATACGGCATTTACTAATTGAATGGTCTGAAATGGAAAATCATAAACTCTCAACTAATAATTTGCGATATAAAGCTAATACTCATATCTCACTTTATTTCTTTTAGGACCTTGGCTCTGCTTGCGTTGCGGCGTCAATGGGCGCCCGATCAGCATTCCATCATATCGTGGATTCCGCCGACATTTGATGAACACACATAAAGAAACCATCGATACAGCACTTTGTGAGCACTGCGGCTGGCGTTCAAGCAACAATCGAGAGCTGCATTTCCACATGTACTCGGAGCACCAGATCAAATCAATGCTCTACAATTTTAATGAGTGCGCGCTGTGCAATCAGTCTTATATGACAAAAGCTGAGCTGGACAGTCACATTAATGAAGCACATACAGACGATAATAAACAGCAGTGCATTTATTGCAACAAGGTGTTCGATCAGGAGATACAATTGTATCGGCACATGAAGAGTTCCCACAAGACCCAGGCTCTAGAGGATGGCATTATCGATGAGACAGATGAGGAGTATCTTGTTTCGCAGGACGAAGAAGATGATGTGGGCAACGAGGATCAACAGACACATGGTGACGAAAAAGTTCGTATATTATCCGATATAAGCTTGCCAGCAAACAGTGCCATAGCACAATCGCAAGAGGAGCAATTATTACAGCAAGCCACCCAAGAGCAGGAGGTAAAGTTTGTTGGCGCAGATGGCAATGAGGTCGAGTTAACCGAAGAACAGCGCAAAGAGATATTGTCGCAGTTGAGCCAACAGCAGGCAGGAGCTGGAGCCGGTGGAGTTGTAATGGTTCTTAGCGAACCCGACGGCGACACCAAACAGGACGGTGACGATAAGTCCGCCACAGAAGAGGAATATGATGACACTCAAATTTACAGTGAGCTTGGCGGCGCAGCATCGGCAGACGACAGCAAAAAGAGCGAATTAAATGATAGTGCGCCTGATGAGAGCAAGGATACCATCGACAATTTGGAGTGGGCAGAAAATCTTATATCCGAGCAGGAAATGGAGGCGGAGCAGAGCAGCAAAGAAGTAAGTTCGCATATTGTTGTGAAGCTCTTTTTCATGTAATCGAAAAAATCCATATGCATGTATTTTACGAGGAAAAACTATTTCAGACAAAAGTGTTTGCGAATATCTCCACTTAAATTCAATTCTTAGAAAACGTTCAATGAAAAGATTTTTAAAATTAGTATTAACGAGTTTTCAATTAAACTTTATCATCAAAATCTTCTTTATAGCGTAAACCAGAAAACTGGCGTGACGACATAAGTGAAAAGTTAAAGGAACTCACTGGTGATTGGACCGAGGACGAAAATGAAGATGATCCAATGGAAGAGACGAGTCTAAACAATGACAAGTCTGCCGCTGCTACAACAACAACAAAACAAGATGAAAAGCCAGTAGAGAAAGAAGAATTAGTAGAAGTAGAAGAAGAAACAATCGCCGAAGACCCTCAACAAAAGAATGCTGCCGAAGCTGATGCTGCTGATATTGAAGAAACAGAACAGATCAGTGCCGAAGTTCAAGCAGCAGTCGAAGCTGCAATCTCCATCGAAAGTACAAATAAAGAAACGGAGGCTGGCCAGGAAAAGATGGATGTTGACAGTTTGATAAATACAACAACAGCTGCAGCGACAGGCAGTGAAAGGGCAGAAGAAGCCGTGGATGATGATGAAGATGTGAAAAAATTACTGTGCATTAAGAAGGAAAACGAAACTGAGGAGGAATTCATTGCAGAACCTAAAGTCAAAGCAGATACCACAGCGTCAGTGGAAACATCCTCGGTTAAAGCTGCTGCTGCAACCGAGGATGATGTGCATTTGGAGGCTGAGAATATCAGAAAGGAGTTGCTCGATGAACTGATTGCTCAGGCCGAGAAAGCGGTTCCTGATGATGATGATGTGCCGCCCACGCAATTATTGCCATCCGATAAAATAAAAATAGAGAAGGCGGAGCAACAAAAGGCAGCAGAAGCATCGTTAACACCCGAAGCGAAATCAGTAGCATCATCAGTCGAGCAGCAGGCAACGCCAACAACAACAACAGCTGCAGAAACCGCCACGACAACATTAGCTGAGGAGCAGGCCAACACAAGTGAAGCCGCCAACAGCAGAGAGCAAGAGGCCGTCGACAGCGCTGATAAGGTAAAGAGTCTAATTAGCGAATGGGTAGACGATGAGGACGAGAATGGGGTGAGCGCTGCAGCGAAGGAAGAGCTATAATTACTAGATTTATTTATGTTTTAAGTTCGTTTTCTAATGCGAAAGCGATTTCAATTGTAAAATGCTAAACTCCTTACGGGCAGCCCGAAAGCCGACCCCCAAACTGTCAAACTGGCTAACCGGACATTTAGTTTGGAATATCTCTAAACACACCGGTCCCCATAATATGGCATTGATGTAAACCAAAAATATTTCGGTTTCTATTGTATATTAAATTGTTTAAATATCACATATTATATACATACAAACACAATTATAAACGCAATATGTATTGTTCGTACATATGAGTCTATAGATGCACGTATATATGAATCTATAGATGCACCAGATGTTGTGTAAAATACCAGATAAAATCTACAATTTACGTGGAGGCCCCTACCCCAATTGTTGTTTTTTTCATGCTAGCAACACGTACAGCAACATACAAATTCATTGGCAATTTAACTTTTTTCTTTCATTACCATAACTAATGTTTAATTAAGCTCGTTTATACATTAATATACAAAATTACTTATACAAAAATGTGTAGGTGTAAAGATGCTGTTTTAAATTTGAAACATAAAAATGTACATGTGTATGCAATTTTATAGATATACCCATATACATAATATCTATTGAATTATTTAGTAATATGAACAACAAAAAACAATGATTTTTTGATTAGCATTAGTTCTTAGACTTAATTACAACAGCAAGTAATAAGTACTTTGAAAAAAATATATGTATGTATACATAAACGTAGATAAGCATTTTGGTGGTTATAAAAATTTCAAATCAAATTAGTGGGCAAACATTTTCATATCGTTCACCCATTAAAAAACATAAATTTGAAAGTACAGAACCTGTCCTTAGATCGACCAATACTTCGATGCCTTTTATGACACTGTTTATAGTGGTTGAGTATACAGAGAACAGCCGAAAATGTTTTATGTCTAGTTTGTAAATCGCAGTCATCTCAAAAACTTTAAACAAAATTCAACTATTTGTGCCCCTCACAAATTTGTCTCTGTCCCCTTTTTGTATAATAATGCAACGTTCCTGTGTAATCTGTGGCCGTAAGCCCCGAACAAACGAAACCGACTTCATGTATCCGAACAATCAAAAGGAAGCCCGCAAGTGGCAATGCTTCCTCAATGCCCACAATGTGCCAGTCGAGACGTTGCGGAAGTCCTGTTGCGTTTGTAATGCTCACATCGCAGAGGAAATCAGCCGACAGCAGAGCCAGCAGCAGCAACAGCCGGGCAATAATAATTCCGGCAATATGTATGGACAGGGTAAGCAGTCATGGCGTAAAAACTTTCAAGGCAATCGTCCCGAATTCGCAATGGGGTTGGAACGACAACAGCAACAGCAAAATACGGGTCATTGGTACTACAATCAGTCGCGAGGACAGCAGAATCCCGCCCTTCAGGAGAACAGAGGAAGAACTGAATCGCAGTCCGATGGTTGGGCAGGCCCTCACCCCAGAGGAGGAGGAGCACGACGCCAAGTTGACAGAGGCGGAAATGTGGCAACACAAGAACCCGATCCCATACGGGTTAGTTGGAGCGAAAAAACAGAGCTTCAGCAGAAACCCCAGCCGCAGCCGGAGGGGTGGTACTTCAATTTGCCATCTCGACGGTATCAGTGCACTTCAAATTCTCAAAACTCCTGCGATTTGTATGGCAAGCAGAATTGTTCGTGTTGCTGTTGTTGCTGCTGCAGGTCTATGGGTCAGCAGAGCTGCCAAGTCCCGAATCAGAACTATTCGCAAATGAGCCTCAGAAAGCCACAGCCACTGCCAAGCTGTCAGCCATGCAATAATCCAGTTGTACGTTATGGTGTCGATAGTCAGAGCAAATATGAGCGAGCGCAACAGCAGCAACAACCGCAGCCTCAGCAGCAGAAACGACAGCCGCAACAGCAGCGAAATTCGGCTATTCGCAGCATTCCGACGACGCCATGCAAGATACAGGATCGGCAGTGCGACTGGTGCTTACTCGACGTCACCAGTTGCATTAGCAGTGAGACTTTGACGAACAGAGATCTGCAGGCTGAGTCGAAGGCATACTCATCTAGTATTGAGTTGAACGAGGTATTCAATAATCTGCTGCCGGCGAACGCTCAAGTCAATGTTCTGGTCATGTCCGGAGCAACTGTGCCGTCGTATTGCGAACGTACCACTAATGTTGATAAGAAAGGATCCGCCACAAATACAAAAATATGTGTGATGGAATCGAACTTCACAAATGAGGCTGCTACTTTTCCGGATATAGATGAGACCCAGATGACAATAATGCGTGCACCGACGTCTGAACCAGAGGCCCAAAAAAAATCGACCAACAAAGAGAGCAAGAAGGACGAAAAGAATACAGATTGCACTGGCGACAATTGTGCGGATGTCCTGCTCCTTGGCAAGATCGAACATACTACCGATGAGATACCATGTAACTGCGAACTTTGTGCTTCTTCCAGCTGGCCAGACATTGATACAGACAGTCTATTGACTCGATTTCCCGAATGCTATGTCACAGACAGTTACTTTTCGGATCTCGACCAACCCTCTACCGACATCGTCAAATATAATGAGTTCATAACGGAACAGAAAAATCGCATACAAGAGCTGGAACTCCTCATAGCGCAGCAGAACAAATTGCAAAAGACCATTCAGAGCAAAGTCAATGCACTCCAGTGCAAATCTGATGGTCAGACTGAAGAAGCGGGAATACCAGCTACCTCTAGGAAGAGGCGGACATCAGGTAGTGCCGTCGAGAAACGACACCAGCAATTGAGAAGGGAAGAGAGGGAGAAAAGGTTGGCAAGGGAGAGAGAGAGGAAGCAGAAAGAAATGATACAACAGGCCGACTATGAAGGCATCCTTGCCAAGGTAGATAGTAACTTGCAGAATCTACATAAATTCAAAAAGAAGCACTCATCATCCGCACCTACAAAATCAGTCCCCAACCAATCCACTTTGGCATATTAAAATTGTATATTATGAAGTCATCGAAGAACCCAGATACACAGGCAACCTTTAAAAAAGGTGGTTAATACAGAAATCCGCTCGGAGAAGAGAAAAATGAATAAGTCCTATCTATTCAAGAGCCTTCTCATTTATTCAGCTTGTGGGGGCACAAATGGACCATACTATTAGACCTCGATTTTAAAATCACAGATCAATTCAAAAGCTCAAGTTTTATATTTTATAAAAAAAAAACCAAAAATATTTAAAAAGGACAAATTTAAATGTTCCCATCTCCGTTGTGCCTGTTATGAGACGTCGCTGTGTCATCTGCGGTATTGAACCCCCAAGCGATGCATGCGGAAAGCGCACCTTTCACTATCCGAAGACGAAAAAGGAAGCGCGTATCTGGCAGCGCAGCCTGAATGCCCACAACATACCGGTGGATGCAATTCAGAAATATTGCTGCGTGTGCATCGAACACATACCACAGTTTGTGCAGGAAACCCAAAACCAGGCTGCCAAATTTAAGTGCTGCACGGGACAAACGCAAAATAAAAATGGAGACTTGGAGTGCTGTTGTGAGCGCGGTCCATCAGCTGAACTACCGGAGGGATTTAGCAAGCCAGCCGTCAATGTGTTGCTGATGACGGGTGCTTCATTGCCCTCTTACTGTGGCAAATCGTGCCATTCGGATGAAAAGAAGAAATCCAAAGTTGCTATTGCTGGCTCGGAAACTGATATCTGTGTACTAGAGTCGAATTTCAGCGATGGCGGTGCTAAATTTCCTGATATCGATACAACAGAATTTACAGTACTTCGCACACCTACCCAAGACGATGTGGCCAAGAAACAGGAGGAGGAGGCAGCGAAAGACGAGTGCCTGCGCGATTGCACGGATGTCCTGTTGCTGGGTCGGGGACGCCACCCGACGGATGAGTGCCCGTGTAATTGTGATCATTGTCTTAAACCGCAGCAGGAAGAAGCTGAGAACTGCTGCAAGTCAGTCTGTTGTCCGCCTCTGCCCCAACCACCGCCACGTCAAGATCACCCGCCATGCGGCTGCGAATGCGAACAGCAAGTTCGGTATGAGCTGAATCAGATTATTGAGGACCAACAAGCTCGTATACGGCAGTTGGAGGACATACTCAATCGCCAAACTACCATGCATCAGACACTACAATGCAAAATTGACGATCTGTACAGTGAGTTTAACCGAATGAGTCCGGATACTACACTCCACGCTCCCGAGAAGCATGAACCTGCGCCCGAAGAATCGCTGCCCCGGGAAGAGGAGCACATTAAGAAGGGCAAGCGGAAAAAACATAAGAAAAGCCTTACGCCGCCCAAGGAGCATCGCATCATGCGCGACAGCGATGAAGACATATTCCCCACCGTTGAGCCATTTCCAACCACACCGCTGTTTCGCAGGGTGCAATACTATTTAGGCAAAAATCCGAAGGCTCGCGATACTGATAGCACCAAGAGCTGCAACTGGCTCGAAACTAAAGATGATCAAATAGCGAAGATCAACAATGAGGCTCCATTGCCAACGTTTCAAGTTTTTTAGGTCATATTTTTAATATCTTTGGCATTCACATACTTTTTGGTACTGTAAAATATGGGAATAAAACATCTTATGGTTTAACCGAAAATATTGGACAGTTTTAAGTTGGATACAATGTTTTTATTCGCTAATGGCTGCATATATATCAGATCTCCACAAAAGTTTCTTTCACATCTTATCCGTAATTTGTAATGTGAAATAGGACTTAGGCAGCCGACTGAATAACTTCTGTATACAGCTTCACTTTACTGGCAATGCTCATATCTACATACTTGTCGCCAATGGAAACAATTAATCCGCCAATGATGCTGGGGTCCACACGAGAGGTGATCTTCAGTGACTCATTTCCCTTTAGGAAGGACTGCAAAGATAATAGATAATATACACTCCAATATTATATTTACACTCTGTATTACATACCTTCAAAGCACCCTCCAATTGCTTTTGCTGGGACGAGTCCAGTGGCTTTGCTGACACCACTTCACACACCACCTCGCCGCGATGAGCAGCCATGATGGTCTTGAAAGCGTTGATGACAGTGTCCAGCTTCTTCAAGCGGCCATTATCGGCCAATAGACCCAACAAGTTAGCAGTACTTGACGCAAACCGCAATTTAGCAGCAGCCTCTTGCAAAGCGTTCCCCATTACACTCCTATTAATAATAGGACTGGTCACATATTCGCGCAACTTCTTATCAGCCTTTATGGTAGCCTGTAGTGCGGTCAAGTCCTTCTCCACTTGATCCAATTGGCTCGTTCTAGATGCAGCCGAATACAGGGCACAGGCGTAACGACCCTCGAGACCGAACACCTGCACGGGTGGCTTGACCGTCTTCTGGGCAGCGGAGCTGAGCGAGCGGCTCTAAATGAATAACATTTGTTAGTTTTATAATAACTTAGGTCGAGTTTGTGCACTCGGAATTATAACCCAGTAAGATTTTACTAATGTCAAAATTGCAAAATTACATAACCAAAAACATCGGCATTAGGTAATTTATAATTTTGAACGATATTTTGATTCATTTTGATTTCTTCAGGTTACCAGGTCATTTCACAGTTGTGAATTATGCTTTAAATTAAATATTATTATCGTATATGCATACCAAAATTGCCAATTTGTTAACGGAGGCCATCGTTATTCCCGTGCGCAGAATTTTTCACCTAATACCGCAGCTGGGGCGTACAGTGTTACCCTTTTTCTGATGAAAAAGTGTTACCATAGCAAAAAAAAGTGAAAAGAAGTGGCAGTTAGCATGGCATGCTCAAATATTAAGTGAAAAACGCAGCTTGTGTTCATTGGTTTTTATTGATAGCTTAAAAACTTTTGACTTTTAAGGTTTTTTTTTACGATTTTACTTAAAACGAAACTTAAAACAATCTAAGACGATGCTATTCAAGTGTTGCCTATTTTGCATGGATCTTTAGTGTTTATCCACATAGAAAATTATGATTATAAGTATGTTCGTTGTACACCATTTTGGGTTTACAGTTGAAGTAGAATTACGGATAATTATGTTTTTAGCAACTACTTATCGTCTGTAAGATAAAGAAAAATGGTGTGGATAGTTCCCAGAAATCATACAAAATATACACACTAACCGTCGTCCTCCTCATCTTCTTCACCATCTTCACCATCTGAAATTTGCAGAAGGTAACTATTTACGTAAACAATAATAATAAAAAATAGTTAAGTATAAGTACCATCATCGTCATCGAATGCTTCCTCTTCGTTCTCATCTTCTTCCTCCGGCTCAACTTCAATATCGGGTACCAGATAATACTGGAGGGGATTGGGCCATAAATCGTCTTTTATCAGTTCAGCAATCTCGTCGTTCACTGGATCTGTGTTGTCAGAGAACCAATCAAAGAAAGTTTTGTACTCCGAATTACGTTTCTTCTTGTTGCCATAGGGTTTTGTCAGCAATTGTTTGAGTAGATTTTTTCCCTCCTTCCACTGTATTGGCGTACTGGTTGACGCTGGCCAATCGCTATTTTCAGAGGCAGCTGCATAAATGTACATATGCATAAAAGTAAGGAAGGTAAGATACAGTTGAGATAGTTAAGAGTCTAACTTGCTTACCCGCTGAATTCAAATGGAACTCTTTGGTGAGGACCTTGTTTTCAAAGTAAGGATTCTCGTCGAAGTGGAAATTAATGCGATACCCCGACTTTATGTCTTCGAATTCTTCCACTTCCAGTTTGTTTAAGGCGTGCAGACATTCTTCTTCTTCTTCGTCCAGTATGCCCGAAACTTGTGGATGGTTTATAAACTGCAATATAAAATCAAATTACCGTTTGTTTTAGGTACTTGGTAAAGATTGTAATGGGCAACCGGCGCTACAAATGGTCCACCCTGAACCACACCGCGATAACACAACGACACTTATCGACTCATACTCAACACACACACATATGTACATACATATGCAAACGCCCGGCGGCAGTGGCGGCGAAAAAAATACCTCGAATAAAGAACATTTTCTTCCAGATGTACGGCGACAAAATCAATTTTTTTTTTACAACTTTTAACGTTTGCCGCCAATATTAACATTGCCGTGATGATTTATGCTTAAAGCATTTATCTGTGCATACATATAGACAATTGCAAGTGTACTTACATACATAGCATGTATGTATACATATGCATCTATATATGTATGTATAATTATGCATATACATAATGGCAACGAAACCGTCTACTCACCGCTGTCACCCAGAAATTAGGAATCCGTTTGACCAGCTCACTCCTCTTTTCATAGCAAGGTTTCCGCAGTTTATTGTATTTTTGCTCAACCTTTAAGATCTCTTCGCTTGCCTTTTCATTCAATGCATCTATTTCATTTTGGCAGGCGTCAATTTGTTCAAGAGTTTCGGCATTTTCCGGCTCCTCTTCTGCAGCATTTGCCTCTCCATCGAGCTTCGGTCGCTTCGGCACGGTCGACATTATTGCAGATGATTTTATTTTACAATAACTTTACGAATTGAAATTAAATTAAACTTTGCTGATGGTACAGTTGAGCTGAAGCTGAGGCCGATTTGCAGACGATGTACACATATGTATGCATATATATGAATGTATGTATGTACATGCGGCCACTGCTAACTCACGTTTGCAATTTCGTTTGCGATTGCTATCCACTCATGTGAGCTAAGATAGCGCCGACATCGAAAGAGAAGCGAAACATGTTTATTAGAACTGTAGATAATTTATTTAATATATTTATTATGAGTATCACGATTATGATGCTCATCAATATAAAAGTAATTATAATAAATAAATTATTAATACTAAGATGAGAACCCTAGTGAAAGTCTTAAATTTTTTTGCAATCCATATCCAGTATATACGCATGAGTATGTAACGTTAAATGAACACAGTTGCTGAAAATCCCAGGACCATTTACTTGTTCCTCTTCCATCTACTCATCGACGTAGTCTTTATTCCAACCCTCGGTGATACTGTTGTTTCTTAACACTGTGTCACTAGGACGGCATTTTCGACCATTTACAACACGTACGGACGATTTTGATGACGGGTTGGCTACATTACCTTAGCATTTTTATATTAATCGTGTTTTGAATTAAATAAAACATGGCCACGGCAGAAACTCAAATTAGTGTAAATACAAATTTGCAGAAGCAGGACCTTAGTAATTTGGTAAGTAAGCGACTCTAAGGTGCCAAAATCAGCAACTACGGATACATATTGCTGTTGAGGTCTGCGGCATACTTTCATGAAAGTCTTCTCTTTATGTATGTATGTATATTTGTGTGTGTACAACGCGTCGTCATTATGCCGCTTCTATTAGGCGGGCGGGTACATATAAAGTGAAAAAGTATTTGTTTTTTAACTGATATTGTTTTAAAAAGTGATATAACTCAAGGGTCAGTATGTAGAAACATAATCGGGCCCGTTGGCCAACTCTGTGTCTCCGCAGGTCTATGGAACCAACAGAGAAAATCAGCACGTGGCGATTGTTGCTACGACAGGGTAGAAATCCTGGGGGAATTTTGCCATGTGTATTAAATGTGGCTTATGCATGTTTTAAATGATTTTTGAAATAGGTAAACAAGCAATATTGGTGTTGCAATATGAAGTGCAACAGTTGCCTCAATATCTGATGCAATACAACGTTCAGTTCTAACCTCACTCTCAACGGCTTAGGATGGTAAACAGTGTAAGGGGGAGTTATGGAAGTGGGTGGGTGGGTGTAAGATCTTCAATAGGAGTGCGTTTGTCGCATTTGTCCCCAATTAGAACTGATCACTTTTCGCATTAAACCGTTATTTTTTACAAACTTTTCATGGGTTGTTTACATATTTTCCTATAATTACAGGAAATCAGTAACTTAACACCCCTCTCGCCGGAAGTCATCTCGCGCCAGGCCACAATCAACATTGGAACCATTGGCCATGTAGCGCACGGCAAATCAACTGTTGTTAAAGCCATATCTGGGGTGCAGACGGTCCGTTTTAAAAATGAATTGGAGCGCAATATTACGATTAAACTCGGTAAGTGGGATTTTTATTCGTGATATATAACTAACACAATATATCCATATAAGGAATAATTTGTTTAATACACAAATAGCTTAGGATACGTACAATAACAAATATAAATTCATCCTGCATAGATACTTTAAATTAATATGTTGTCTGAAACTTGTGAGTTCTGCGCTATCGATAGCTACAATAAATATGTTCTTTAAGTTTATAATTGTGTCTTTAAAGGATAAAACATTGCATTATTCAACCAGGAAATCGCAAATTTTGTTATTATATTTTAAATGAATACAATCTAAGATTTTGTTTACTAAGCTCATTGGTGCAGGGAAAATGTTTTCAATTTTAAAATAAAAACGATTGCATTAAATTAAAATAGAACATTAAGAAATGGGAATGTTTTTAAACAAGCTATAAGTGTATAATTATCATAACGTTTTTTATATTATACTATTAAGTCAATTGACAACGGCACACAGTGTACACGACGCCTTCATAAACAAAATCTATTGCTTTAATCATACACATTTTTTTGTTGAATATACAACTTCTTATAAACATTATGAACTCGTCGCTGATGAAACAATCACAAACCATAGTTGTAAGTGTCGCAGCCGTTATTTCGCAAAATGAGAGAATAATTTCAATTTTTCCTAACCATATCTTCAAAGCGTTCTGTAAATAATAGATTTTTGTTTTTGTCATTTGAATTGCTGGATCGTTTTATTCTTTTAAATTTCGCGCGTGACCAACGCACACACTTGCACTGTGTCGTCGCCGTGTGTCCTTTCTTTAATTAGTATGTACGTATGTATGTAGTTGGAGAGAAGATATGTAGAAAACAATTCGTCATTTTCTAGCTTTTGTGCTTATTTATTTCATTTATAATCCAGCAATTTAATTAATTGCAAATCTTTTTCTTCTTTTTCCGTTTTCGTTTTTCCAACGTTGCGCGCGCGGTATATCCAAAAACGAACAAACGTGTTAAACGAACAAAAACCAAAATTGTTATTTGCAGAACGCTTAAGCCAAAAGAAAATAGAAAAGCTGTTACAATCGAAGCGCCTGCGGAGAAAATACGAAACGCAGCAACTACAGCATATCAAGCGATTGAGAGAGAACCGACTGCTTCGTGCAAAAGCAAATAACCTAAAGCTCGTATTAAGGGAACCAATCATGGAATTTTCTTCAAATCACACTAAAACCATGGAGCGAGAACTGAGAGCAAGACGCAGCACTAGTCAAACGTCATTGAGTCCCAGTCACAGCAGTGGGTACGGCAGCGTCCTTGGATGTGATGAAAACGATGCTTTACCAGCATTCAAAAGTATTGGTGATAGCACCTCGAACAAACGGCGGCGTAGCACTTTAAATCTGCAAGTGCCCTACTCTAAGCGCAGTAAGAACAATAACGGTGAAATTAAGAAACCACCGAAAGGCGAATACATTGTCGAATCAATAGAATGTGTAGAATCCGTTAATGCCCAGCCTGTTTTCTTTGTCAAATGGCTAGGCTATAGCACTGATGCCAACACTTGGGAATCGTATCAGAATCTAGTTGATTGCCAACAAATGGAGCAGTTTGTTGAAGATAAACTTCATTATTATGAAAAACATGTTGCACAAGTCACCACCGAATTGGAATCCCAACTGAATGACGAAGCTCCTATTTGTGAACCATCCAAATTGGATGCCTATGATCCCTTAGAGTTGCAATTAGATATTGTATTGTTGGCCCAATTTCGAGCCGCAAGTAGCCGCAGCCAGGTAGAAGTTCAAAAGATAAGAGATCGTGCCAGTTATCGCATGCGCCTGCAGCGTGGTTCCTACGATCGAAAAAAGCAGATCCTGGCACTGCGACAATTTGAGAATCGCATGAATGACGTCGAAGGGTCGGCACCGCCCATTCGTGTGGAGAACAATGTCGATCTGGACACTATTGATAGCAACTTCATTTACATTCACGAGAGCATCATTGGCAAAGATGTTCCAACGCCCTCTATTGGTTTGCTAGGCTGTAAATGTGAGACTGGGGAGGATGGCGCCCAATGCGCACCGATGACACGGTGTTGCGCACGCCTGGCCGGAGAACTTTTCGCTTATGAGAAGTCCACGCGACGATTGCGCCTGCAACCTGGTAGTGCCATCTACGAATGCAATAGTCGCTGCTCCTGCGATGCCAGTTGCGCCAATCGTCTTGTGCAGAACGGACGCAAAATAGAATTAGTACTCTTCAAGACATCAAATGGGCGTGGCTGGGGTGTCCGTACGCCACAAGCCTTACGAAAGGGAGAGTTCGTGTGCGAGTATGTAGGCGAGATTATCACCACTGAAGAGGCAAACGAGCGTGGCAAAGCCTATGACGACAAAGGCCGCACATATCTCTTTGATTTGGACTATAACACGGCGGCAGAGAGCGAGTATACCATTGATGCAGCAGCCTATGGCAATGTATCGCATTTCATCAACCATTCATGTGATCCTAACCTAGCCGTTTTTCCTTGCTGGATTGAACATTTGAATGTTTCGCTTCCACATCTCGTCTTTTTCACGCTGCGCCCCATTAAAGCAGGCGAGGAGTTGTGTTTTGACTATATACGTGCCGATAGTGAAGCCGCGCCGTATGAGAATCTGAACACAGAGGCTCGAGTCGAATGTCGTTGTGAGGCAGCCAACTGTCGGAAGGTGTTATTTTAAACTGCATGGGCTGACTTTTTTTTTTTTTAATTAATTTTTTGTATATATAGTAACTTGTTTTCTGCCTTACACAAGTAATTGGCGGCAAATCATAACCGCAATAGGTATTTGAAACACAGAACTCATAAAAATTGGGCTGTAGAAGGGCGAAAGTTGTGCCTAAATACTTATGAAATCGCAGATGCGAAGGTTAATAAATTTCTACTTATACTTAAAAACGATATGAACAAGCAAGCTCTTGTTAAAGCTTTTGCAAAGATCTATGTATGTGTAATTCACTTTAATGAAAGACCTCAACTGTTAAATGGACTCTTATTGTGTTTTTAGCAAAACCAAACTAATTTCTATAATTTATTGAAGTTTTAGCCGTTAACCACTTTGGCAATAATTATGTTAAGCAATATGTAGCACATATGCATGCAATTCAGGCAATTCCCTAAATTTAAGTAAAATTTAATCCTAATTGTTAATAGAACGTGGCTCAAATATTCTATAACTGGACAAAACTGCCAAATGTTTGTATCTAAACCCATCACATGTTTGTTTTTTGAATTTTATTATAAACTATTATTATTGATTGTAAGTAATAAGCTCATTTATTATGTATTACATTTTTTTAATTATAGTTATTCAAAAATAAAGGAATAATCAGAACAATTTTTGCTTTTCTTTAAACTAAATCCACGTATTGGAATTTTTTGTGAATTGATTTCAGGTTATGCCAACGCCAAAATCTACAAGTGTGACAATCCTAAGTGCCCGCGCCCGGCCAGCTTTGTATCAGATGGTTCCAGCAAGGACGACAGTTTTCCCTGTGCACGTCCTGCCTGTTCCGGCAGGTTCAGATTGGTACGACATGTGAGCTTCGTGGATTGCCCTGGTCACGACATTTTGATGGCCACCATGTTGAACGGAGCAGCTGTGATGGACGCCGCTCTGCTGCTCATAGCCGGTAAACTCCAAATATGGCGCCCAATCCTTTTTAAAGTTGCTAACGATCTACCTCCATTTTATTTAGGTAATGAATCCTGCCCACAACCGCAAACCTCTGAGCACTTGGCTGCCATTGAGATTATGAAACTGAAACAGATCTTGATTTTGCAAAACAAAATCGACTTGGTTAAGGAAAGTCAGGCAAAGGAGCAGTACGAGGAAATTACGAAGTTCGTCCAGGGCACTGTTGCCGAGGGCGCACCGATTATCCCGATATCCGCACAGCTTAAATACAACATTGATGTGCTCTGCGAGTATATTGTAAACAAGATACCCGTGCCCCAGCGTGACTTCAAAGCCCCGCCACGTCTTATTGTTATCCGATCTTTCGACGTTAACAAACCCGGCTGTGAGGTGCAGGATTTAAAGGGCGGCGTTGCTGGTGGTTCTATTCTGAGTGGTGTACTGAAGGTTGGCCAAGAGATCGAAGTGCGTCCGGGCGTTGTGACCAAGGACAGTGATGGTAACATTACATGCCGTCCCATTTTTTCGCGCATCGTATCGCTGTTTGCCGAACAAAATGAGCTGCAATATGCAGTGCCCGGAGGTCTCATTGGTGTGGGCACCAAAATCGATCCCACGCTATGTCGTGCTGATCGATTGGTGGGTCAAGTGCTCGGTGCTGTTGGCAACTTACCAGACATTTACATAGAGTTGGAAATTTCGTACTATCTTCTGCGTCGGCTTCTGGGTGTGCGCACTGATGGCGACAAGAAGGGTGCGCGTGTTGAGAAGCTTCAAAAGAATGAGATATTGCTGGTCAACATTGGATCGCTGAGCACTGGCGGTCGTATCTCAGCTACCAAGGGCGACTTGGCGAAAATAGTACTGACAACGCCTGTCTGCACGGAGAAGGGAGAAAAGATTGCTCTGAGTCGACGTGTGGAGAATCATTGGCGGTAGGTTAAATAAGCATTTTAATTATTTTTGGAATTAGTCATTCAAGCTTATCCATCTTTGCAGTTTGATCGGCTGGGGTCAGATCTTTGGTGGCAAAACAATCACACCCCTTGTTGAAAATCAGCCGCCTGCTCCGAAAAAGTAAAAGACGCTTCCTTGTATCCCCACCACTCCGTTCCCGCTCCGAGATCATTCAGTTCCAAATTTGGTCTAGTTTGCTTTTATTTGTGTTCTGCTTGTCATCAGACCTCTTAAGGATTTACATCTTTTACCGATTGACCGCGATAGCAAACGAAAAACAAAGAAAAGTGCGTGCATAAATGCAATAATAAGGCAAATTATTTAATTTTTTTATGTACATTTACAAGAATTTTGCTTGCGAAACGTATTTGTATTGATAGCAAAATTCAGGCATTACACAAACTAATAGGTTACACACACATATAACAAACAAAAACCTATCGTAAAATTGTTTTTATGATTTAAATATAAAAGTAAAAGATGGAGTGCATTTTTTACATTATAAAACATTTGTTTTTATGGCGAGGGCTTGAATAAATGGATAACGATATAAGAATTAAGTACAGAAGCCATAAGAGCTTTAATTGATGAAGCATTACCTTCATAAAAACTAGTGCAATTCGGCGGGAATACACATCATATGCGTACGAAAATAGTTGCTCTACTCAGGCGGACTTGAATCAGAAACGCAATATCAAGTGAAAAATGAATTCTTTTCGCGAAGAATATGAATATAACTACCAGGTTCATAATAGATTGATGCGCATTCTCATTTTGTGAGTCATAAATTAGGAATGTAAGTGACGTCCTGGAGGAGGTGTACTAAACCCCACAATAACGATCAATATAACGAGATGAGTCGATATAGCCATGCGAATATGAGTTCGAATCGCAAAAAGTTATATGTCAGAATTGATCATTATGGGTCAATTCTAAAACTAGAGCCATAAATTAAATATCTGGAGATAATAGCATAGTTATTACTATATGTCAAACGATTGAAAGAACTCGCTTTTTAGCTCCCAATTTGTTGTATATATAGTACACACGAATAATTAAGTGTATCGGATGAAACCAAAGATGCTGAATAATTAGCATCAAAGCTACGACAAGCATTTGTCATTAAAATTCTATGTTGCTTGTATTAATGAATTGTGCTGTACAGCATAAAAATTTAATTTTTTAAGGATCACGTAACATTTTCCCCCATTTGGGGGTCAATAATTCCACAACCCCCCAATACGAGATCCGAACTGTTTCATGCTCGGAAAGTCCTCCGGTAGAAGAACATTAAAACACAGTTGGTTATTTTTATAGTTTTTCAATATTTAATTCAAATTGTATTTTTAACACATCGTAATACTTAAGTTGTATTCTTACAAATTTCCCTGCCATGTTTATACATGACGGACTTGATTTATTTTTGGTAAACTACTAATTGTTATCTGTCCATATTGCATATTCAATTAAAATGCGCATTAAACATAATTCAAGGCTTAGAAATTTTATCTTTTCTGAAAGGATCCTAAAGTTTTACTAAATTAGACTCGGAAATACCTAAGCAATAATATATTTGTAAGTGCGCTTTCAATATGAAACTACTTATATCAATTTTAACCCAATGACAATCAATTTAAATCAAAATTTGTTTACTATTGGTCTTCTTCTTTGGCAGAACCCTTCTAAGCTTGTCCAATTCCAAATCTCCAAGCGTATACAGGGCTTACATTTTCGCTTAGTTTTGCTTTGCAACGTATTTGGTGCTTAGACAACGCTCTACTATATAAGTATTTGAGATTTTTTGAAGTCATTACAATTTGTTTTAAGTTAAATTGCATATGCACATGATCATGCTTACTTTAAGTATGTATGTATGTATTAACCAGTCTATTATCAAACTCAGACCTGGCCAAGTTATACATACATACATATGCTACCTAAGAACGTACAGTAAAGGCGATACATATACACTTACTAAGTAATACAATCATCTCTTATTCGATTCTTAAATAATCTTGCATGATGGTTCAGTTATCTCATACATGCATCCATATTACTGTTATATGGGAAAAAACGTAAAGTACATTAATAGTTGAGAATAAAAGAATGGAAAACCTCTTTACCAGTCATTAAAACTGTCCTTTTTCTATAGATAATTCATTACTATGGCTATTCCTTTTTACAATTTCAAATGAAACTGTACAAGGATTTTGATGTGCTGTGATCGTGTGTATATCGAAACTCGTTATGACTGCTACTGGTTTAAATAGTTAGGTTGTTGATGCAGGGTTCGATATCTTACCTATGCATACTATATGTTCAGATTAGGCGATACTGCCCTCAAAATGCTATAAAGAAGTCACATGGTCAGTAAATAAAGAACTGGCGTTTAATAGTTTGGAGAGAGTAGCAGTCGTAGGGTGGAAGAATGGTTGGATGGGCGATAAAGAAACTGTTAAAGATTAGGCGCGAAGGGAACCTCGGAAGGGTTTTATTTCGATAAATTAGTTATGAACACTTTCCAGCGTATTTCGATCACACTGTACTCTTAAATTTGTATTTAATATTTTGAAACTTCTCATCCATGAATTGTAACACACCATTTTAACTGTTCCTACATTAGACTGAATAATACTCTTATTATTAATTGGTTAACAGATAGATGGTTTTAATGGATGTATGTATGTATGCTGTGTGTTAATTGTGTGCTTATTTATAATCGTATTTAACACCCGACAGAAAATATCTTATCGCGATCAGGTGACTCGTTGACATTATTAAGAGTATTCGATCAATGAATACAAAACTGTTTATTATCATTTTTTCGTTTTTTTCCATTTGTTTTTCTTTTTAGGTACGGGGAATTCTTTAATCGAGCAGTTACGACTATAGTATGTTTACTTGTTTTGTTCATTGTTCATAATTTCTTCAATGCTTCCAGTTTAACTTGGTCAAAAGAATTCGTTAAGTGTCTACTTTCGCTTTTATTTTAATCTGAATATAATATAGTATGTATATTACAATTAGCACAATTATTGACAGTAAACATCTGCAAAAGGGCATTTGAGTTCCATTTCTTGCTTACATTTTTCTTTTCTTTTTTTTCCAATTTATCTGATTCGAAACAGTTCTAATCAGGCGATACCAAAGCAAAAACTCCTTGCTTAAATTTAAATTGGTTTAAGCTAGCCTTTCAATCACGATAGCATCGTTTGTCGAAATATGTTTTCATGTTACACTATGTATGTATGTATGTATATGATAAATATTACTGTGCTTATATAACCCGAAAATGTACAAAGTGCATTCGAAATATTGTACATGCATCTTAAATGCGACCTATTTGGTATTTCTCTTTTTGGTTTGGTTATAATTGCTATTTCTTGAAGTTAAATGTAGATGAACAATTTACACATAATTCATATTACTTGTATATGCTTAGATATAAGTATAACAACGCATGCTATTCATTTTAGTATAGTTACATATATATACATATTTCTATATTGGAGTTCTCATGGACTACTCCATTTTGGGTATGTAGCAGTAATTAAAAGCCTACGTTTTCCTTAAGGACGCTCAATACGCCCTTAAAGAAAATGGCTTAAGTCTCATTCGTTAATATCCTCATCTGACGAACTGGCAGCGGGTATCGTTGAGAACTGCCACGCCTCCCGATTGTTGTTTTTAGTGACCCTGAAATTTAGTTTTCAATATTATAAATGTAGAGATTAAAGCTAAATACTGTAATGAATTGAATTTTTTCACAATCTCCTGGCATTAATTCTCCAATAAAACCGATTCAATGAAAATGACCAAATTAATTAACTTCCCATTTAAACGCTTAAATCGAGACAGTATAACTCTTACTTACGAAAGCATATCAAGTCCATTAGAAGCATACGAGACTGTCTTTCGAGAATATAGTATTTCATCGGAAACAATTATAATGTTTTTCAAAATACTCTCTAGGATGATCAAGAAACTTTTGCATTACCTTTACGCAATATAGAAAGCACTTTATCCACTACAAGCCTTTTGAAGATTATTTCATCGTTTTAATTTTCAATATAATAAATGTAAAGATTAAAATACTGTAATGAAATGAATCGGAACTATACTCTTACGTACAAAAGCATATGAAGTCCATTAGGAGCATACGAGACTGTCTTTTGAGAATATATTTAATCGGAAACGATTTCACCCCGTAATTTTTTTTATATGGAAATAAAATGAAATAATTGGATTTCAAGGTTAGGTTGGAATTGGATGTGATGAAGGATGATCTTTCTTTGGCGGCCAGTTTTCCTGGTCTCCGAAACTGTAGTACCACGAAAGGACATTACTAGATTTTAAATATATCATCATTGGCTTCACTCTTCTCAAAAGAAGTGAAGTTGAAAGTTTTGAAGACAATAATAAAAGTAAAAGCAATCGTATGCCTCGTTGTAAGTATTTGACGCCATTAAATACCAAGCTGCATAATTCAGAGTCAAATTTAATCTGACATCCCAAGAATGGCTCGTTTTCGAAATACTTATAAAACACATACGACATTAAAACGCCAGTGGAGTCTTGAAAGCGATCAACAGTTTTCATTTTGTCCATATATGTATAAGCGTAATTGTAAACTGACTGGATAAGAAGGAATCTTATTTTGCGTCAATATCAATGAAATGAAAGTTTTGGAGATTATCAAACAGCATTAGTAGCCAACTCACCCATGCTTTTTGGCGTTGCTGGGCAAAGTGTGCGAGCTCCGGTAATACGAATCATGGGACTCTTCCATAGATTTGCGTTGCAGCGTCATCGTCTCTTGAGGGGCTGGCGCGTCCAGGTAATATTTGGCACTCTGTGCGATCTTGCAATTCTCACACTCGCTGAGGTAGTCATCGTCCAGACTGGTGTCATTGGGCAGAAAGTGCTCTTTGGGATTTAAACAGTTCTTGGATGTTGTGCAAACAGGTAGCTGCTTTGTGGGCGTTGCTGCAGCCTTGTTGCTACTTTTTGACTCTGCCAAAGGATAATTGGGCATTTGGCAATGCGCTATGGCCAATGATTTGTCAGTCGCGCCGCTGCTGCGTTCCGCATCTCGTTTAACACGCAGTATTTTTGGCAAAGTGGTGCCTCGCGACGATGACGACGAATGCACACCATCGGTAGCATTGTTGTTCTCCTTCTCCGGAGCTGTGGTCTGTGGTATGCTGATCACCGAGGGGACCTTGCTCACCACACTATTGATGGTGCTGTTCAGAGACACTTTGCCACTTATGTGCTTGGGCAGTGTGTATGTTACATGATTGGCCAGCGGGTAGAAAGTGCTCGTGTTGATCTTTCCACCGCCTAGCGATGATTTGTCCCCGCTGCCATTGGAATTGTTTGTTGATGTCGTTGTCGGACTGGCGGGGGGCAGTGTTAAGCTTGGCGTGGCATTTCTCGAATACTCGTGAGTATCCTTCCGCGAAGCTCCAATTGAGTGTTTACTGAGCGTGTAAATGGTCTGCACGGCATTATTGGATGTTGAGTGATTACTAGTGGCAGTGTTATTGTTGCTGCTCGCTGTTGTTGTTGGCGTTGTTGAAATTACGACTGGCACTGAGGCTTTTAAATTCGTTAGACTTTTATAGAGTTTCGGTGGAAGAGATGGATTGCTTTGATCGTGTTGATGGTGATTCTGTTGGTTATAAAAATGTTGCTGCTGTTTCTGCGTTAGACTCAAGTAGGCATCAACCTGAAACAGAATATGATTTGATTAATCATAAAAACATCCTTTTGTCAAATGAAATACTCAAGAGAGTTCGCACGAGGCCCGAAAGGAGATCGAAAAAAGGACTACAATTTGAAATTCAATTGCGCTCATACAACAGTTGTATTTTTTCTCGGAGTTCCAAGAGATTGTTTTTTTGCATGAACATTTCAATATTTACATAGTAAAACTGAAAGATATATAATTTTCACCATCCCTTTTTGTTTTCGATTTATGGCACAAATAAACATCGCAATATAGCTTATTTATTTGCCTTTTGTATGGGCAGATAATATCTATTTCGATTTCCAGGCCTTGTACTGAACAACGTTGACATAATAAACGCTAAGCTTTGATGGCCCAGGATTACTTACATTTCGAACTCACCTTTCGATTCAAATAGGCGCTGGAGAGCACATCGGCACCGGCGCTACTGGAGGAGTTGCGTCCACTGCCGCCACTGGTGCTGCGCGCACGCTCGGACCCAGACTGGCCGGAAGAACGCTTCTGCACCCGTCCCAGGACAATGGGCATGGGCGAGCCGGTGACTTCGTCGTGTTGTTGTAAGGATGGCGGCGGTATTATTGAGGACACGTTTACGCCGCCATGATGAGCTGGAGTCGGATCGCCAACCTGCTTGGAAATGGTAGCAATTTTGGGCTCATGGGTGCAATAGGCAGCCACCACAGCGGCTGCAACGCCATTGCTACTGTTGCCGCCTGCCCCGCTGTTGTGGGAATGCTGCTGCAGGCTTGTCGAAGATTTGGCACGTATACCGTAGGCCAAAGTGGCGGAGTTCGTGTTGGCACTGGCATGTCGCGAGTTTGTGGAATTCAGGGCACAAGCACTGGAGCTGCTAGCGAAGAGTTTTCCGGCTCCGCTAAAGAAAGCCGCTGCATTCGCATTGCTACCCATGTAGGACATGGGCACATGTTGAATGGGACATTGGCACATCGGCTTCTTCGCTACTTTGGCAACTGCGTCCGATGTGCTGGACTTGGGTTTCATGCTGGAGCTGGAAGTGGTGGTGGCCACGGTTTGCACCTGAAGAGGATCGGCCACTGCAAAATAGCGTGGTATGGTGCGGTGATAGCGACGGGAGGACGACGGTGTCTTGCTGCCTGCAGGCGATGAAATTGTGGCACTGCTGCCTGTACTGAGTTGCTGGCTCTTGCCAGCAGCATGTAAGGGCAGTGTATGATGTCCTGTTTGGGTGACAGAATCGGCAGTGAGGGCAGTGCTGCTGCTGTGGTTGTTGCTCGAATTGGTGGGCAATTCCAGAGCGGGCATCATATCACCGGGAGTAGAGTTCATGGCATGTGGCATATGTGTGGGCGTGGCCGCGGCTGAAAGCTCATTGCCATTCGGAATTGGAGTCTGATAGTTCCCAGTACTAGTGCTGGCAGAGACGCTGGCGCTAGCATTAATCTCTACATCAGCTACTGTCAAATATTGTTGTGTCTGTTGCTGCGGCTGGTGAAGAAGCTCCTGGGAGCCTCTTGGTGTGCGTCGTGTGGTGGCAAAGCCTAAAGTGGAGGCGCCTGCGCTTCCCGCTACGCCCGCCGTGGTTACACTGGCGCTTATGTTCAGATGACAGTTCTTATAACTGCATTCAGTCGTTGTGGCTGCTGGGCCGGCCGAGCTATTCAATGCCGTTGGCTTTGGTGCTTGTAGAGAGGCAGCAGCAGCAGCCGTTAGTCCTAGCGTTTGCACACATATCGAACCGTTCGCACCGGGAGGGGCCTCAAGATTATGTTGCTGGTCATTTTGCAAACTATAGGGCGGCTGGTGGTTCTCACCAGTGGCTATGGTGGTGACCCCGCCACTATTTATGTTAATGTTGATGAGATTTGTGGTGCTCTGCGTATACTGGTTAGTCTGTGGTTGGGAGCCTAGCGGTATGGCTCCAGAGGCTGCAGCAGCAGCGGCATGCATCAGCTGATGTTGAGTTACCGCTGGACTGGCCGCCAAGTGTTGCTGCTGGTGGTGTTGCTGTGGTTGTGTGTGCAGCTGCAACGTGTGATGCTGCAGATGTTGTTGTTGTTGCTGTTGACTGACGCTTGCCACAGCGCGCTGCGTACTGGTGGCAGGCAAGCTGACGGTGCATTGGGCATTTAGAGCTTCGGCCACTGCCTCCTCGTAGGGAGGAGGCGCTTCACCGCGCGGAAAATAGCCATTGGGCGGCTTCCACAGCGGATAATGGGTCGCTCCTCCACCGTATGAGTAATCCATGCCACTAAGATTTCCCTCCATGTAACCCATGTTTCCGGCAATGTAACTGTTTTGGAATTAATCAAATCAGACTTCGTACACATACCCAACAAATCTTTGTTGAAACTCACCCTATGCTCCCCACTATACTACGCTGATCCTCGGCATTTTGGCGATTTTCTCGGGCGCGTATCTTCCGCTGACGCAATCGATTAACCAGAAAGAACAATAGGGAGAGCGACAAAGTGGCCGTAATGCCACTGGCCACCAGTCAAATTCCGAAATCGGTGCTACCATCGCTGAACTGATCGTCCAGGCAGATAACCTCGCAGCAGTTGTTGCCGCTGCCCACTGTTTGAAATGATTTACACTTGCTGAACGCCTCACAGAGAACCATTTTGCAGGCCTTGGGCAGCCCACTGTCACAGATACAGAGCCGACATGAATCCGGACCGGGCATATAGTGCATGCCCGTCTCGTAAAGCTTGCCATTGAAGTCGCGACAATGGCCGCCAGGTATGAGGCTGGAGCTAACCGCGTTGGTATCTGCAAGGCAAAAGGAAAGATTAAATATTCTCATAAGCCCTTGGATCCCCCGAGACTATATATATGTATAGTCTTTCCTGCCTACTATAACAATGTTTTCTCTCTTATAACAAACCCTCATACCAAAAACAACACCATTTCACTTTTTCTTTGAATGTCCCTTTTCAGTTAATATTTTTAATTAAATATATTTACATATGAATAGCCCGAATTTCGTTTTCAAAAGTTATACTTTGTATCGTGTTTTTTTTTTTTTTTTATTTCATGCAGCATAAAATTTTTAATATTGCTTGTATTTGTTTTAGACTAGCCATTAAAAACCAATTTATCAAATTGGATATTTACAAGACTTCCTTTAAACTAATCTTTAGTGTTTATAGCGAGGCATAATTTACTTCAAGGATGATAAGAACCTTAAAATCAATTATAGCTATTCTGTTTTTCTAGAAAAAATTGTTTTGAAATAACTAAACAAAATTGTTTTGAACATACGCCTTTCCTTTTTTAGTTCATAATACAATACATACATATGTATGCACATATGTACATCAGAAAAAACGTCTTGATTAAGCAACATCGTTTTATTGGAACAGAAAAAATGACACAGAAATGACAAAGCGGCCTGATTTGACGCCCCCGCTGATTTTCAAGCAAGTTGCGAATGCGTGCCTGTCACATAAGTACATACATATGTACATACAAACAAACAACACACACCCAAAACAAGTGCCTTCTCAGTCCTGCGGCCGAGCAACATCCACTAACGGTACATACATACACTTCTCGAATGTATAAGGACACCCACCCACACACATATGTATGTACATACTCGTACATACATACGGACGAAACTGGCAGCAACAGCAGCAAAGCAAAATTTGCACGCCACTTCCTTCCCATTGTCCACCCCACCCATTCCACCCACAAAACCTCGCCTCCTTTTCAGAAGAGGAGTTTCTAGTGCTGCTGTTGGTGAGAAAAAAGAGCGAAGTTCTGTGCCGCGTAACTGTGCATGTACGAATGTATGTATGTGTATGTATATATGTACATGCATATGCATGTGTATATATGTGTCCTATTAATTGTGAACTCTGCCAGTTGTGTGGCCATGGACCATATTCCAATTGTTGTCGACAAAGCTTTATGCTTCATTATCCCGAATACAATTATGCACAAAATTGGACAAAACCCCAAAGCCTTTTTGCTCTTTAAAATTTCCTAATGAATATGATAACAGTATTAATCTATTATTTTACAAATACGCCATTTCTGTTTCTGTCCAAATTAAAATGGTACATGTATTTGCTGTGCTCTCTTTTGCTCTGCAAGGATATCTCATCTGTGTGTGTATATATAATTTTTCATCCATGCTTTTAAATCCTTCACAATCAATTTTTACCTTGGGTATTGGCAATAAACGCGAGCACGGCCAAAATATACATATTGTTCACAATTATTTTAAATGCACTCCGATTATTTTTAAATTTGCAAAATTATTTCAACTAGGAATTATTGGATATTTTCAACCGTTTCCTGCTATAAATGCTTGTTGTAGAGCTTTCTGTAGAGATGACACTGCCGTTCTGTTCTCGAATTGACGAACGAAAGTGGAAGTAGCGAGTAACCTTAACGGCCTCGAAGCAAGCAAAGGCCGATAAAGCAGTCGATTACGATTAAACGAAAAACCGATACGCATGCACTCTCTTCTGATAAGCTATTGTTTTTGGACCCGGGCACTTTAAAAAATGCTGTAACATAAAATATTTCAATTTTGCTTTGTCATCCCATATATATAACCCCATTTCATTCACAAACATTTGAAATGATTTAAAAACAATCAAATATTTCTGCAATCTCAAATACTTTATTAATTCATTCAAGCAAAACGGGTTTTTCTATTTTTGATGATCGATCGATGATAATACATATTTTTATTAATATATTATGAAGAGCAGTGTCTGTTATTATAAGTATACATAATATAGTATAACGTTTTAAGAGCAATTGTCGTTTCTTATTACAGTGTACTTTTGTATTTGAATTTCTGATTTAGAATGCAAGACTATTTATGAATTGTTTTTTATGTGTTCTGTGCTGTGTTCTCTTTAGTCGACTTCTTCGATGGTGGGTCCAGCACCGCCGGCACTGGCGCCAGGGGCTCCTGGCATGCCACCGGGCATACCACCGGGCATACCACCAGGCATACCACCTGGGGCACCACCACCGCTCTGGTAGAGCTTGGTAATGATCGGGTTGCAAACGCCCTCCAGTTCCTTCTGGCGGTGCTCGTATTCCTCCTTATCAGCCAGCTGGTTTGCATCGAGCCACTTGATGGTCTCGTTGCACTTGTCCAAAATCGTTGTGCGATCCGAATCCGAGATCTTGGTCTTCAGATTATCCTCATCGAGGGTAGCCTTCATGTTGAAGCAATAAGACTCCAGACCGTTCTTGGCAGCAATGGTCTCCTTCTGTTTCTCGTCCTCGTTGCGGTATTTCTCGGCTTCATTAACCATACGCTCAATGTCCTCCTTAGAAAGACGACCTTTGTCGTTGGTAATTGTGATTTTGTTCTCCTTGTTGGTCGAACGCTCCAATGCGGTGACATTCAAAATACCGTTGGCGTCAATATCGAAAGTTACCTCAATTTGGGGTACACCACGTGGTGCTGGAGGAATGCCCGACAGCTCGAACTTGCCCAAGAGATTGTTATCCTTTGTCATCGCACGCTCACCCTCGTACACCTGAATCAACACACCAGGCTGATTGTCGGAGTAGGTGGTGAATGTCTGCGTCTGCTTGGTTGGGATGGTGGTGTTGCGCTTGATAAGCACACTCATCACACCACCGGCCGTTTCGATACCCAGGGAGAGGGGCGTAACATCGAGCAGCAAAAGATCCTGCACTTCCTGAGATTTGTCACCATGCAGAATGGCAGCCTGCACAGCGGCACCATAAGCCACAGCCTCGTCGGGATTAATAGACTTGTTCAATTCCTTGCCATTGAACAGGTCTTGCAGGAGACGTTGCACCTTGGGGATACGAGTGGAGCCGCCGACCAACACAATATCGTGAATGGCAGACTTGTCCAGCTTGGCATCACGAAGAGCCTTTTCCACGGGGTCCATAGTGCTGCGGAACAAATCAGCATTCAGTTCCTCGAAGCGTGCACGAGTGATCGAAGTGTAGAAATCGGTACCCTCGAACAAAGAGTCAATCTCAATGCTAGCCTGAGTGGACGAAGAGAGAGTACGCTTTGCGCGTTCGCAGGCAGTGCGCAGACGACGCAATGCACGCTTGTTGGTGGTCAAGTCCTTCTTGTGTTTGCGCTTGAACTCTTGTACAAAGTGCGTGACCAGACGGTTATCGAAATCCTCGCCACCCAAATGGGTGTCTCCCGCCGTGGATTTGACCTCGAAGATGCCGTCATCAATAGACAGAATGGAGACATCAAAAGTACCACCGCCCAAATCGAAAATGAGCACATTACGCTCGCCAACAGCCTTCTTATCCAGACCATAAGCAATGGCAGCGGCCGTAGGCTCGTTTATAATACGCAACACATTTAAACCGGCGATGGTACCAGCATCCTTGGTCGCCTGACGCTGTGAATCGTTGAAGTAAGCAGGCACAGTGATGACGGCATTGGTCACCGTCTTGCCCAGGTAAGCCTCGGCAGTCTCCTTCATCTTGGTAAGAACCATGGAGGAGATCTCCTCGGGGAAGAAGGTCTTCTTTTCATCTTTGTATGTAACCTCAATCTTTGGCTTGCCATCAACGCTGACCACCTCGAAAGGCCAGTGCTTCATATCCGACTGCACAGCCGAATCGTCAAACTTGCGACCAATGAGACGCTTGGCATCGAAGATTGTTTGGGTTGGGTTCATCGCCACCTGGTTTTTGGCAGCATCACCAATCAAACGCTCTGTCTCCGTGAAGGCAACATAGGATGGTGTTGTACGATTACCCTGATCGTTGGCAATAATCTCAACTTTGCCATGTTGGAACACACCCACGCAAGAGTAGGTCGTGCCCAAATCAATACCAACAGCAGGAGCTTTAGACATCTGGAATGAGTGAATAAAACAATATATTAAAATACTGTAAATCGCGTGTTAAAGATGTGTTGTGCCAGGCAACCCTGATCAAACAAAAGCAGATCGCCTTTCCACACATATACTTCATATACATATATACATATGTACACACATATGTATATAATTTAAACAAATAAAACTATAACCACCATTGTCAAAAGTTGGTTTATGTTGCCATCACTTCCAAAAATGGTGAAATGTGGAATGAATCATGACAATAAAAAACACTTCGGGGTTGTTGCATTCCATAATATGAATGTGTGTATATGATTCAAAGTCGAAACAAAGATTATGCGCTAAAATACAAACAGTTATTAAGCAGCTGTCAATTTTTTTTTTAACAGTCCAAAAACCACATGGCCCGAACAAAAGCGAAAATTCTGGAATGTCGAATATAGGCACACATACATACAAATGTACATACATTCAGCGATACGACATATGAAAAAATATGTGAGCCTAGTTTCCAGTATGTGTGAAAGAGATAAATGTAGCATCTATGAGCGCGCGGAATGCGGCTTGTCTGTATTCCAATGGCGCGTGCACACACACAAGCAAATGCCGGTTAGCAACCCGCGTTTCCCCAACACACGCTTGTATACATACAGATATATATGTACATATGTACATACACATTTGTGCATTCTACATTGTTTGTTCATAGATGTATATGTGTATATGTACATACGTAACCTAGATTTTTCTAAAATCAAAATTACATCAAGCAATTAGCAACTGCCTCTATGTACCTTTAAACATGGCTACGATGTGTGTATTTTTATATGCATATATGTACATACATATGTACGTATTGTATACTACGAGTTCATGGAAACCCATTATGAGTCATACATATGCATACATACATACATATGTATGGATGTATGTGGGTACTAGTTCCTTTTTTTCTGGAATATGCTATCGCCGATAAATTAACAAATTGATAATGTACATAAGAATGGAAGCCTGCCTTTTATCCAAGTAGGAGTGTTACCTATAAATAGAAAGTACATATATTCATATGTGCGTATATAACACATTTTAATAGAATCCATTTATATGTACATATACTATACATACATATGTATATTTACACATGCATGGACATATGTACATGAATGTGTGCGTGACTGCCATTACGCATTGGGGCTACGCCATGCATTTAGAAAATGTACATTTCCCATTCTAATATAGCAATGCAATTACGTTTAAGTACATACATATGTATGTACACGTATTGCAATTATTGATTTTGAAATAGAAACTGCAGCAATAAGAAAATTTACAAACTCTGCCTTTAAACATGCTGCGAAGCACGTGCTCTTCTTTTTTTTTCCACCACTTCGCCCAACCACGTATGTACATTGTACGTACGCTCATATGAATATGTATGTATTCACATACATATATGTATAGTTAAAACGTGTGCAAGCACATACATATATGTTAAATTAAAAATGCAGCTTATATAAATTCTCACCTTTGTGTTTTGGAGTTAAATGTACTAAAATATAAACCGTATAATCGCTACTTCACTTTTTCCTTCTATTCTATTCACTTTTTCACCGTGTCGACACTCAGACGTTCGGTCAAACGGGCACTTGTAAAAGGAATGATGAGACAAAAAAGAAACCAGTACTTTATAAACGTGAGCACCGCTCGCCACGGAATGTTCTGGAATCGATAGTCGATATCGATCATTTTATGTTTGCGGTCACAGTTGACGGTTTTTAAAACAAATGGCAGCGGAACAAATAAATGGAACTGAAACATTTTTCAAGTGGCAAGGCTGCCATGACGCTGCCATTTGCGCGCCAAGACTGTTAGCCAATCTGAATCAATTTTTGGTGCCTGCAAATCTACCTTTTGCGATACAGCCGATGTTTTTAAGCCCAAGAACATAAAGGGTGTCAACTTGTTTGTGCATTGTTCGTTCCGAATAAGTAGTAGCACGTACTTGGTATGTACATAAGCACATATAATGCATGTACATACATACATATCGATGTACATATTGACGAAGTATGGCGTTAAAATAAAAAAATAACTATGATATCAAAACCACTTATTTCCGATTAGCTTATCAAAAATTCTATTTTTATGGGACTCAGCCAATGCTGATAGATTAGCCCCCCGTGTGAGCGTAATAAAATGTAGGTGGTCGTAATTATCATTGACATACATATAATAAGGTTATGTACATACACATACTATAATCGAAATTGTTAATTTAAGGCTTTAGGTTCGATGAAATGCTTCTAGTTCAAACTCAGTCTTCAGAAAGCTTACAATCTGGCTCCACCCCATCAAATATAGGTTTGCTTTCTCCACCTTCACCACCTCCTCCAGCTATTATTTTAATAATGTCCGCCAGGGTGTACTGCCCGATAAAGTTATTGATTCGCTGTGGATTTAACCAGGTAATTAAGTATTAAGTCTATTATAAATGTTGAATCTTTTACCGTTTCTACCCATGCGACTACAACATCTTGCTCGTATGTCCATATATCATCCAGCAACTCTACGCCCAGCTCATTAATTAGAGCATGAATAAATTCGTTGATTCTTTCCTCTTCAAGCAAATTCTGAAAATCCACATTCAATCCGCCTAAATACATTTCAATTTGTAGACCTCTAATGCCTAAATGAATGCCAGATTTTAGTATCCAAGAAAAGGAGAAAGTAAAGTCAGTTATTGAAGCTCTGTGATAAGAAAAAAATCTATTAATCTTCCCATAGGTACATCGGATTCATAACGCTTACTCTGCATTGCCGTCTCCTGCAAGATTAACAATATAGGCTAGTGATCCTTTGGCGGAATATAAAGTTTGGAACCAAGTCAACGGGAAGGTCACGTTAATGGTGCTTCGTCGAAGCGGAACAGTATAGATGTTTAGATCATTAATTTTAAAATCGGAAAGTCCATGGAGGAAGAAGTCGTCGATCGAGCCGATAAAACTAAAAATGTTGCTTATAACATATGTATTTCCAATATGTATTTTCTACCTACTCCACAAAATATTTATTATCCACAGCAATTTCATGGTGTTCTGGTATTTGGAAAGGATCCAAGGCAGGCATGCCCAAATTCGGAATGGGGTGGCACATACGCATACGTAACTCCTCTAAAAAGTCAATTATTTGACTTTCAAAACTCGCCTGACTCGAGGTAATGGCAAAAACCAAAAGAACTATAAGAAATTTCAAATTCATTTTAAGAAAATTGCGTTACGGCTGAGCGGAGGCACACGACTGAATCGTTAACTTTTTTGTGGATGTATTTTGTAATGGACAAGTGCACCGGTTCTCGGGTGCACTTCAAGTGGGTGGTCTAAAGATAGGAGCTATTGTTTCAGTTTTATTTGATTGTTTTTAATGCTAATGGGGTCCGCAAGCCCAGCAATTGGTATTAGTTATCAATAGAATAAGTACACATTTATGCTTATATTTTCGAATAATATGGCTACGTATTCCGCTGATTACTGTTTACCTAATCGCTACTATGCTATTGACAGTTGCTTATCATTGGTAGCTACAACGAGATTTAAACCACAATAAAATCTCGAATATAGATCGATCATACATATATGTGGACATACACATGTCTCCATCTAAAAAAATGCTACACTTGTTCTGGAGGCTTGCTCAAGTGTTCTGGTATCTGCTGCAGTTCCGTTTTAGAGGCTTGCAACGCTACGCCTTCGGGCAGGTTACGCTCAATGTATTCCAGAAAAGTGTCCATTGTTGAGCCCGTCAATTTGTGGTAGGTTAAGTAATAGAAATATGTGCGCACCTCATACTGGGCGCGATGTTTCTTATAGATGTGCACAGACTTCAGCAGAGTCAAGCGGTCATGATGTGCCTTACGCGGTGCCCAGCTATAGAAATCATTGCTTTAGTTTTCCAGAAATAATTTCAAACGACCAGAGAGCTTACCATTTGCCCGTCTCAATACCCAAATGCCCCGCAGCAGTATTGGCGAACCACGTGTAGCTCTTCAGCACGGCCGGATCAACGCCCCGCAGCTCTATTTCCAACTTGCTGTATAGTTTGTCGAGTTCTGATGCCGGAATGGGTTCCACATCAACTTTACCCGGCGCAGATGTTGCGCTTAGGGCTGAAAATGCGCGAACGGCTGGGGCAAGTTGTGAGCCGCGCAACGTTTTCCATAGCTAAATAAAACAATTTTAGTTGATTAGTCCCAATAATATGTCCAGCAAAACGAATCGCACACAAACCTGCAACATTATTGAATTATGCAAGTATGTCAGCTGTTTTGCAAATAAGTACTAAAAAAAACCCAAAAACTAGTTACAAGTATTCGATATTAAGCAAAAGTAACGAGTAAACCACTGAAATAAAATACTCGTCACTGCACTTTGAAAGTAGTTTCCGTTTCGGCATTTCCCGAGGATTTTAATTAAAAGATTCATGGAATATATTATGTAGCTGACAGATATGAACTTAATTATGTTTAAATTATATAAATTAGAATGAAGGCGCTAGCCCAATTTCCCGTCTTCTACATTTTCCAAAACAATTACACGGTTAGCACTTTTATCTATTGAGGAGTTACTTTAACGTTTGAACTGACATTTTAGGCGGCATTGGTTTCCAAATCGGATGCGGGTATTTCAGGCTCCTCATCATTGTAAACATTCTCTGCCATCTGCCACACTTGCATAATGTTGTCTTCTGACACAGAACAAATGATCCAAGGTTCATTAGGGTTCCACGAGAAATCACTGATCTTAGCGGTGTGCCCGCCGTGTATAAAAAGCAACTCCGGGGGGCCATCTTCCGCATCCTCAGAACTCTGTTCCTCGCCAATTTTGGACAAGTCCCATACATGCAAACGACGATCGGTACCCGAAGAGGCCAAAATAGTTTCGTTATGGGGCGACCATTGCACTTGGAAAATCTCATCCTTGTGGGACTCAAAGGAATGCAGTTTAAGCTTTAGATTGCGCAAATCCCACAAAGCGACTGTCTTGTCGGCTGACCCAGTTGCGAGAATAAACTCAGAGTACGGATTGAAACTCAAGCAATTGACTTCAGCCGTGTGTGCATCGACAGTATGCGATGGCTTAGAAGTGTTGTTGTTGCGCGTATCCCAAATCATAAGTTTCTGATCATCGGCCACCGAACCGAAGAGAGATTCATGTAGCAAATGCCAGGCAACATCCTCAACAACGGCAGTGTGTCCAGTAAAAATATTCTTCGCATCGATTACGCGATGCTCCTTGGGAGTGGCATTAATATCCCACAAGCAGATGGTATGATCGTCAGAAGCAGAGAGCAAATAACCTGTATATGTGAGAAGGTTTAATGACAATTTTGATTATATACTAACATTTGACGGCACTCACCATTCAAGTTGGGATTCCAAGACAGACCGTAGCCCTCCTTTTGGTGGCCACGTAATCGCAAGTCGGGTTGGCATTCACCCGAGGGCTCCGGCTTGCTCGGATGCTTAGTATAGTCGAAAACTAGAACATCGCTCGACGGCGTCTTGGTTGCTATAACACATGCATTCTGAGGCATGTATCGAGCACGATTTACTTCGCCCTCGTGATTAATTTTGATCTCAATTTCAATTTTGCCACACACAGAGCCGAAACCACCAAATTCTCCCTTTTCATTGTCATAGTGCGAACCATCAAATTGCGCATCTTCGCTAGGCAGCTGTACACTGGCAATTAGCAGATGATTCTGCTCGTCGGAGGTATGTGTGCCCAATATAAGACGGTGCACGGAATAATCTTTGCCATCTTGCTTGGTCACATCTGGCAGCCACTGTGCAGTCAACGATGGCCATTCCAATGCATGCGTCATTACTAGATCATAAAGAAATGGAGTATTTTTCTTCCAAATCTTATACTCCTCATTAATGACGCGTTCCTCGACGGCATCGTCAAAAGATTCCGCTGCTTGCATAGTGTTTTCTCGGTTAGTATAATGGCATAAAACTAATTTAAAAATGCTTGGTAGTTACCATTGTCACTACGGTCCACCATTTTGGCTGCCGTCGCAAATTAAAATTACACACAAATCACTTGTGAGCGTCGTGGAACAAGCGGCGAAAATTCGGGCGCCAAAATAACAAAGCGGCGCGGCAGGGACTGCGGCAAACGCGTGTGCAGCAACGGCAAAAACTTTTGCCAATTGGCTACGTTTAAGTAGTGATTATATTTCAAATTGTGCTTTTCAATTTTAAGCAAGAGGGTATTCCTAAATGTTTTACCAAGTTCTTACACTTTCGGAAAACTTATTTTTAGCGCGGTATTAGCAAAAGTAAAAGACGTACAATTTTTTGCAAGCGCGTCTGCTGCTAGAGACAGTGTTGGTAAGTACAGTAATTATAAGGTTCATTTGCTGATAGTGTTGGTTAACATTTGTACGATAGACGTTGCCAGACGTTTATTTGTAAAGCATCAATGCGGACGAGGACTATTTCTTGATGTTCCCTAGCTTATTTATTTACGGAAGGATAAAGACCGGTAGACAATAATGTTTTATCATGTAAGTTGGCTGGATATTTGTGTAAAAGTGTATGATATAAAGGCATTTTAACAGATTTCACTTGAGCACGACATAATGCTGCATCCGCGGTATTTCGGTCCGCAGCTTCTTGAAACTGTGAAGCAGAAGCTATACTCGGAAGTGGAAGGCACCTGTACCGGGAAATATGGTTTTGTTATTGCTGTCACTACAATAGACCAAATCGGTTCTGGTGTAATACAACCCGGGCAAGGGTTTGTTGTATATCCAGTTAAATATAAGGCTATTGTCTTCCGGCCATTCAAGGGAGAGGTGCTGGACGCCGTAGTCAAGCAGATAAATAAAGTGGGAATGTTCGCAGAAATAGGCCCACTATCATGTTTTATATCACATCATGTAAGTAGATGCTATTTGACCATACATACATATGTATATGCTAATGGTTAATTTTTATATTGGACAGTCCATACCGGCTGACATGCAATTCTGTCCGAATGGAAATCCTCCTTGCTACAAATCTAAAGATGAGGATGTTGTCATCTCGGGTGAAGACAAGATTCGCCTTAAAATTGTGGGTACCCGTGTGGACGCAACAGGCATCGTAAGTATACATATACATAAATGACGCGAATATACATACATGTATATTATATTCCTTCTCCAGTTTGCCATAGGAACATTAATGGATGACTACTTGGGACTTGTCTGCAACTAGTTGGATTTTGGTATTTGTATTGTAAGATAAATGATTTGTATGTAAGCATAAGTCTCAACTATTGTAAAACTCAGCTGATTTTCAAATTTGTATTTGATATAAACCCATATCTAAAACAAAGTCGAACAATTATTTTCGAAACAAATTAAAAAACAGCGAATACTTTTTACATAATATGAATACATGTTTTTTATATGTTAAATGAAATGCATTTTAGACAATTAAATATCTATATATGTATACCTGTACACGTAATAGCTATTCGATATTTGTATACAAGATTTCTTTTTAATTTGATCTACTAGAAGCTATATAGAGTGACATTAAGAAGTAGCTAGCAATAACAAGGGTCCATTAAGTTAGTTTAAAGGACCGAAAGCACTTAAGTTTTGCGTTAGAAAACAAACAAAAAAATATTGCACAAGAAAATCAAAGCGTGATACATACATAAATATGTGAGTGGAAATTGGTACAATAAAAGGGGACATTTTACTTACACGCTAAAATATAAATATAAGACAATGACATAAATAGGTCTGAAGCTTAATTTGATAAAAACAAATGGAATGAGGAATTGGTACATTGTGACTGTATGTACACAAAAACTATGCAAACGATCAGCTTTACTCATAATACTAAAAAAAATTGATGCTATCGCAGTTGCTCGTTGACTCACAAATCCCATGAGAACAGATGATGCTTGACCAACATATCGCGCACACCATCCTTCAGTGGTTGTGATTCTTTTCCTCGCCTTGGAGGCAACTCCCAATCGGGATTTAAGTTAAAGGCAAACTGTGAGAGAATGCGCAGTTCACATTTAATTTGCACCCAGCCCGGCGAGTCGATAAAACTCCAAGTGTAGTACCACTTTTGTACGACTTCTTGACAGGCGCACAAAACCTCCAACCATAAATGCAACACCTGTTCATTGAGTCCCAGGCAAATAAGTGATCGCAACTTCACATCCATTTGTGCATGCGCATCGTCATGCGTTTGATTGATAGCCTGCACGCAGCGATAGAGAAGCTCTTCAGGGGTGAGTACCTTGCCGTCTTCATCCAACCGGTAGGTCTTGCAAAGCACAAGACGGCTGTAGACCGACTCGAAATCCTTTTCCACTTCGCGCGTAGCAGCCTCTTCGATGAACAGCCACGGATGGATGGGTCCCCCCAAAAATGAGGGCCTTTTCATGCCATGCTCCAGGAATGCTTTGATAGCAGGCGCCAGTGTGCCACGCACCAAATCCGTAACCGTTTCAGATATGGCATCATCACCAGCTGATGTATACAATTTGCTTCGTTCATCTAACAGTTCCACAAACTTGGCAGGAAACCAGCCTCTTAAACCATTTAGCTCGCCGACCCAACAGTGTTCGTCTTTTTGACTTATTATTGTGATGATATCGTTGCGTCGAAAGCCCAATTCGTCATCCTCGTGCCGCTCAAAGTCATGCAAAGCCTTGGCCCGCCGTTTGCGTGTCCTTGCCACATTGATAAAGTTCTCATGATCCTTGGCATGCGATTCTGTGCTGTAGTTAGCTGTCAGTTGAATGTGTGCTGCCAATTTGGGCTCAATTGTAATGAAATGACGAGCTACTTTAAGAATGGCCTCCCTTAAATCAACCAGAATTTCCGTCTGGCGTATGTTTTTATTCTTCAGATCATCTGCTTCGCCATCACTTCGGAAAAGAAAAGCTTCTAGTATGGACTTGCTTTTGCGTACTTGGCGTCGTGCTAATTTTTGCTTTGGTAAATTGAGCGCGTTTTCGGGATTGCCCGTTTGTGGTTCTTGATCCGCTTCGGCCATAAGATAGGCCAAATGTCGTCGTCTATGTGTATCAATGACAGTTTGGCTAAGCGAGCCTCCAACTTCTATGGACTGTTGGAACAACAACTCAACATCATCAACTTCGCCGGGTATATCGGAAAGGGAATTAAATATTTCCGCGGAATTTTCCAAAAGTTTCAGGTCCCCTTCTTTTCTCCTTAGCATGCCCATCGTCAATTGAAAGAGCACTATGGAACCCTCATAGAAAAACCAGTCCCAGATACGAACCAGAATTTTCATGTGCACCACGTTGGCGAAAAGTGTGAGAAACCAGTGCAGAGTTATTAGAGACAATTCTATGTCATGTTTCTTCAGCAATCCATCTATGCTGGACAAATAGTTTGCTATTAGGGTTTGCATTACTCGTTGATCTGCCTGAATGCCCACTAGCGTAGAGCTGTAGTATGAAGCGGGTAATAAATCCTCTACAATGGTCGCCATCATCCAGAAAGCGTTCTCCTCCTCCATGAAAAGCAACAGGCAGGCGCCAATTACTCCTGTGCCTTGACAATAGCCAATATCGGGAAAGAGCCAAGCAATACCGCGCAGGATGCGTCGTAGTCGTGGTATACCCGTACCATTTGGACTGCTAAAGCAGGCATTTGTGGGCAGTATGCGCAAGAGATCTTTTTCAATTTGTTTTGAGGTCATTAACTGGTCATTACTGGAAGCTTTAAACAAAAAATACAACAATTTTCATGATATACATATGTATTGACCATACATACCCTTTACTATATCCTCATAGCTCGTCTCGCTCTTCTTTTTCTTAGCCAGTGCTCCAGAGAGCCGCATCCACATTTGTGCACGGAACGAATGTGGAATGCCATCTCTTACCATATTGCGTAATTTTTCCGTGCGCGGCAGTACAACGTCCACATGATCCCACGTCAATTCAGTGGCCTTTTTATTGTGTGAGAACTCCAAGTGCGCGATCCATTCCAGTCTATGCTGCTCATCCTCCACGAAGGGAACGTTTACTAGTTTACTTGGGCTTTGCTTGGTTTCGTCTACTTCTATACGAAACCCAAACTCATCGAATGCTGTCAATTTATTGCTCTCTTCAGCTACTGTCGCCGCCTCCGCTTCCTGTTCGAGCTTGGCCAATATATCTTGTGGCCACATGGAAGAGATAAGCGCTGAAAATGGTCCTCCAGGATTCGGTCGCACCCCGTCAACCACGCTCAGTTCCTCCATCATGGGTGGCAGCTCACTGATATCATCCTCAGAGTTTAGTGTCTCTAACTTTCGCTGCGTTGGCAGGTGTTTTAAAATAAGAACATATGTAATTAGATTTTTAACAGCACCATTTAATGAAATAGACAGGTGTAGGCGTTTTAACAACATACAGTATGCTCCTCTCGACCCACGTATCCCTCATGATCGCGCCCAAATATACTCTCCATAATCTCTGCGTTTAACTAAACCTAAGCCAATGTTGTTCTTTTCTAATCAACTGCGGTTGCTAGAGATGAACCGTGTCAGCTGTGACCGCTAAATAGCAGTGTTAAATACCAACGTATCATGTTTGTCCAACAACCGCCTGAAAGTATAACTCATATTTTTTAAACATTTTTCAGTATTAGAAAGAATTGCATTTAAATATCATCTAGTTGATCGTATTAAAGAAAAACTTAGTCATTATTAATTGCCAATTATTTTTATTTAAATATTTTGCATACAGAGCGCTGTTTACTCACCTGTTACTTTTTATATCATATCGCAGCTTAGACGTGACTTGTTGTATTCGTGAGAAAGTCACATACACGCAACAATTCTCATCTCCAACGCCCACCAGCCCCACAAACGACAACAACATTTACATTAGCATTTAGAGAAATTTGGGAAGTAAATGTAAACAATAACGCAAAAATGCAAATAAAGCCAATAATTTCTTGTGAGTAGTAAAAGGGTTACACGTCGAACATTGGATTCAAAAAGGATCTTTTGCTTTTCAGATTCTGGGTCTTGTCCACTTTTTCGTTCTCTCGAGGCGCAGATATTGAATGCCATTCCATTAGACACCTGTGAGTGGCGGCGAACATTCCACCGTCCCACTAAACATGTACGTTTGGATGCACAAACACAGCAGTTCGACATCAAGGCACTTGAGAAGTATAAGCAAGGCGAATGGAGCATCCTGGAGCATCCTATACTTTATATCTTCGTAACAGAATGCAATGTATGCAAGTGTTTTTTTGGAATTGTCAATTTTGCTTAATTTATGTTTTTTGTTAGTTTGATAGCTATAAAGCTACTATAAGGGAAGAAATCCATGCTTGGTTGAAACTCCTGACCTCTTACGGAGTTTCGGATTGGATGATTCTTTTGGTGGAAACTCTGGATATGCGCAAGACTAAAAACATACTGCCACGTACAACAGTATTGGACAAAATACGGCTTGATTTTTGTAGTAAAAACGATGATCGCTGTATTTCTGTCCTCAGTCCCGCAAAATTTGAGCAAAAGAGCACGGAGTCTTTTCGTTGTTTATTGCAACGCATCAGGTCAGTGTCAGATACATACATACGCACATGTCAACATTAACTTATCTTTATTGGTCTCATATTCGTTTAAAGATTTCTCATGCTTACCAGCTACAATCGTAATATAGCCCAATACCAGGAACTCATACGTAGCAAACGGGAAAAGCGTAATCATGATGGTTGGGACTTTCGTCAGTATTTCTTCATGCAAGAGGATTTGGCGCTAGTTTATGAAAAGCTTGAGTTACCCACTGAAGCCCTCATACAATACGATGAATTGGATGCCATGTTCTCACAATTCATAACACACACTGGTTTTAGCGATAAACAGAAATGGTTAACATACTTTCAGATGCCTCTTCGATCATTCCATGGTATTTGCCTATCTCGAGCCGACAAGTTTGAGGTCCGCAATAAAATAAGAGAAGAAGGAGGGATTTCCATATTGGAGTTTCGCAATTATTTGTTTGAGCGACAGGCGCATTTGCTCTATCAATGCAATGATATACCCGAGATAGCGAAACGTCTGTTAAATTTTCTATTCTCAACGCTGCGCGAAGTGGAGTTTATTAAGCTGGACTGCCAGGAGGGTGCTTTATGGTGCTGGGAGTTCGTGTGCGCCTTGGAAGTCTTACAGATGTGTGAACTGGCCATGGATCCACGCAATGAAGTTACCTGCTTTCAGCATTGTGCGCCTATATGGAACTTGGCAAAGGACAAATTATACGCCCTTGGCAAACTATGCGGTCTTTTGCCCGGTTGTAAGCCAACATCGGAGCAACTGCACATAGTCGTACAACTATCATCGGCTATTGGAGACGTCCCAGCGGATCAACAGCAACAGTTTTTAAATGCTACGCCACAGCTTCGTGAACGTTCGCCGAATCGCAAGCCAAAGAAATCTGCTGCGGAACAACTTAAAGAGGCATTGGGCTCAAATGAGGCATTTAAAAAACTGTACTTGGAACTGGCGGAGCTGGCCATAAGCACCTACAAACATGTGTCCCAATTGCGATTCGCCCGTTTAGCTGGCTTAGATTTGGGAAACTTTTATTGCGCTTTGAATGAGCCACATAAGGCAGTGGGTTTCTTTACGGATCTGCTGCGTGAACTTAAAGCTGAAAACTGGCACTCTCTAAGCTCACAGACGCTTTTAGAGTTGGCTAATTGCTATCGTAAAATGGGGGATTCGCTTGCCTATACCAAGATATGCAGTTCTATATCCTGCTGCGCCGAACTGGAGATTCTGGTTCGCACATTTTATTTCGACGAATTCCTTAAGTCCTTGAAAACTCTTAAAACCACTCTTTCGGCGCAGCCATCGATGGAGAATGCCAATTATTGCGTGCTTGAGGATCATTTTCGGATATTGGACATTGAGGTGTTAAATAAGAAGCCCATCATACAAGATGACTTTGTGATGCTCCAGCTAAAGGTTGAAAGCTTATACCCGCGTGAAATTCTGGCTGAAAGCATTAAATTGTGCTATGAGATACAAACGGAGCCAGCACAAGCTTCACTGCAGGATGTGCCCCTTTCCAAAACGACGTTATTAGCAAAGTCGAGCTTGTCGTATATAAATGCATCCTTGCAGCTGAGCTACAAACAGGACAACACACTGGCTTCTGCGTCAGTAGCATGTGAAACACCTAAGAAAAGTCAACCAGTTCGTCGCACAAATAGCACCAAGCGCAAACTTTTGCCAAGCGTTCAAGCCGATTTTACTAACTTCGTGCAAGCGGAGAATGTAATTTTGCAACCAGGACCTAATACTATTGAGCTAAAGGCGAAAGCCACTCGTGTGGGAAGATGGCAGTTCGAACAGGTAAGTGGATTTAAGTCACCCCTATTTGAAACATACATACTCGTACATTGTTATAATGTTTGGCTTTTTAGATTTGCATCATAATGTCTTCTTTGGAGTTCTTATCGGAGCAATTGCCCTATACGCCATCGTTTGAAATTTGTACAAAGCCAGCTACTGCGGTACTCGATTTTAAAACACTTGTTGCGGGCATAATTCAACCTATTACTCTTAAGGTGGCGGGGGGTAGTTTTATATTTCCGCCCGATGCCAAAATAACACTAAAGTGTTCCAAAAATCTACGTATACGTAGTGCACTAGATAAGAAAAATCCAGAATTTGACGACGACGCCACTTTTGGGACATTGTTGCAGGTGCCACTCTTGGAATTCAAGTCTTTCGAAGAGAGAAATATACCTTTGCAAGTGCTTACTGACATGCCTGGTCGCAAAGGCACCAAACATCATGAGCATTACATAAGTCTCTGTTGTCCCTGGTCGAGGACTGAATTGCAAATACCTATAGAATTTAAGCCGGCTATGGAGGCCTCGTGTCGCTTGCATACATGTGGCACACAAAAGTTTTTGCAAGTCATCATGAAGGGTCTGGATGCAAATCTTTTCCTACAAGACGCGAAGGTTAAGTGTGATGTTCCAGGCGTACGACTGATAGATATGAATCCACCCTCACCGGAGCCAATTGTAAGTTAATATTTTAATCATACTATGTTTACTATCTTCTGACGCCAAGCAGTACTCGTCGATTTTATTTGATCGGTAAAGTGCTTTCTTACTACTATTTGAGAATGTTTACCACCAAGTATAAATGAATAACTTATACTTAACTTATCCTTTATTACAGAATATATACAAACCACTCACCGTAACCTATCTATATGAAATACAAGTGGAGCCCTTGAAAACGGAGCAAGAACTGCCCATTGTTAAGGTTCATTTTGTCATCAAATATGCTCACGAAGCGCAACCAAAAGTGTGGCGCAATTTTGGTTGCGCTTTCGATCTTGTGGATTATACGACACTTTTTAAAGTGCAGGCTCAATTGGAACCGAACGAGCTATGTCGTGTGCGTTCGGTGTGCAATATGAATCTTAAGATCACTAAAGTGCAAGAGAATCCCTATAATGATCTAATGTACGAGGTGCTTAACGATCAGAACTTATGGGCGGTTTGTGGACGATCAGCTGGTAAGCTTAACCTCATGCAACTATAAATCAGTTTGTTTTACATTAATTGCTTTATTTATACCCATTAGGCGTTGTCTCCATGCAGGATGTAGACAGTCATTCAATATCACTGGATGTAATGCCTTTAAGTACTGGCTTTTTACCAATGCCTAGCATACGACTCTCCAAGTATACAGCCGGTGGTAAAAACAAAAACGATGCTCACTCCAAAGTGTACCCTTTTCCACCTGGTCAAGTCTACAATTCGACCAAGAGCGTACAGATACATGTTATAGCAAGCGTTAATGTTGAACAATAAATAGGAAATGTTTTAACCTAGTCAAGTATTACTAAGATACTTGTAAAGTTGCAATTTTTGTATGGGTACTTTATAATTAATAGATTTGTAGTTATATGGTATTTAATATTTTAGAAAAACTGCAAAACAATAAAATCAAAATACAATTATTATGTATCGTCTTAGCAGTTTTATACCTAACATCCAAGAAAATAGTTGTTTGGTAGTTTGATTAAACGGTGATTGTCTGCTGATACAAATTCGGAACTTATACAGTAAAACCCAACAATGAAGAAACGAAAGATAGAACGCTGTCTTAATATTATTCATGTTTACATGGGAATATTTGAATTACGAATATGCAATATTTTATGTTCGCAATTAATTATAAATATAAGTTAGAGTTTAGGTTTTTCTTTCGGTGCCTCAGTGATAATGCTGCATCAGTCCGGCCATTATACATATATTAAATATTTCGCTTATAGTTATTTATTTGCCCAGAATTGTTCCCATTTTCACATGCTCCTTAGTGTCGAGTTAACTTTATTTTTTTTAACGTGTTTAATCTAAATCAGAGCGTTTTATTTGACGGATACAGATAACATATCCAAACCGAAGAAGAATTTTTAGAGCAATACATCATAACCGACACAAAATTTGGTGCACAGACATGTTTATTACAAACTTAATAAATAAATCTTATGTAATAAACTATCCGGCTTGCGTTGCTGCGCCACTGATCTTTCACATCTTTCCCAATACCTCCATCGCTTTTTATGGCTTTGATTAGAGCCTTGATTATAGTTGAGTACCCACCAAAATCGGTTGAGGAGTTTCTTAGTCTATACGGAACTGAGCAAAACAAATGGCTTTTTAGCTCAAATGTTGAACGGATGTTCTGAAAATTCATGTGCCTAAAATCCCAGAAGGATATTAAAATTGCGAAACCTAGACATTAAGAGAATTTCCATGTATTCATAATATAAAGAACATATGTTTCAAAAATCATAAATAAATATTCACTGGTTTGGCGTGGGGTCTGAAAGGGTTATATTCTGTTGAATCAAAATCGGTGCATTCTCTATGTTGTTTTGAATTTGATAACTAGGAATTGGGAAAGGGTGCTAGGTTTTTAAAAGCAAAATAGCTTGTCAAGATAGAAGTATCTTTTTTAGTTTAAATACAGTTTTAATATATTTTTTAAAGAATTGTATCGGTTTTCGTGACATACTTACATGAAATATAATTAATGAATATTTGATATATTTTTAGCACTTTTGTACTTTATTTATATTTTGTATGGAAGAACTGTTGAACTGTTGCATGCAGACAGTCTGACTTGATGCTGTGCTGGATTTCCCATCACTAGATTGTGGGTCGCCTGAGGGGAATAGGAATTGTTGCTGAAATACTTGCCACGTTTTAATTCGATGGGATGAAAAATACCTTTTGGCCTTTAAGTTGATCACCAATCAGTCAGCCAGTCAGGGCAAATTTGTATGTATGTATGTATAGCTTAGAGGGTATACAATTCTCAAATACGATTTGTGATCGTACTTTCATTTTAAACTTTACACAGCTATGTATGTATATTATTTTAAAATTCTTTCGAAGGTCATTCTCTCCAGATTAACGTATTTTCTTATAACCTGTACCTAAAGAATAAAAGAGTTGTTAAGTGTTAAGCGTTGGAAATATATTCTACTCCCACGATATTGGTAACAGGACTAGCAATTAAGTCATGTTAGCGATTGTGGGTTCTCATGCCCAGTTTCATCGAGATTGGTCAACTATGCATTAAATGCAAGATTAAAAAGTTAATTACTTCTAATGTTTGAAGCTGAATAGTAGTGTATGGTATATGCTCATGAAAATCGTCTTTTATGTTTGTACTAACTGCATTATGTAATAGGCAGGACGTGCTACCCCACAAAGTATATAAGTATATAATTGAACAGTATGACAAGACGAGTCGCCCGATATATCCATGGCCGTCTAACCAAACTTGGGATGTACCTATGTATATACATATAACTAGTGTTTACTAGTTCAATTTTGTTTTTATTCCTAAGATCCCCCAACTCTCTCGCTTACTTACTGCTTATACAGTTTTGCGGAATTTCCGTAATTTTTGATAGTTATAGCCATAATCTCTGCCGAAGCTCTTCTTGTTGTTGACTTTAGTCCGTACTGCACACATAATTTTATTTAATTGATCAAATTTGTATTTCAATTTATTTCAGAAAAATATTAAAATTATTTTTACATTTTTGTATTTATTTCTATTATTTTGTGAGAGTGGATACAGGGTGTTAAGACTCCACTCTAGCATTAATTTCTAGTTAAAATTTTACTTTTTAATATAACTTAATACATTATTTTTATACAACGAAAGTTTTGTTTGTCGATGGATAAGCAAAATGCACTTTTTTATAAAAAGATACAATATCATTAGCTATTTAAGCACGGATTTTGGGCATTATATTTACATTATATAATAATATAATTATTATAAATTTTAACCCTGCTTAAATATGATTTATATTTGAGGGACGCGTATATTGGAATTGATTTAAAATAAGTGAATTTATTTAATCAATTTATTGTCAATGAGTTATTTTGATGGTGACTCATAGCTCAATTGTTGGTCGGTCGTTTTATTGCTTGTGAAAAGTGGGTAGTGCCCTCTCTAAGCTGATACTAGTACCGGTACTGGTACCGGCACTGTTGCTGGCACTACCACTGAGCTGTGCAAACGCCAGCATTTGGTCTTTGTGCCTGGACATATCTTATGAGCTTATCTTCTGTCCAGTAGCAAGCGTCTTCCGGGGCGTTACGTAGTGGTGCTGGGCCTACCGATAAGCCAGAGTCTGGCGCATGCAGCCACACCCACAGAATTTTATCAGATACATGTATGTATGTACGTATGTTTGTGTGTATTGGAGCAAACGGCGCTTGCATTAACTCTTGTCTGTGTTTTTATGCAGGTTGCCTTACCTTCTTATCTGTATTTTTTGCATTGTGTGCATGTTTGTATATTTTTTCTATACTTTGTGTTTTGCTATGTATGTATGTATGTATCCGTTTATTTTTATAAATGTTTACGATATGTAGATGTGTGCATTTATCACTGGTGACGTCACGCAAATATGTTTAAGTATGTATGTATTTGAAAGGAATTCCTTTAAGCATTGTTGTAGTAAGCAGTTTGTAAACATCTTTATCGCATTTTCTTTATAAAAACATACGATAAGGTGGGTATTATTTTTACTGCTAGCCAGACATGCTGGCGCTCTCTCATGATGATAACACTTTTACACTCTTTATCACTAATAGAGTGGCTTGATAGCGACAAGGTCGTATGCATTGGCCGCCTATTAAAGTCATTGCATTTATTAGATAACGCTTTAAATATGATTATGTTGTGATATAGGAAACCACTTTGGCGCTTTCCATGCTAAACCTGATTACGGTTAAATAAAATAAGTATAAATCTAAATAGAAGAAGGAACTGTCAAATTTTACTGATTTTATTTGAAACTACTCGCACGCTTCATATAAATGTTCGCATTGGTAATACTATGGGGACCCTCCATTGCAGTACACTCGAGTATATGTCATAAGTAACTCTCCAAACTCTGACTGCGCATGTGAAGGAGCTATGTATGTAGTATATGCTGAGATGAGTGGTACTCCTAGCAAACAATATCTTCTAATTGGCGGGTACCCGATGCGTCTGGCCATCAACTGGGATGGGTCTAGGTCTGGGTACAATCGGCGTGCCTGCCAAACTATATCGCTCCGAGCAACGAGTTCGGCCGTTTTCCGATAACAAATAGCTACAGCTACCGACTGACGAGTGTTACTCATTTTATATTTGTTGTGTTGCGTTTTTGAAAAGGTGATATGAAATGTGCTCTGATAAGTTTTAATCAAGAATATTTTACTCGTATTGCTTTGGTGGGTCGTACGCGTAGAATTTGAAAAGTTGCAGTAGTATAATAAGTCAGCGCGGTGGATCGGGATCGTTTGGCCAACTCGCAACAGGAATGCGGGCGGGCGGTGGTCCTGTTGCCTTCGTTGTGTCGCGAAAAATACATACAAACATATGTACATATGTACGTCAAGCACATACTCGTATGTATGTAAATATGTACATAGTGGTTGTGGCTCGGTAGATTGTGGGCCGTACCGCTTGATAATCACCACAATTTCTAGTGGGCGTGCAACGGAGAAATTTTTTTTGTGACATCAACAGAATTGCGTCGGGGCAAGCGTATGCATGGAAAATCCTTTAAAGATGCTATGCCAAAAATATTTAATCACAAACGGACTAAGTTTACCCAACAGCCCAGGAAGCGCTGGGACCGGGACCACCGTTCGGAATTGCCCGAAAGAGTTGTGTGACATTTTTATTTGGCCGCATAAACAATGTTGACGCCTACGAAAAATCCACTTACCATAGACAACGAGAACATTTAACGCTTGCTTAGCAATTGTGTGTGTGTGTGTGAGTGTGAGTGTGCGTGCGTGTTTCCAAGTGGTGCCAGATGCCCAAGCAACCCATCATCATCACAGACCACATGTCGAACGCCCCTCATAATGAGCGTGCTGAAAAATTATGGATCGTGCTCACGGCTCGAGCCGCACACCGATCCGATCGATTTAAGCGCATCTTCTCTGGAATATGTATGGACGATGACCAGCACCCAAAGGGCCTTAGCTATGGATAAATGAGTTACAGGTAATGAAAAAGCCGTAATTTACTATACTTAAGAAATGTTGCTGTTTGTGATTATTGTGATATTGTTCGACATGATAGAAATTAAAATAATTTAACATTTAAAAGCTTGAACTTTTCGTCTTCGATATTAAATATTATATTCAATTATTTTTAAATTTACTATAATGTGTATTGCGTCAAAGAAAATTTTAATATATATATTCTTGGGTATCTATAAGGTGAATGCGCAAATCAAAACAATAAAATAATCTCCCAAGATTTCATAACTTTTTTAGATTCAGTTCCTATTGATTAAAATGCTGATTTTAAGTTAATTTGAAAAAAGTTATATGTATTACATATGTAC